TGGCTGAGCGGTGTTTATGTGCCGGGATTTGTAATAAACTTGTTCCAATCTCTGGGCCACTCCCACGGATCCACGAATCCACGAATCCACGGATCTACGGTTCCACGTTTTCGGTTAGCGAATGCACATGGACATAAAAAATGCCAGCAATCAGATGGTAACCACTCCGCCACCAGACAATCCTCCAGAGTGCGGCTTTTTTCGAGAGTGCTTTCCCCCGTTCGGTCTGCCCTTTGTTTTCCGCCATCGTGTTTATAAATAGGAATTGCAACTATGTAGCGGGCGAGTGTATCTCTTCCACATAGGTAAGCACATTTTAGTGGCCTTTGTTGGCCGGGATGTTGTACGGTACAGTAGTCCCCCGCCTGCACCAGTTGCAATTTGTTGCAATTTCGCCCGCTTTGTAGCCGCTGCTGTTGCGAATGTTTTATGGCTGCAATGCGGTCGGTTGCAGCTGCAAAATGCATTTATGATGCATAAACATAACGCCCCTGCTAGGCCTTGCCACGGATCACGTTCCACTCCCGGCCAGGTGCCCCATGTTTATGGTCCTGCGGGCAGGAGGCACGATGCCCCGAGGACACGCCATCATGGTTTGTTTAATGCCCGAGTCGCATAGTTCTTTTTATTGCCACCGACACAAATATTTGTGCTGCAATTTTGTCATTTTACTGTGTCAACGAATCGAAACGAATCGAATCGAATCCGAATCACTCGCCCCCGTGACATCGGCTTCAGTTTTGACAGCTGAACGTTATGTAATTTAATTAACCATTAAAATGAGATTATGGTGTAATTTATGCATGTGACAGCGACAGTGACAGCGCTTTTAATGAGTCTCCCATAACTAATAGGCGGCTCCCATCGGACGGGAGGATGGGCTCGAGAGCAATTAACTTTCCCATTTCCAATCAAAGGATTTTCCCTGACGTCTGGTGACACTCTTTCCCGACCCGAAGAATGCAATTTCCTGCCCCAAAGACCGCTCGTCCTGCACTTGGCTTTGGACACTTGAAAAGTTTGGCCTAAGCTATATGGTATATTGATGGATTCCCACGCCGATTCCCTTTTTGGCCACCCAGCCGGATCCGGATTCGGCTGCGGAAATGTGCCAGCCCGAAATCCGGACAGGCGGCTTAGGGCCATCCGCCGGGCTGTAATAGTAATAGGAATTGATTTACCATTTTGTGTGCACGAAAATGTGCAATTTATGTGCTCCATCCCGACTGACTCAGCATCATCTATAGTAGATGATAACCCGGGCGGATTGGGGACACACAAACTACACATAGCATACGTATATACTTTGCTATGCGGACACATAAATTCCGGGGCTCTGGGCTAATGCATTTTTCAAGTGGAGTGCATAATTTAGGAGCGAAGTCAGTCAGTCAGTTGGTCATTTTGCGGGCCTGCATTTAGCATATCAATGGATGGAGTACCCTCCTGCGGCTCCGATCTCTTGCGCCCTAATTGCCGGAAAATGCGGCGGTACAGCCCTCAATTCAGTTTCAATTCTCTCATATTCCCGACCTGAACGCGTTCATATTTTATTGATTGAACGGGTAGGTTCGCTGGTAGAGGCCGTCGAGTAACCGCATCATTGGCAGTCATTTGATGTCCGCTGAATAATTTACAACAATTTCGTGCGAGAAACGCCCAGTTGCAATGCCAATTTCCAATTTTCAATTTCAGCTTCAAAATGGCGAAATTCCGATTTAATGCGAATTTTTGCTCCTTTTTGGCCGCGCTGATTGCTGAATGCCGCAATGAGTTATGTGCCAGGGGATAGAAAATATATGGCCATCGATCGGTTCGGCTGAAATCGGTTTGAATTAATGCATGAGTGGAAGTTAAATGGAGCACAAAGGATTTGGGTTCGGCTCAAGCCGTCAGCTCGAGGTGGAAATGGAAATGGAGCAGGGGATCGGATATCGATTTCGGGTTACGACTTAAAAATTACATTTACATAATGCAACCAAAATTGACAGTCTGCTCTGGTAGCTCCTCCTTCTCCCCTTGGAACAAGCCAAGCAACCACTAAAATGTTTGTTATTCTTCCCCAGCAAATAGGAAAAACTATAAAGAAATTGCTAGAAATTGCAGAGGCAGCGGCAGTGGCAGCGGCTGCAAGAAAACAAAAGAAGATGAAATAAGCCCGCAACGAAAACAAAGTCGTAAATTCAATTTAAAGCTTGACAGATTGCCACACTGCGGCGAAAAAGGGAAGGCGGCTCCGAAGGGGGCGTGGCAGCTGGTCTGCTGGTGAACAATGCAGCTGGGCGGGCTGCAGTGGTGGCAACAAAAATGGCGTCTGTAACAATGCAGCCGCCTTTATCTTTTGCCCAGCAAACCGCGCAAAATATTTCCCCAAGTGCCGAGGGCTTCACTCCCCAGGACTTCGTCCGCCCAGGACTCCCAGGACTCACATTTCTCGTAGGACTTTCCAAATTAGGGTCAAGTTTTGCTGGAAGGCGCCGCTGGAGCACCAGCACTCCCCAATTAAATGGGCTTTAATAAGCTCGGCCACTTAAACAGCCAGAAATCTGGCAAAGAGGTTAAACGGCTGGCAAACTTTTGCCAAGTTACGGGTGGCGTTTCCGTTCAAGCTGAGTGCAGTGGGTGGTTCAGCAGTGGGTGGTGCAATAGAGGGTGCTTTGCCAGTGGGTGGTGCAAACGGGGGTGGTGCTTAACCTGCCTGCATTGTCCACACGGTCGTGTTGCATTATGTTTCACTTGCAGCTGCTGCTGTTTTGACCCAGTTTGGTGGGGACATTTTTTTTTAACGCCATGCTGGTCGGTCATGTCACCGGGCCGCCTTTTGCCGCTTGCCAGCTGTGCGCAAGTTTATCACGCGCCCCCGTTGAAAGCCGCAATAAGGTCAATCGCATGGCCAACAGAGCCAGCGATATCGCATCGGAACCACTAGTTTCAGCACCACCGCCGCCACCGCAGCAAACGCAGCGCAATTAAAGCCAACAAACGGAGCAGGCCGCACGGATTGTCGACCACGCCAATCAGCGAACACAACCGCAGATCCACTCATACAGAGTTAAAAAAGACAAAGGATTATCAATTAGATAGTGCCAAAATCGTTTCTGTATTTAAGCCGGCACACCGAAAATTTCCATCTCAATTCTCGGCACAAACAAAGTCGCTTTTATCAATTTTAATTTAGTGCGCGTATACACATCAAATACTGGTGAATGGGGTTATTTCTAAATATGATTCTGATTTTAATTAACTGAAAGAGAAATGGTGAGACAAAATGGACACAGTGCTTTAAAGTGAACAGATGTTGACAGTTTTGTTGTATAAAAGCTTTCAATCAATTTATAAACTTAAAGAGAAATGTTTTAATAATTATCAAAAATGTGAAAAAATTAAAAGTTTTTCATATACATCTATGAACTCTTTTAAAGAAGTCTAAATTCATTATTTATTTATCTCAGTGTACGCAGCCACTGCAATCAAAGACTTGCGTATTAAAGCTGCAAGAGATCCCCTCGCGATGAAGACTCCCAGCGGAATTCCCTCGTGGGGGGTTGCTGTGAAAGGGGGCGGGGTTAAAGTGGGCTGGCGAAAGTGGTATGAAAAAGCATCGGAAAACAGAGAAGGGAAGGGAAAGAGAAAGAGGAAGGAGGAAAGGGAACAAAACGGGCGGTAACGCTGTGGCCGCGGCCAGGAAACGCGCACAAATTGCGTTTTAACGCATGCAAATTGCCTGCGTCCACGTCCTGGACGAGTTTATTGCATTACAGCCAAAGGACGATGGGCGGTGCCAGTGGGCGGGGTAACCGAGTGGTGGTGTGTGTATATGTGCGTGTGTTGCCAGTTCGCCAGTGAATGTGTGTCCGCAATTGCCACTTCGCACTTGAGCAATTTCGCGTTCGAAATGGTGTGTGAGTGTGTGTCTGTGTGTGTGCGGGTGGTTGTGAGTGTATTTGTGTGTGCGATGGGTGGCTGCATGTAGGCAAAAATACATTTGCAACCAGCCAGACTCACAGTGTACAGCTGTTTCAGCTGCTCCTGCCGCTCCTGTCGCTTTCATTAAGCCAACTGACAGCGGCGATTGCAGTATCAGCTGCTCGTGAAACAGACACAAAAATTCCAAACACAGAGCCACCGGCGAAAGCCGTTCCAAAACTGTCAAGTCAACGTGAGCTTGGCTGGTTATTTATTTTTGCCATTTTTCGCAGCTTATTTTACCCATTTAACCCGGGGCATTTATGCTCCTGCAGATGCTGTTAGTGCTTCATAAATTTTATAGACAAGTTAAATATTATGCATATGCACCATTGCACTTAATAACATTTCAGTTCGGCTCACAATGCCCAGCGGTGTGTGTGTGTGTGGAGTACACACCACATTTGTGGGTGGCTGAGCTGCGTGCCGAGTTGAATTAAATTAAAATAAATCTGCCCGGGAACGAGCAAAGTGTCGCATAACTAAGCAAGGCAGGAATACGATATGCCATATTTTAAGCATGCAATCTGATTTGCATATGTTCACTTAGACATGAATTTTTCAGCCGGCCAGAGTCCTTTTCAGATTATACAAAGCGATTTATGAGATACGAGAAAAAAAAGGAAGAAAAACTCTTATTTTTCAGCTTTAATCTGTGACTATAGTCAGCTCCATTTGTTGTCATAACAGATGAACTATTGATCACCATTAGAAAGCCACACATATATGTCAACCTATGGGGATGTTCCCCCTTTTTTAGTCATGAGTCGATACTGTTTGCTTTTTAACTTTTCCCCTTGTAGTGCAAATGCTACGTTGTCCCGAAAGTCCATGTGAACTGCCATTACGCATACGCCCTGTGTGTTTGCTGTGGGTATGCACCACTGAGTCTGAATGGGTTCTATTTGTGCATGCGAGCGTTTTGACAGACGTCAGTTCGGCTTGTGTGCATTTTGCATTTTTTATGCATTTAAATAGCAAAATTAAACTAGCAAATGTTTCACATGCAATTTATTGTTCACCCTCTTTTTCAGATAAACAAAAACACGCAGAGCAACAAGAATCTGGGCGAGCACAAGCGCTGGATACACGATCCCTCGAGTGAGTAGAGCACAGGATTTCCGAGTCATTTGGCCCCTGGCTTCGGTCAATTAGGTTTTGTGCAAACCACGACCACGACAAAAAGCGAAGCCAAGGACAAAACGCCCGCACAATATGTTATCGCCACAGTGACCTATTAATAAGTTAAATACCCCCCGCCTGCAGGTGACCTTTGCCGACCGCTGAACTGCAAGAAGCGTGAAATTTGCCTGCTGGAGGACGAGTTCAGTGCCGTTTGCGTGTCGAAGAAGGAGCTCCACAAGAATCGGTAAGTGAGTGGGCGGGGTTCATTTCCCCCTGATGAGCCAATTAAATTGAAGCTTGTGCGGACCAAGTCCGAGCCCGAGGCCTTTTAAACTTGTATACTTACGATATTCCTGGCCAAAACCCCATTCCACGTTTCGCATTCCAGTGATGAGATAATCACCAAGGCCAAGTACTTGGAGGAGGAGGCCAAGCGTCGTGTGAACCAGCAGGACAACCAGGACAGCCAGGACACCGAGGACATCAACAACGACGACGAGGACACCAGCAGCGACGGCGGCAGCAGCAGCAGCAACTCGAACCCGGGCAGCCCCAACAATGCCCAGGCCAATGTCCAGGGCAACGAGGAGGCCGACGACGAAGATAAGAGCCTCAGTCTTAGCGACGACGACGAGTCCAAGGAGGACGATGTCTTCTACGAGAACAGCATCGCCGCCAGCGATAAGCAGCAGTCACAGCAGCAGCAGCAGCAACAACAGCAGCAATCGCAGCCCCCGGCAGCCCAATCCGCCATTCAGCAGGACGACGACGAGGAGTTGGAGTAAGTACACTACAAAAAATTATGTTCAAATAGAATTCATTATATCAGACATTATCAGAAAGTTATTATAGCCAAAATACCATTTTTAAAAAATCTAAAAGTAGTTGTACATTATTCTAAGATTTTTAAGTTTTATTAAAATATAAATTTTAGTTTTTTCTTACAGGATATTAGCATTTTGAAGTGAACTATTAAAATGTCTGGTTTGAATTAAATCCTTAAAATGATAGTGTAGCATACCTTTTTATCGCGGTGTAGCAATCGAGTGTTTAAGTCGGTGGCCAAAGTTTTTGCGCTTGCCTTTGAATGGGATTTTACATTTCATTAAGAAAATTCGCGTCCACAAAAAGCGAAAAGGGTTGTCGACTGGTGGTGCGGGTCACCTTTGAGTTCCGGCACCGCCCCCATACCACCGAATACTCCACTGATTTCCATGGTCGCCATGCTAATAACAAATTGTTTTATCGTGTATAAAAATTCCGCAATAAATTTACAGTGGTACAATTTTTAGCACGCAGCCTTTGGGCAGCAGTCCCTGGCCTGTTTTTCTTTATTTTGTTCCGCTGTTATCGTTGGCTGTTGTTGGCTTTTCAGCTTTTTTGGCTGCTACTGGTGGGCTGGCACACTTTGGCCTGAAAGGTTCAATGGGCCGCAACGACAGCTTTACGGCCTTTACCCTTTGACGCGTGCCGTCGTCGGATCCCTTGACTTGTTCCGTGTTATCGCTTTGACCCTAACCCAAATTGTGGACTGGCACGCAAGCGGTGCCTCGAAGAAGGACCCAAAAAGGGCCGAAGGAGCTGGCACGAAGCAAAAGCAGGAGCAGTAGCAGAATCAGGTGTGCCTCTGGCGGCGACAGAGCCTGGAAAATGGAGTCAAAGTCGAGTTGGTGTCAAGGCTTGATGGGCTTGGGGTTGCAAAGGCAAAGGGTTGCTGCCACTTCAACCAGCAGCCAAAGGAAGTTGTTGGCAACAAACAGTCGATTTCCTCTTAGAAAATATTTGGCAAAGGCTCAACAGCCCACGGGTTTCTTCAAAATAATAATTCATTTTCACTTGAAGAAATGTTCCTAAAATGGCTTTATTTTTGAGGGTTTTGCAATTGCGGTTTAATTAACTTAACTAGTGCATGTTTTAAGAGCCGTAGTTAAAATATATATTTTTCAAGGCCTATTCAACACAGCTTCTCTTGACGCTTCGCCAATTTTGTTTACCCAAAAGACCAGCCAACTTGTAGAACTCATGCCCCACTTCACAATCCTTTGAAACTCGACCTCCACCGAATGTTATAAAAATGTTTTCACTTGTTGTTTATTTTGGCCTTGTTTATCAGTTGGGCTTCTGTTTGAACAAAGTTTAATTTCATACTCTCCGCCTGACACTTGCACAATGATGCGGTAATAAAAATTGGGACAGCAAAAAGTTTTTGTTTTGATCCTTTGACGTTCATTGCAAAATTAATTATCCGAAATACTTGGGCAAATAAATTGCTGGGAAAAAATTGTGCAAGTAAGGCGATGAATTTTACGCTTCTTGCGAGCCATTGTTTGTGTTTTTCCTATGGGTCCCCGGGCGCCTGTAATTGAATTAAAATCCACTTGCCAAACAACACAGAACGCTGGGTGTTTGAGTGTGAAAATCAATCTATAGGCAAATCACGCGCCCAACCACATTCTCGCTTTTCAGCTCCCAGCGATGACATTAACAATGGCTTTTGACATATTTTCCCTCTTCTTTTATGTTTACGAATTTTCCTTTTCAATTTTGCTTTCACGGAATATTCCCCGCTTTGCATATGTGTATCTATGTCAATGGCATGAAATATGAATGTGTCACCATGCCGTGGGCAAAATCAATAGTTTGAGCCGGAGCATTTGCCACTCATCATGGCAGCAGGAGCTGCTCCAGTTCTCGTCTTTCCATTCAGGCGCAAGTCAAACAAAGGACCTGCCCCACTGAAGAAGGGTTCCCCAGGAGGGGTGCAGTGGAGGCACTTCTAATAGACCAAAAGACGAGGCCACCTCCGAACACACAGCCAGCTGCAGAGCGAGATCGCGCCAGAGCCATAACTCATGTGTGCGACGGGCATTGTTTGTTGTAACAATATGCCATATGCACAGTGGTTAGTCCCAAGTAAATTTGTGGTTACAATCGAAAGGTTATCCAGTAAATTTATATTTAACAATGGGGTTTTTCCACAATCAAAATATTGCTTAATTAGCTTACCTTCTTCTTAAGGCTTCCTTTAAAATGTATTTAATACAGCACAATATAAATAATTTATTAAACTAGATGGGAAGAAGTTTTTGCCTTTATATTTGTAGGTATATATATTTTTTTTTTGGCTTCTGGAAAGCTTCGGCCTGCTCACATCTTAAAAATGGCCAGAGTGCATCGCCTAAAAGGATTTCGAGAATTCAGGGGGCTCCGCTGGGAGAGGGCACATACCATAGTTCAGATCTCACCTCAACTTGCCACAATTCAGCTTTTCGGGTGGATGGGGGAGGGTGTCCTGTCCCTGGCAGTTATTCGAAACCACTGAGCTGTTTTGTGGTCTATGCACATGAAACTGACGTCCAAAACAGGAGGAACAGCCGGCTTAGGATTCGGAACCGCTCAAAGGGAGACCGGCGGTATCTGAATATTCTGTGTTGGACGGGGGTCTCGAAAATTGAAAGCAAATATTTGAGTAAAAATTTACACATTTTTCACAGAGACTCGGAGCCGGCATTTGATGGGCAATTTGCTCAAAGCAACCACAGATGCTGGGCAGGCCATTCAAGATGCCATCGGCGCTGTCATTGACCAAAGATCGCATTATCGCAATTTATTCGTCTCACTATTTACTTGGCCCTAAGAATTTCATTAAATTTGTATAAACAATCCGATGGAGGAGGGCAAACAAGGCGAACCGGAAGCGTGCAAAAGAACATGCGAGGGAATTTTTAATTAAAAGCACTGTACACACACACATACACCAACACATACATACAGAGAGCGGAAGAGAAGGATATACACATCCGTGAATATGTTTACTTTGGTTTTGGCCATTGGTTCGTTTACATTGGCTCAGCAATGAAATTGGTCAGCTTAAGCGACACATACAAATGTGTGTGCAAGGCATTCAAAAAACCAAAAGTCTTTCGCAAATCCTGGAATTTTTTTAAGTTTTATTGAATCTCAAATTGTTTTCCCAAGGTTTCATCCTTGTTTTGTGTTTGTATGGCAACAGTAAAAAAGTGTCGGGCACAAATAGAATGTGCTAAGCCCAAATTGTTGCAAAGCCAAGCTTGACCCGAATAACAGGCCAATTTTCAATTAATAATTCTTTGAAATAAAAAAACAAAAGCCCGATGAAATCCCCTAATTATGACTACCAAATTGGGGGCAATTAGGCAAATTGCTTTCCATTCATTTTCAGTCAGAGAAGTAGACCCAAATAAATGTGCAAATTTTATTTGATACCAGACAAAAAAATTCCACCAGCCGGGCCCAAACAACGGCGATTGTATATATGTATATATATATCTCTGAATAAAATTATGAAATAGGGCCGACCGTTGAATGAAAGTTGAGTTGGTAGCGAATTCGCGGCTGGCCAATTAAAGCGACATCGAAACGGATAAAAACTTCCACCAGAGCCTTTTTTTATGCAACGGATTGCTACTATAGTAGCAACCATTAATTGGAGTAATCGTTTTGTTGGTTTTATTTATTAAGGCAAAAAAAAGGGGGAGGGAAATGGTAGTGAGTCTGATTTCCTTTTGAGTTTTAAACATGATTGATTGACAGCGGATTAAAGGCCATAGCAATTAAAAAAGGATCGGGTGTTACTCAACAATTATAAGGATAATGGGGGTTTTTTCTAAGAGGTCACGTACAACTCGTTAAAATGGAGTCATATACGCAGAGCTAAAATCCTTTGCGTTTGACGTCGTCGCCAGCTTAAATATTTGCTCAAATTATTAAACCAAGTTTCGTCCTGCGCCTCTTTCTGGGCCCCAATCCTCTGGCCAATCTCATGGCTCGACTGTTTGCCTGGGCGTGCGTGCAGCGCATATTAAATAAATATTTAAATAAATGTATAAGCAAGCCCCTCTCTTACCTGTTCAACAAATTGTCCACCGGAGGTACATGGGTGTATATGTGGACAGAGGTACGAACAAAAAAAAAAAACAGAGAGGAAGGAAGGACGCAGACTTCATTTGCATAAAAATTAATTTTGCATGTCATCTATTTGTTGCCGTTGCGCCCTCTTGAGTTTTACTTTCTGATTTCAGCCGGCTTTCTAACTCCGCTTCTTTTTGTGAATTTTTTGCCATTTTTTTTCGTAGCAACTGCAAGCCGTGTCCTGTGGCCAAGCCAACGTTCCTGTGCGGTGCCGACAACAGGACCTACTCATCACTATGCAGATTGGATTATCACAATTGCATACATTCGACGTCCATACGGATCGCCTGCAAAGGATTCTGTCCCTGCAAGGGTGAGTCGAAGTCCTCATCCTCTTCTATTTTTTTCTAGCCACAACAAACGAAGTACGAGTGCCGGGAACAAATAACATGGCCAACCCGAAGCTGAATCAAATGTTCCGCATAATGAGCTCCAGCCTGGCAGTTCGCCAGAGCCGAAGAGTGAAGAGTGAAGAGCGAAGGACGAAGGACCTCCGCTGACTACAAAATAAATTGCATGCATATTTTGCGACAGGCTTAGTCGCCATTCGCCAGTTGTTTGCCCATGAAAGTATGCTGCAAAAACTGAGCTGAGGGCTAAAAACGCGATTTGTTTTGGCCAAAGGGAAGTTGGGGAGGGGAGAGGTTCTTCCCTCAAGCAAGCTGGCAATTAAAAATTCCAATTACCAAACAATGGTTTTGGCTTTAAATATTTTGCCCCGGCACATCACTTGTTAAATATTTAATAGGCCGGCGAACAAGTAGCCGACGCCATTGTTTCACCGCCCATTGTGAGCGGGCCGAAAAACCACTCAGCCAGTCAGCCAGTCAGCCACGTTAATTTTCAATTTTGCACAGCTGAGGGAGCAGTGTTGGCCGGAAAAATAAAGCACAAGTGCAGATGCAGAGTGCAGAGGGCGATGGCTCCTCTGGTGCAAAAAGTTAGCCTGTTTCAGCGATTTCCTGACCGCCATTTTGCCACTTGGCCGTTTTCGCAGAGAACGTCGATGGCAAGCGGCTGCAACGCATCGGTGGCTACAACAAGTACAACAAGAAGATCAACCTCGACCAGCAGCAGCAGCAGCAACAACAGCAGCAGCAGGCCTACAAGGACAGCAACAACAACAACATCATGATGTCCAGCGGCAACATTATGGGCGGCAACAACAACGACTTTAATACGATCATGAATGTGAGTTAATGGCGTATGAGCCGTATATATGGTTTTTATATCGGAGTATTTCGCAGGATAAAGAGGACAACAACAGGCACTACAACCACATCAATGCCCAGTACACTTTCACGCCCGAGGAGATCAAGTATGACAACAAGCACTACAAGTACCTCAAGTACACCGCCTACAAGAAGGTTAGTGAACCGCAATCCATGGAGTTATTTGGTGTTACCAACTTTTTTGCAATTGGCAGGACGCCAAGTATCAGGAGGACAAGCGCAAGATGCGAAACTACAACGAGGTGGTGGAGAAGCAACAGCAGAAGTTCAATAAGAACAACAACTTGAATGGTAAGGGATTGTTTATAAACAGAATAGGATATAATCACCATTTAAAAACTTCACCTTAGAACTAATTGTGTTTTATTTAAGAATAGTATTTCAGTTTGCAATCAGTATTCTTATAATTTATTTTTTTATCCTCCCAGCTTACCCCTCGAAGTCGGCGGAGTGCAAGCCGCAGCAGCTGACGGCGATCGGCAACAGGTTGCTGGACTGGTTCTCGGTGATCATGGCCGATAGCAAGAAGCGCAGGCAGCACAGCCAGAAGTCGAAGGCCCACTTCCCGCCCGCCTGCAAGACGGAGGCGAAGTGGATGTTCGGCCACCTGGATCTGAACAACGACGGGCAGCTGTCGCTGCAGGAGATGTACGACCTGGAGCACGACCAGAACGAGCGGTGCATCAAGCCGTTCATCGACACTTGCGACCTGGACACGGACAGCTCGATCAACACCAGGGAGTGGTGCCGGTGCTTCGAGAAGACGGACCGCCCGTGCGCCGCCGTTCGCCGGAGAATCGCCGGCGACTTTGCAGGTGAGATAGGTACAGGTGGACATTTCTCTGGCTACATAACACTAATACTTCTATGTTCTCTCTATATTCGTATGAGTTGTGCGGGGTCCTGGGCCTTATTTCTATGTACCATATGTGTATATCCCCACTCCACCCCCCAAACAACAAATAGAATACAAGAAACCAAAACCGATAAGCGCGAAGAGTAATTTGGTTTCCGTTCGTTGGTTTTCGATTTCAATTTCGATTTCGTTTACTTTCACCTTTTACCTTCACTCTCGGCCTCTATTTCCATCTCTTTCGCCGCCTCTGTTTTCCGTCTCTTTCGCGCGCTAAATTGCCATCTCTTTCGTACGGCGCTTTGTTGCCCGCTTAGTTTTTGTTTGTCTGACACTTTTTGCTCCTATTTTACACGCGTTGGAACCTTTTTCAACTATAATTAAGCGCCTGACAGCTAAATAGAAACCCTGACACACTTACACCCACACCAACACTCACATTCACACTCACACTCACACCCACACGCACACTTAAACACAAACAGCAGTTAACAAAAGTAACCTTTTTTCGCGCTGCTTTCGTTGTTAACTTTCGTTTTGTGCTCGCTGCCCTGTTTTTTCTATATCTCCAACTTTTAAGCCAGCAAATTAAACACTTTTAACAGCAACACAGAACTTTGCCGCCCGCTGTAGAAAAACCGCCACTGTCCGATGCTTTTTGTGTTTGCCTTTTTGAAAGTCCTCTCCCCTTACACACACACACACACACACACACTTTATATATATAAATGTACCCAACTATATAATTTCTTCCTTTGTTCGACCCGAAACAAAAAAAAACATAGATCCAGCAACAACTTGCTTGTGCCGCTTCTCACTGAATCCAAAACTAACCCACCCATTACTGCCCCTCAAAGTTGCCCCACTAAAATGTTGCGCTTCTCTAAAACTAATTAGGCGCCTACGCACCGGACTGCGACATCCAGGGATTCTACAAGCCCACCCAGTGCCACAGTTCGGTGGGAGTCTGCTGGTGCGTCGACAAACACGGAGTGGAGTTCGCCAACACACGCACACGCGGCAAGCCCAACTGCGGTGAGTACTTGGGGCAGGGAACGAACAGTAGCGACTGCACTGGGGGTCCAGGATATGGGCACTTAACCCAAACATTTGACGGGGCACACAACAAAGGTCCACAAAGTTGCAAAACAACCATAATCAGGGGAGATTTCCAGCGGAAGTGGGTTAAGCTGGTCAGTTGCGGCATTTAACCCACCTGAAAGGGGCTGAAATAGTTCACAACTATAGGCTTTGTGGCAAGAAGCCCAGGAAGACCTACTGATTAGGCTAGCCTAAGCTTTCTCCTTTGTTCAGGGGATTTTTTAAAATATTTTTATTGGGTAAAATTATTGGTCAAATAACCAATTTCCAACTTACCTAATTTTATTGGCAGAACTTTTATATTTTTTAAATATATAAAATGGAGAGGAATACCATAGCCTTTTATTAATATGGGATATGCTTTCGATTTGTTTCCTTAACTAAAGATTATTACTATTATTATTTTTATAACACCGATACACTCTAATTCAGAGGGTTAATGCAAAGTAAATGAACATATGCCTCCGTAATCCTCAGAGGTTTGCATTCACTGCAGCTGGCAGTCGCTACCAATTAATGTGGAATCCCTTTGGATGAAATATGCCAACAATACGACTGGCGTTCCTTTAACGATTTTCGTGGCAATCGAACTGTGGCAGCCGGCCCACGATTTGCCACCTGAACCCTGGCCATCCTACCGGATTGAAATATCAGCCTTTAAGCCAGCTTTTATGGCCCAATGCTGAGTTATGCGTTGCCGCAGTGCCGGCCTATCGGTATCGAAAATACCTCGCACTCCACTGCGTATACGTAATCTGCTTATCTCTCCCTGCGCCGTTAACTTGGCCTACGGTTGTGTCCTTGTTTCCGGAACCGAGCTGGTTTAACTCAGCACTTAAAGTTGTTAAAGTTGTCGGGAGCACGGACAAGCCAGTCGGGGTGGATCGGTAATTGAGTTTTCCTATTAATATCTCACATTCGCCATGCATAACACATGAGCTGCCAGCGAAGGGGTTCTCGCCGGTTCGTCCTTTTCGAAAGTAACGGACAAGGACGCTCTGCGGCTGACCGCCATCACACATGCAGGCGAATGAGAATGGCGACGGGTCAGATTAGTGGCGGGGCATCCCCATAAATCGAGGCACACACACAAACACATTCTAATTTCGTGTCCAATCCAAACAGAGTCCGTGGTTAATAACGCCGCATCGCTCACATCCGATGACGAGGACGAGGGCGCCGATGACGAGGACAGCGCGGAGGGCAGCGCCGATCAGATCATGGTCTTCTAAGCCCAGCAACAGCTCCAACTTGGGATACCGATTGCCCAGGGCCCTGGCGCATCCAATCAGCGAGCTAGCGTTATAACAGAAAATTAATATTATTATTATTATGATTGCAAACAGAGAGAAAGCAAGAGAAACGTGGAAGTAAAAGCAAACGCAGCAGCGAAAACCCAAGCCCGAAAACAGAAACATAAATGTGCAGTAGCCAAGTAAGCGTTTTTGAATAGAACTACGTATAGCAAACAGCAGAAGCAGCAAAACACCCACACCCACACACACACACACACATACATTCTAACACCCTCACACACACAATCCAAGCCGCCAAGGATAACTAACAGGAGCCAGACGAAAAGGAGGGCGAAACTGAACAGAAAATGTAGCATAGTTGAAGGCGCATCGCACGCAAATTGGCAAATCGCTGATGCCAACAGTAGAAACCAGTGGAAAAACACCCCAAACCACACTTGTATTTTTCGTTTTCAGTCAATCAGCACAGCCACATTTCCTCCTTTGTGTTATCACTGTTGTTTGCACGGATGGGTGACCTCAGTTATCGTCCAGTTATCCGTCTATTTTAGCCTTTCGCAGAAGAATTAGATCCTTCCAATTGTCCTCCTCTGCTTTCGCGCAAGCAAAACACGACACACGCTAAGAATTCCGCCCAAAAAAAGTATATAAAAATTTATGTGATAAGTTTTTGAAATGAATGAGAACGCGAACGAAGTAGGCAACTAACCATCGTCACAGGCTAGCGACTCCAGGGCCCTCAGGATCGAAGGATTGCAGGATTGCAGGATCGAAGGACGAGACACAGGAACGTGTGGCCAAAAAAGTAAAGAGAGAGAGAGTAGTTTGAGAAGGGTTTTTGGTGGAAGCGAACTCATAGTTGCATATGTACGAAACATAAATCGCGTTCATTTAGTGTTACTTACCAGATTTATAGTGAGAGATCCGGCGCTTGCAAGGCTTTGTTAGGAGGCTAACGTCGTTTGTATCAGCACCTGCCAGGGCAAAAAACAGAAAGTCAGCACCTGCTTTTATGTAAACCGATTGTCAGAAATACACCCACACCCACACACGCACTCCAGTACATTTTGGGCATCCAAAATCCGGGAGGCGCATTGAAATTTCCACACACTCGTAGGACATACGACATTAACTTAAGGGAAGGACTCGGCAAGAGATTCGATAAACGGCAATTCGCTTATACATGCATATATAAATAAAAATATATAATATGTTTAACATGTAAGTATATAAGAGGCATAATTAAGTGGCAGCAAACCGCAGATCGTCAGACCGCAGCTCATCCTCAATTTTTTTAATTCCGCCCTTCGATATTTTCCAGACGAGAGAATTAATAAAATACAAATAATTAAATCGGAATTTTAACACATTTATGAGCGAAAAGGATAAAAACGTAAAAATGCTTGCAAAAAACGAAATTATATAGCCAATTGTAGTAAACAAAACCAATGCATATAAATAAACCTTTTAATTATAGCAAAAATTTATAACCAACAAAGAACATTAATAACAATCATTTGCGATCAAGCGAAGAGTGGAGAAAAATATCTGTTTTCGGCTGCATTTAAAGCAAAGAGCAAGAGAAAATCGAATACAAATTATTTGTGGTGAACACCCTATAACTGACTATGTACTACGATTACGATTGTATTTATGTATGTATTTATGAACTTGTGTATTATTATGCAAATTGCATTAAATCTAGGGAACCGGAAAGGCAGCCACCATAGAAACCGAAAACTAATCTAGAACAGATCTTGGCACTGAACATTTTCCCGAACTCAGTTATCGAACATTGTTTTCCCGCAATTTACTTTCATAAATATCAATTCGACATAGAATCATAATACGTACGTAATGCATTTGGAAAAGATTTAAGAATACCATATACTTTGATTCGATAGCACAGGTTTTCGTTTCTACTAACTACGATTCGTTTATGTATGGAATGATGAAATCAATAAATATTATTTAATGCAATTCAAGTGTCGACTCTGTTTTTCTAATGAATCGCCAGCAGGTAAGGATCTACGGCCAAGTTTAATGGGACTTCAGGGCGCGTGCAAACTACCTTGTTGACCACATTAAACAAATTGTGGCAACTTGTGACATTTAAACGGGGTACATAACAATGCCAAAACAGCAAGAATGCGAATAGCTAACTATAAATTTACGAAGCTAATTTTATGCGCGCACAAGCAGCAAAAAGCCAAACAACAAGCGGCGAAAAACGAAAACGAAAACCAGAAGAACTCAACGAGGGCGACGCGCAACAGGCGCCCAAAACAATTATGGCACAGATTTAAATAAATTTCAGTTCGGTGGGGATGGCTCTTTGGGTGCGGGGCTCTGTGTATGTATATGGAGCAGAGTAGAGCACAGTAGAGCACAGTAGAGCAGAGTAGAGCCGAGCAGAACAAGTCAACGCCAACGCCAACGAGTTCACACGCTAGTTGGTTGGCGGGGAACGATAGCCTTATAGCCATTCAGCGGTGTCAAGGGTGCTGAAAAGCGGCGGCAACTTTGGCTTGCCGTTCAAAACGGAAGTTCCCGGCGACAATTAAGCAACTCACACACTACATAGAGGGTAGTAGGTTCTCCGGCGAAGTTGCACTTACATTCTTAGTGAAGTCAGTCAGTCAGTTAGTCAGTCACTCAAAGTTCACTGCTGCCGGCTGCACAGTGAAAACTTGTTCGAACAATTAAATTTACAATGTTTTGAAACTATTTTTAAGGGCAAACAGTTTATTTTGAATATTCTATACTTGTTATATTATTTTTAGAAGTTATATAGATATATAAAGAAAAAAAATATTTTATTTAAAACTATAACTATTTTTCTGTGTATACTCATTATTCTTGTTACTAGATTTTTGACTAGCTTGGACTAAATATTTGGCCAACATCAACAATCCCGGCTGAGTCTGCGTCGGCTCATTTGCATAATTCTGTGAAGCAGACAATGCGACAAGTTGCACATGCAACGCCTGGCTGCTCGGCTCGACCAGATTGAAGCCCCCTTCGCCAGACGGTCTGCGAAAATAAGGCCGAAATGCTTTCATGTCACCCAGACGTTGGCGGTTATGGGTGCCTCATTGTTCCGCCCGGAAGAACCCTTGACTTTTTGGCATTTTTAATTAGTGCTTTGGATATGTGCTACTATTTTGTTGCATGGCAGTTGGTAGCTTTTATTTTTATGCGTCATTCGGGCGTCACTGGGCCCTTGTTGTTGACACCACGCACATACTCGTCCAAGACTTTATAGTTCAAGGTGAATACGTAAAAGTTGTGTGCAACTGGAAATAAACTCACAGCTGTTATTGTGGCAGCCTTTTGTGTTCGGCCAGAGTGTTAAAAATTTAAACTGGCCCCCGAACTCATCCTGCGATGTTGCTGCAACATTCTGGCTTCGTGTCACGCCACTGAATGTTTCACATTATTTAACCCCGTTCCCTTTTTTTTTTGTTTTTTGGGTGGCCTGTAGTTCATGGAAGGGATGAGGGGTAACATGCTGCAGGAGGCGTGGCCTGCAGCTGCTTGCAACGGGCAATTATTGCGCAGTTATTGCATGTCGTGTGCAATGCCTATGAATTATTACGTATACGCAGTGTGTCCACGGCGAAAACGAAAGTCGAGGGAATGGGCGGTGTTCATGCTGCAGTTGTTAATAAATTCAACGGAATTGCTATAGTTTTTATTTTTAATGGCTGGAATAGTAAGTATAATGGATTTTTCTCATTGATTAACGATGTTATTTTGAACAAATTGCAAATTGCAGTATGCTACATGACTGTTAAGATTGCATATAGTTTAATACTTCATAGATGGTTTTTTTTTTATCAAAACTTAAGCTAAACTTATAGTTCTGATAAATAAACTATGTCATGGCCTAGCCTAGTATGTTAGATAAAGACAAGGAAACAATTTAAACTAGGCATTGTGGTACAAAATAGCTACTTAAGCTAGGCACATTCTATATGGCAAAACCACACGCTTTGGGAAAAGCTCCTCAAGTCGGATGGCGTTCATTAAATTAGGTAATCGCATGTGCCCTTATGTCAACCATATCGCCGCTCAACCAAGACATTTCGGTCGCTGAGGCAATAGAAATAGAGCGCCAACGACCTTGGCCAACTTGCCAATGGGTTCCAAGTGGCAACCGCAAAGGTCACGCACAGTTCGCCATCGCAAATCGCGCACCGCCGATGGAGATATATTGCGTATCGAGGGGCCCTTTGATGACGCACCTGCCACTAATTAGCGATAAACAATTGACGACGGAATTGACCCGCTTGCGTTTGCCAACGGTAAGACCCAACTAGAGCCAAGAAAAGGGGCCAACGGCACGGCTATTTGTCATTCGGAAGCAGCAGTTACAAAAGGGGGAAACAAACGTTGTCAACGCCAAAACCACTGAACTGTTAAAAGTGCCATTGAATCCCCAGCACAACAACACAACGGGCGATGCTGGGCGCAACTGTGCAAACAAACAAACTGTCGGAAAGACAGCATGCATGGCTAGATGCGGTGTCTGCTCGACGGATTCCACCTGAACCCAACCGTGCCCCAAACTGTGCCCCGAGATGGCGCACAGACGCCCTGCCCCATTTGGCCCAGCTGCCCCTCCACGAGTTGTTGTGGGCCCTCCGCAAGCGTTAAATAGTTTTGTTTATTGCACATTGAAATCGAGCCAGCGAGCAATTCAATTCGGTGGCTGCTCCGCGCGCGACACACTCCAGCGATCTAATCAGCAATCTCGGCGACGGAACGCTGTCATGGAATTTCTCATACGCTCGGTTAGCCGCGACGTCGACGCTCGATCGAATATTTTCCCATTGCACTCAGAGAGATATCTACCTTACTTAAATATATGGTTTATTTCAGAATATTTAACTCCCTTATACTATATAAATCCTATTTGGTGCGACTTAATATGGGGAAATGTTTATTCATTTAACTCAATTAAAACCTAACTGAAACTGAAAGTGTTCCATATATATTTAAGTGTATTAAACCCTATTTTTCCAGGTTGATGAACAAAAAACCCAAAATATACATTTTGTTCAGTGTACAGCTGCTGCTGCGTCAGAAGCACTCATATCATTTACATACGCAGCTTTTCGGAGTGACTCCACGAGTACCTGGCGCTCTGAAACCTCTGGGGGATGGATCTCTCGACTGGGAGCCCTGATCAGAGTCGGCTATTTGCAAGTCGAGAGTCGCGCGAGTCAGACGTGCGATCGCCCCAGCAAATTAAAGAGGATTTAAATAAAAGCAAACAGATATAACAAAGTGCATTCGGCTAATGGAAGTGGTCAAAGTCAAAGCCAAAAGCCACACGATATTTTCAAAGCAAATAAATAATGAATAAGCGAGATCGTGTTTAAATGTAATTAGCACAGCGATGTTGCTGGTGGCTGTTTGACCCACATTTGCAAATCGTGCTAATTTATGTTTTATGCCAAGTGAACAGGATTCGGAATTAAGCTGAAGCTAAAGTGGAACCGGGTACTCGGTCCTGGGCAATTTGCATACATGCAAATAGTTCAATCTGCAGGCGATTGAGTGGCAAACAATCCGTGCACGTGCCGAAAGTGTTAAAGTGTGCCAAACATAACCAGCAAACAGGCAAAAACGCCAGTGTATAAATAGCCCTCCCCCCGGTTCGTGTAATGAGTGTACAAGCCTGACCCGTGTTCCAGCCAAAAATCAATTACAATTTATTGCACGAGCATGCCAAACGACGATTCGCGGCCGAAACCACAAAAACGCATCTGAAAAACAATGCCCCAATCATCTTTGTCCGCCCATTGGGTATGCAAATTAGCGATTTCAGCGATTTTGCTAATGCTGCAGCAGAGTGCAAGCGGTGAGCTCCATTCCGAGGTCGAATACCGTTCTCAGTTAGCATTGCCAATTGGCTAAATTCACCTGAAGCGTCTTACCGCATTTCATTCAGTATTTTTAGCCGCTTACCTGGTGCATTTTCAGAGAGCATTTGTGCGAGAGTGGTGAAGATGCACTGGCAATTTGCATTCAATAGCAAAATGGAAAACCAAAACCAAAACTGCACAGATCAATTTACAAGTTGAAGTGGGGCGGGGGTTGCTAAATGTGCATGTCAGCTGTTATTATAGATTTATTTGCAAACAACCTGAGAACGTGTTTTCAATTGATTTAATGGGAGAATGCCCTGCACAAGGAAGTGCCTAGGTGTTGATGGGGGAAAACTTTAAGTTATGAAAGTTAAATTAGAGAAATCTAACCCTTTTCTTGTTTGTTAAATTTATTCCTAAAAGAAAATGTAATTCTTTTTTTCTTCAGAATTATAATGATGAATGAATTATAATGACTTCACGTTGTAATTTAATAGTAATAATTCCATTTCATGTCATCTTAGACATTTTTAAACCCCTGCTTAAAGCTTAGCTTACATATGCTTGATTGATTTTCCCATTGCCTACTTATGCATAAACATTTCATATTAATTGATGACATACGTCTTGAATAGAAATCAATCCCTACGATGACTGCTCGGCAATTTGAAAAATGTTTTGGCTTGCAGTCATGCGGATCGAATAGTTTATATTCACATTCATGGCATTCCTTTCTGCCCTCCAGTTGCCCTGCTGCTCAAGTGTCCGTTGCACCAGCTGCAGTTGCAGAAGATCGTTGGATTCCGCCCACCATTGGAGAACATGAATGAGGGCAACCTGATCTACGGACCGGAAATGGTGGGTAACTTCAAGGATCGCGACCAGGAACTTCCGGTGAGCCAGATTTGCTGGAGGATCTGTAACGAGGATCCCGACTGCATTGCCTATGTGCATCTTTTGGATACGGATGAGTGTCATGGGTACTCGTACTTCGAGAGAACTTCGCGATATCTGGCCATTTCGGGGGAACTGCCCTTGGTTTCCGATGGCGAGGCCGTGTTCTACGAAAAGACCTGCCTCCGAGGTGAGTAACTCCGGATGGGGGCTAACCCGACCTTCATTTGGCTCTAACATTGCAGTTCCCGATGCGTGCCGTGGGCGTCTGTGGGCACTGACCAAAATCCCCGGCAGCACGCTGGTCTTCCAGAGCAAGAAGACCATTTCGACGCTGGTCACGCGGCGTGAGTGCGCCGAGCGCTGCTTCTTCGAAAGCCAATTCAAATGCCTCTCCGCCTCCTTTGCGCCCTCGTATCGGAACAATCGTGAGCGGTAATTGACTGTTTGGTGGTTGCTTGTTGTTGTTGACGTTGTCGTTGTCGGTGTTGTTTGTTGCCGGACAAATTAATTGTTGCTTTTATTTTGCATTTTTAATGCATGGCCAGGGCTTTCAGCCGGATTATGACATCACTCGCAGGCAGTGATGGGATAGGTTAGGTATTTAAAAATGTTCCGTAAGCACAGTACAGTATGGGTTTTAAGCTCACAGTTTACAAATTTTATGAATATTTTAAATAGTATATATTTAAAAAAAAAAAAAACAGCAGTTCGTTTAGGAATCTCATTACATAAGTTTAGAGGTATGTTACTTTAAAATCGGAAATATCTGACATGAACAGGGGTCAAAAAATTGATCATCACCGATTTAAAAAATTTCAACGGGAATCGTTCAGGAATTCCATTACAAATGTTTAGAGGTATGCCACTTAAAGATCGGATACGAATTATCAGAGTTATGGCTACTGGAAGTGCTAATTTGGGTCTCCTATTGCAATTTATGATTAATTGGGACAAAAATCTGACATGAACAGGGGTCAAAAATTGGACCATCACCGATTTGAAAAATTCCAACGGGAATCGTTCAGGAATTCCATCACAAATGTTAAGAGGTATGCCACTTTAAGATCGGATACAAATTGTCAGAGTTATGACTACTGGAAGTGCTAATTTGGGTCTCCTATTGCAATTCATGGAACATTGGGACAAAAAATCTGACATGTACAGGGATCAAAAATTGGACCATCACCGATTTGAAAAACTCCAACTCAGTTCGTTCAGGGATTTGGGACTTTTATAGAAAAGTAAAAAAATGGACCATTATCGATAATACATTTAAATGCAGCTCGTTAAAATGGTCTAGATATGAACTTTACGTGCAGTTTTAAAAACAAATTAACGTGCTTTATAAAGATCCCGAAATTTTTAAACGATTTTCCTTTGTCTTCACGTGCAGGTTCCGTGGCGAGGCGGGGCCTGGTCAGAGTCCTTCCCCCCGACTGGGCAGGTGTATGCTGAGCGACAGGGACAAGACCATTCAGCCGGACGCGTTCCGAGCGGCTCCCTACGACGAGGAGTACATGGAAAACCAGTGTCACGAGCGGTCCGTCGAAAGCGACAACTGTTCCTATGAACTGTATGCCAACAGCAGCTTCATCTACGCGGAGGCCAGGTATTTGGGCCTCTCCCAGAAAGAGGTGTGTCCGCCGCGCTTCGGCTGTCGCGCATTATGATTGTAATCGAAATAGATGGGAGTCGGTTGAGTGATTGATGACCTCCACCTCCGTATTCCAGTGTCAGGCGCTATGCTCGCACGAGACCAAGTTCTACTGCCAGGGCGTCTCCTTCTACTACGTGAATCATGTCTCCCTATCCGAGTGTCTTTTGCACTCCGAGGACATCGTTTCGTTGGGTCCACGCAGCCTGAAACTCCGGGAGAACTCTGTCTACATGAGAAGGGTTAAGTGCTTGGATGGTGGGTAATCATTTGGGATATATAGTGTGACATTTTAATCGTTTTTATAACCGTCAGTGAGGGTTTTTTGCACCCGCGATGAGATGTCCATCAAGTACAACCCAAAGGACTGGTTTGCTGGGAAAATATATGCCAGCATGCATTCCAAGGACTGCCTAGCCCGAGGTTCCGGCAACGGAAGTGTCTTGCTTACGCTCCAGATCGGCAGCGAGATCAAGGAGAACCGCTGTGGAATCCTGCGGGCTTATGAAATGACACAGGAATACCAAAGGTAAGGGGCAAGTTAAAGCATCTTGAACACAAACAATCTAAAAGTATTATCTTATATACCTTAAATCCCTTTGGCCAGAACCTTTATATCCGCCCTTGTGGTCATACAAAATAACCCGAATGTGCAGACCCAGGGCGATCGGCTCATCAAGGCGGGATGCATCCAGAGTAACGCCACCACCTCGTTGGGTGTTTCAGTAAGAGACAGCAGTGTGGATGCTACAGAGCACGTGCCTAGTGCAATTGCCTTAGAGTCCTCGCTGGAGTATGCCGAACAGTGAGTTTCTTTCCGGTAAAGTATCCCAAAAGCCTATTAACCTCCTTCTAAATCCCTTCAGCATGTTTCCGCACGAGGGCGTGGTGCACTACAACAGCAGCACTGGTCCCAATCCCCAGCCCAGCATCTCCCTCCAGATTGTGGATTTGTCCCACCAGCACGAGACGAACGATGTGCAGATTGGTCAAAACCTGGAGCTCCAAATCGTGGCAGAGTACAGCCCACAGCAGCTGGCCGAGCACATTGATATCCAGTTGGCACCGCTACCGGATTTTCGAGCCACCTCATTGGTGGCCAAGACCATGGACAACGAGAACTATGTGCTGTTGATTGATGAGCGCGGTTGTCCCACGGATCCTAGTGTTTTCCCGTCCCTGGAAAGGGTTCACTTAGCCACCAAGAACATGCTGCGCGCCCGCTTCCATGCGTTTAAATTCTCCGGAACCGCCAATGTGAGCTTCGATGTAAAGATCCGCTTCTGCGTGGAGCGCTGCTCACCCAGCAATTGTGCCAGTCCATCCTGGCAGAGGAAAAGGCGGCAGGCGGATCAGTCAGCACGAAGACCTCAAGACCTCCGTGTGCAAAATCCAGTGTACATCTCAACCGTGGTGGATGTGGCACCGGAACAGGAAAAGAGCAACCAATCTACTGCACAGGAGGAACTGCCTCTGAACTACAACATCCGGGTGCACGGTCCGGATCAGACAAATGCCAAAAGTTACCTTTACGGCGAACGAGGAGTGTTACTAATTGCAGGGATTGACGATCCCCTACACCTAGACAACGTGTGCATCAATCAGAGCCTATTAATCGCTCTCTTCATTTTCTGGCTGATTTGTCAAGTGGCACTACTTTTCGGCTGCGGGATGGTATTGCAACGCTACCGACGGCTAGCCAAGCTCGAGGATGAGCGCCGACGGCTGCACGAGGAGTACCTGGAAGCGAGACGCGTTCACTGGGCAGATCAAGGCGGATACACACTTTAGCTTTCGGCTGGGACGCAATGCGTTCAAAATGCATCTTAATTTAATAAATATAATCCTATGCGATTCTTACAAACGAGTGCGAATAATTCAGGAGTTCTTTTTGGGATGATAGTGCTCCCACTTGCGGTGATTCAGGGAGTTGAAATCGGGACAGTGGTGGGCAATCTTGCGCAAGTAGTCGGACAGCTTGAGAAGCTCCGTGTCCGTTCCTCGGTTAAGATGAGCCTGACGGAAAGGACGGATCTTAAGACCAGACTTGGGGTTCATCAGAAAGTTGCGGCGGATATCGTCGAACATGATGGTGTTGCTGGAGCTGTATTGCTTGTAGAGGGCCCAAATCACACCCAGCGGCTTCACATCCACCACTCCGCGTTCCGGTACATGAACCGAAATCATGGCCGTGGAATCTAAATAGAACATAACCTTGTAGTTCTCGTTGTTGGCTACACCAAGCAGTCGCATCTTCTCCTCGATCCAGCGCATGCTTGTGGCGGACCAGATCACAATGTCGTAATCCTCGTAGGCAGAGGCGAGGAATTCGTGCAGATACGGACGCATGAGCTCTGTGCCCGTTTCAGCCGGGGAACGGTGATCGAATAGAGTGTAGTCAATGTCCAGGACCAGAAGCTTTTTGCCCTCGCGTGGAGGCGACAGCTCCTTGATCTTGTAGTCGCGCACACGACGTTGTACTTTGGCCAAATAAACGGCGGAGTGTTCCACAGATTCCTCACGCTCCTCGGCGTCATCAAAGTCGTCGACCACCTCGCCAATGTCGTCCGGTAGGCTGCAGGCATCCTCGATGTCCGCCTCTGTTGAACCCACCATCATCAGTTTGAAATTGGGCTTCAGTTCCAAAGCACTAATTTTGATATTATCGGCAGCTGTCTTTCCTGCAAGTCATGGGATATTAAATTACCGGTTCTTTTGGGATTAGGGTTTGTTTAGCTGCCTACCTTTATATTTGAGATTGAGCAGCTTCTGGCGCTCTGGGCGCACCTGTGTCTTGCGGAAGATCTCGTGGCGGAGGACTTCCACGGTGTCCTGGTCGGTGAGGTCCACAGGATACTCCTTGCCGCTCCATTTGACAATTACTACAACTTCCTTGACTTCCATGTTTGTGCGGACTCCAAGAGCTATTACACCATTAATGGCTAAAAGACCTGTTGCAATTGTTTCAATTTTTCTTACTGTCTAGGAATTTATTCTTTTTTTCTAACAAATAAACAGCTTGGAGCGTCGATGCAGTGTGAACAAAGATGTCAGAACAGCGATGGTACTATTGACCTGAAAACGATAGTTGAAAAACAATATTAACTCATAATTATTGTCTTTATTATTTATCTTTTTGTACTTACATATCACACGAATTTTTAAATTGTAGTTAATATTTATCTAAGTCGTACCTCTTTTATCCTTCCCGGAACATCCTTAATGCTTTCACTTAACATAAGCCGATAGTATCGCAATAGAATCGAAAACTGCGACTGCTTACCAATACTGGTCACCAGCTGAATAACAAAACTTGGGGAAAATAGCATAAAATTAGCTCGAAAATGGACTAAACAAAGACAGCGAACCGTGATCGAAGTCTGCATGAACTATTTAACGATTCTGCTGTGCAACCGAAAACCGACGATGCTCTCGCGGCGCAGCAAGGAGAAATCGCAGTCGCACAAGGAGGGCGTGGTGGGGAAGTACATGAAGAAGGACACTCCGCCAGAGATTCCGGTGATCAATGTGTGGACCAGTGACCAGCGGTCAAAGAAGAAGTCTTTGCAGCGATGCGCGAGCACCTCGCCCAGTTGCGAGTTTCATCCAAGGAGTTCGAGCACCAGCCGGAACACCTACTCCTGCACGGACTCCCAACCGGATTACTACCATGCACGGAGAGCTCAAAGTCAGTTGCCCTTGCAACAGCACACGCCTCTCAACCACAATCCCCACTCCCTGCCCCATCCTGCCCATCCGCATGTGCACAGCCATCCTCCCCTGCCGCCTCATCAATTCCGGGCGAGCAGCAATCAGCTGAGCCAGAGCAGCAGCAACTACGTGAACATAGAGCAGATTGAGAGGATGCGACGCCAGCAGTCGTCGCCTTTACTGCAGACCACATCCTCCCCAGTTCCAGGAGCCGGAGGATTTCAGCGCAGCTACTCCACCACACAGAGACAGCATCATCCCCACATGACCGGGGCCAGCTACGATGCAGATCAGGGGCTTTTGAGCGCCTCCTATGCCAACATGCTGCAACTGCCCCAGCGGCCCCACTCGCCCGCCCACTACGCCGTCCCGCCGCCACAGCAGCAGCATGCCCAGATCCACCAGCAGCACGCCTCCACGCCGTTCGGCTCCACTCTGCGGTTCGACACATCGGCCATGTCTATCAGGGATCGACAGCCGAGATATCAGCCCACAAGGTAAAGCACAAGAGATTCAAGTATAAACGGCCAAAGTTTAAATAAATTTGCTTAACAGGATTATGGTTTTAATTATATCAATCAGTTTTAGGTCAATCAATTTTTGTTTAGTTTATACAAGTAAATATGTTGACCTTTAATAGCTCAAAAACTTTCTATATAATTTAAAGCAAACTCATCTTTTTTAAAAAACAATGACTAATCAAACATTTCAATTTAAAAATTCCAATAAGAACATTTGTGCTTATCAGTTTATTTTCGAACATACAAAATCTAATGAGATTTTATGCATACTCACTTTTCTTGAAGGTCTGTAAGAGGAATATGAGCAGGTAGTGTTTAGAGCTAAATAAGTTGACAACTTTTTAAAAACTATACCTCTTCTCCCAGCAGGTCTCCCATGCAGCAACAGCAGCAGCTGCAGCACCAACAACTGGCAGCCCACCTGGGCGGGAGTTACTCCAGCGACTCGTACCCGATTTACGAGAACCCGTACCGCGTCTCCTCGATGCGCGCAACCCAGTCGCAGCGCTCGGAGTCGCCCATCTACAGCAACACAACGGCCTCGTCGGCCACGCTGGCCGTGGTTCCGCCGCACCACCACCAGGGTCATTTGGCGGTGCCCTCGGGAAGCGGCGGGGGATCGCTGAGCGGCAGCGCTCGTGGCGGAAGCTCTGGCAGTGTTCGCGGCGCCTCTACCTCAGTGCAATCCCTGTACGCTCCACCCCGAACTCCGCCGAGTGCTGCTGGTGGCACGGCAGGCAGTGCCAATGGCTCACTGCAGAAGGTACCTTCTCAACAGTCGCTCACGGAGCCCGAGGAGCTGCCACTGCCGCCTGGATGGGCCACGCAGTACACGCTGCACGGTCGGAAGTACTACATCGATCACAATGCTCACACCACGCACTGGAACCATCCGCTGGAGCGAGAGGGTTTGCCGGTTGGCTGGCGACGCGTGGTGTCCAAGATGCACGGCACTTACTACGAGAACCAGTACACCGGGCAGTGCCAGCGCCAACATCCCTGTCTGACTTCCTACTACGTTTACACAACATCAGCGGAGCCACCCAAGGCCATTCGACCGGAGGCGTCGCTCTACGCACCGCCCACTCACACTCACAACGCTCTGGTGCCGGCGAATCCCTATCTGCTCGAGGAGATCCCCAAGTGGCTGGCCGTCTACTCGGAGGCGGACTCCTCGAAGGACCACTTGCTGCAGTTCAACATGTTCAGCCTGCCGGAACTTGAGGGCTTCGACAGCATGCTGGTGCGTCTCTTCAAGCAAGAACTGGGCACTATCGTGGGATTCTACGAGCGCTACCGGTGAGTGAACGGTCGCTACTGCATTCTCTAGATAACTACTATTCTCTTTTTTCGATTTCAGTCGCGCTTTGATACTCGAGAAGAACCGACGCGCCGGTCAGAACCAGAACCAGTAGCAAGGTGACGACTGAACTGAACCAGACCGTATACTCGCCAGCAGCTATATAGTTTATAGTGTCCTGCAATCGACCTTTAACTTATTTAACCATCGACTCATCGCAAAATCAGTGCCTTAGACAAGACTAAACGACAGGAGGAAGAGCCAAGCCAATCCATGACAGTTCGAGTGCCTTGATTTAACGTATAAATGTGTTACGTTTGAAACACCCTTTTGTGTGATTTGAGCTTGGTGATTGTTTGTAAAATGTGCAAATTAAACTGGTTTACTGATCATCTTACTTGCCCAGTGCAATCGTAATCGACGTGCAACACGAACCCCACAGGTTGTTGAATTGGAGTCAGATATTTCCCCGGATGTTTTAAATATTGAGCCGCAAAGCGTAAATAAAGGCCAGCAGTTGGTGGCCAAGTCTTGCTTGACTTGGCTTGGCACATAATTTCGAGCTCCGTGCCAAGTTTTCGATTCGCTTGCAAAATTATGCATTGAGCACAAGTGGATCGTGGTTGATTCTGCATCAGCAAAAAAAGCCCCAATAGAAAGTGAATCTTGTATTTGTTTCTTTTTTTTTGCTTATGCTTATTTTCATTTGCCGTTGGAACGCTCGTTTACCATTTAGTCAAACTTGATAATACGGAGTCGTCGCCCTTATCGAATGCTAATATAACTTTACTGTTGCTCTTTCTGCAGGTTCCACAAACTGTTTCTTCTGTTGATAAGAAGTTTCAATGGCTGGAATAAAATACTCTATACAGTTGGGGATCCAAGAATTGTATAAACAAAAAACAACTGGGTTCTGTGTTTTCAACACCACCAGAAAATTAGATATTATTTAAAAGTGTCCTTCGGATTGGAGGACAGAGTAATCTTTCCAAAAGTTTCTTAATTTTTGTTTTAAACCTACTCTTTGTATACGATAAGAGCATTTATAATTGATCTTTTTGAGAATGAAAGCCCGTGCAAGAAATGCAAGTTGTAGTATCTTTACTGTTATCCCACACGTGCCGGCTGGAGGTTCTGTTTTGATGTGATAGCTCAAAACAAAGTCGTTTTATTTTAAAACCTGTCGAAGCTTCCAAGCCGACATGTGCGGTCAAAATTTGGCTGATCCCGAGTTGAAGTACCCGCCTCTTTTCAATAAATGTTTTTCCCAAGTGCAAAAATAAAATATAATAAAACATCAAGACGGCGGCGCGATTCGCTCTCGCTTCTCAAGTTCTTGTTGTTGTTGGGGCTGTACGTCGCTGCCAACATCGACGTCGGCGCTGACTGCGCAGCGACTGCACCGCTCCATTATTTATACGGCTCCATTGGATCGCGCACTCAGTTGCTGGAGAGTCGCCACCGGTTCCAAACTCATTTGTCGGTATTACCACCCGTTTAATCGTCAGTTAGGCACATTGTTTAACTTAAATTTTAACGTGAGTGATGTGATGTGTGGTATATCACTTGGCAAACAGTCTGTTTTAAGACTTTATCTTTACTACGACCAAATGAAGTAAAGAATGTCTGTTTCGTCAGCTGCAGAAATCTAAGCTCTGCTTTCTCAGACGCCAGTGAAAGTTCTAATCCGGCTAATAAACAGACGCACAACATTCGAATCTCGTGCATGGAATTATGAATGAATGTTGTTATTTACACAAATGGTTTTCCAAACGTTCTTTATCAAAAAAAAAAAAAAAAAAAAAACATGCGTAATTAAAATACATATGTGGTTTATTTAGAGAAGTGTGTTTTATTAAACTGTTTTACTACGCAAAAAAGATGTTTATTTGTTATATACAATTACATTATGGATCATAGATTATCAATTTCAACAGTTAGTGTGCAATGAATGATTTATAGGGAACCAAGTTCAGCCCCCGATCATGACTGGTCAGAAGGATCGTCAATGGTTATCTGGCGATCGCAGTGCATTGCCCAATCTACTGGCTAACTGTAGGTTGTGGCATACTGCCGCAATAATTCGAATAAAACCGATTGACACTATCAGCTCCATTGATTGAGATAAGCCCGTTCTCACGCGGTATTTACACTTCTTCACTTCACAATCGCCCTGTCACGGTCCTCCCAATAAACCCGCTCGCAATATAAAAATAGTCTGGAATCTTTCGTTTTTATGGCAGGCCGACAAAGCCGTGTATTTCCTGCTACGTCCATTATAAAGTGTTTGCTGCTCGATCGTCGCTGTCGCTGTCGCTGAAAATTTTGCTCTAATTGCAAAGTTGTAACATTGAGCTACATTTTTTGAAGGTTTGCCGACTCACGTAGCAAAATTTATCTCGGTGAAAAATTCTAGAGGGAGATTGAGTGATAGATAGATAAAATTGGCAACATGCTATTAGAAGAAACAAAAGACGTGCTTAAAGTTGTTGATTTATAACGAAAACTATAAAAAAATTTAAGTTAAAGTGAACAAAGTTAATGAACAATTGTTTTTGAGTGATTTATTCTCCGAAAAAGAGTGCGAGGAGTTGCATTCCAGACTCCTTGCAATTGATTTCCCTGATTGCCGTCAATTGTTCAATTGCAGTAATTCACGTTTAAATCAATACCATATAGGGCTTCATTGAAGAAGATGCCAGCAGGTCTGGAGACTCACGCATGAATAAGAAGACACAGCAAACCAGAATGGGTCGGCATCTGAGCACATTCCAGCTGGCTTTCCTGCTACTAATTACAGGTGAGTTTCCCCACCACCACCCAGATCCAGATTCAGATCCAGAAAAGGTGCTTGATAATGAGGGAGTTTCTCTTGCCCGCCACAGTCGCCCTGGGAAATGCCCAAACCAGTTCCCTGACCGTTGATTCCCATGACATCACCGTTCTCCTCAACTCAAATGAGACATTTGTGGTATTCGCTAAGTGAGTTGTAATTGCACAGAAATCAAAGCGACTTTACTCTACAATCCTATTATTACAGCGAAGCACTAACTACGGATGTGCAAGTCACGCTAACCACGGATTCGGAAAACCACTTGCGACTGGATCCTGCGTCATTTAGTTATCCTGCTGGCAGCAACCAGAATCAGTCGGTGGTGATAACAGGCCTGATCGCCGGCTATGTCAAAGTCGTCGCAGATAGCGATGCTGCAAACACGGAGATGTGAGTAATTTCTCGGAATTCGAAAAAATGTATATGCCCTATAAATACCAGGGAATTTAATATAATCAAATTGAAATAATACAAGTAAATTTCAACTTAATAACTAAGTAAATATTTTTTGCAGCGTTAAGGATGTCTTTGTGCGTGTTACTGTGGCCAAATCGAGAGCTCTTATATACACCTCGATTGTGTTTGGATGGGTGTACTTCGTGGCCTGGTCGGTATCCTTCTATCCGCAAATCTGGGTTAACTTTCGCAGGAAGTCAGTGGAGGGTCTGAACTTCGATTTCCTGGCCCTGAATATCGTGGGTTTTACCCTGTACAGCATGTTCAACTGCGGCCTCTACTTTATCCAGGATCTGCAGGACGAGTACGAGGTGCGATATCCTCTTGGCGTAAATCCTGTGATGCTCAACGATGTGGTGTTCTCCCTGCACGCCATGTTTGCTACCGTCATTACGATTCTTCAGTGCTTTTTCTATCAGGTAATCGGATCGGTGATTATTCCGAAAGTAAACTGCGAATTACCTGAACCCTAATATAACCTTATCATCGAAGTGACAACAATTATCCCATCGAACTGTCATTAACAACTAACACACTAATTGACTTTGATCAAAAACAGCAATTAGAATGAATCACATTGTGTGTTTTCGATAAAAATTAAGATAAGATATATCATTTGATTTATGCTACCTTTGGTTTTCCCTGATTTTACACAGAGAGCCCAGCAAAGGGTGTCGTTTATTGCCTATGGAATCCTGGGAATCTTCGCCGTGGTTGTTATTGTATCTGCAGGCTTGGCAGGAGGATCCGTGATTCACTGGCTGGACTTTTTGTACTACTGCAGCTACGTGAAACTGACCATTACCATCATCAAGTATGTGCCGCAGGCTCTGATGAATTACCGCAGGAAGAGCACTTCAGGCTGGAGTATTGGAAATATCCTGCTGGACTTTACCGGTGGTACGCTGAGTATGCTGCAAATGATCCTGAATGCTCATAATTACGGTACGTATTCTCCACCATCATATAATCCGGGTTAAAATATGAGTTTAACTTTCAGATGACTGGGTGTCCATATTCGGAGACCCCACCAAATTCGGACTGGGTCTATTCTCAGTACTCTTCGATGTTTTCTTCATGCTGCAGCACTACGTTTTTTACAGGTAATGAGGGTATTTCTTAAATATTTAGAAAAAATGTTTATTAAAGTATAGTACTAACCCAAAGCTTAAATATATATATTTATTTTAAGATTCTAACTAAAATTGCATCTCATATCGACTGTATACTTATCATTTCTGTGCTGTCTTTCATTTCTCCCCAGACATCCGAGAGAATCCTCGAGTTCTGATCTCACCACAGTTACTGAGGCCCAGAATCGATCAAATGAGTCGACGAGCGACGTGACGACTGTTAAATATTAAAGCATTAACATGTGTGCAGTTGACGACTTTTGTGCCAATAGCGCTTTATTGTACATTTTAGAATTGTAAATATATTATTTGTACGCTATAGCTGCATAAGCTTTTTTTAAATCGTGCCTGTTAATTAAATACTTGGGCTTTAAATTTCGGGATACATTTTTTTTAGAAGCCGCACCACTTTTGGAATAATCAACAGCCATTCGAAGGGATATGCAGTGAAACCAATTGCCTTTCTTTGGCACACGATATGCAAACCATTAAATAGATTAAATTGTTCATGAAGATTCACATATGTCTTTTAAACTTGGCGCTTGATGGGCAGCACTTTTGAGTAGGGGAAACAAATTTAATCGATAGTCTTTCGATAGGCGTAAGGAGATTGGCAGCCCCACCGGATCCAATAATTGCAGCCAATTTCGAAAAGTGAGGCAGCAAAGAGGAATTTTAACCGATTTTACCGTTGTCCCTGTTAAGTTAAGAAAATCAAAGATAACAACCAATGGTTGGATGATTGACTAGGCTTTAACCCAAACCTTTTGTTCTTTAGTTATTTAATGTTATACAACGTGCCAACTTTGACCCCATGCACCGCATAAGGGCTAGACGACACACTCTATTGCTGTTTCTTTCGAACTTATTGTTGTGATTGCGAACCGACTGACTGACGCCAAATCCTAGCGGAAAAGCAACAGTTGAAAAACATTTTTGCTAAATCTGCAATTATGTCTCTCAATAGAACTCCGTCGTTTAGCTTGATTATTGACCAGTAAGCGGACTTACAATTCCAGCAGAAGATTTCCAAATTAAGGGTATTATATTTTGCAGAAACCCTGGAATGGTTTCGCGTAGCAATAGTCAGTCCTTGATTCTGGACTCTTTTGAGGAATACTTAGATTTGTATCCCATCTTAAGCAATGAGAGCTCTGCGGCGCCACCGGTGAGATACTTCAGCAGTGGAATGCTGAGATCCTCAAACAGTGGAGGCCCCACCTTGCTGCAAAGTTTCGTGGCCAGTGGACTTCCGCATTTGATAACGCAGGTCGTCCACACAAACGGAGGATTCTATCTCGACAACAACTTGCAGCTTGTCAACAATTTGGGAAACCTGGCCAACAATTCCAATATATCATCAAAAAACATTGTCGGCAACCGGTAAGTGATTTTGAAAACACGCGCTCCATGCGATAACTATCGGGTGTCACGATTGTTTGCGTCTCGCTGCGAATGGCATAATCCGTAGCCTCGTCAGCGGTCGTAAATTTGTTGGTTTTAGCGATCCTAATTGTTTACCCCTTCTCCCTGAGTTACCGGTTGATCAGATATAGCTGTCGGAAATGTATATATCGCAGCCCATGTCGTGGCACAAAGTCAGGTACACCCGGGCCTTCAATATAAAATGGAACGAAAATCATGCATGTAGCAACACGCTTGTACTTGCACCATTCGCGCGACGAACTTGTTTGTGTTTGTTTCGAGCAAATAAGGCGCAATTCGACCCTTAATTATTGTTTTTATTTCTCACTATAGCAATGATTCCGACGATGATATCCAGGTGACCAACGAAGCCTCCATGGGATCGGCCGATTCCACAGCGGAGGATGTGCCGGTCGATATTGAACAGGCGGCCATCGAATCAGCTGAATTGTGGGTACCAGATACATAACAGGTGGTTTCTCACTTACTAATATTATCTTTTTAGAACCACCGAACCCATGGCCTTCCTCCAGGGACTAAACGTGAGTGAATCCTTCGATTTCAAACAACCATTTTCTAACATTTTTTACATCCTTTTAGTCCGAGAATCTGATGCAGTTCAGCCAGGTGGGTACTATCCTCAAATTAATGCATCTTAAAACGCTGCGAGAGATCAGCCTGCACCAAGATCAACAGAAAACTAGCCACCGCCGTAAACACACTGCTTATCAGCGTCATGTCCAGCTCGTATAGTCCCAAAGGTTTTATCTGGAACTTGGTCATCGTGACCAGCAGGGTGAAGTCATGGACTGCCTGGCGAAAGCGACAGTCCGCATGGCGTAGATCCATCTCCTGCAGTATGACCGCGGATCTCCTGGTGGCCACCAACAGGTGGTTGCACAAGTGCGTGAGCAACGTGATCTCCGCCAGCGAGATGAGCAGAAAAACCAGGTTGATCAGCGAACCCAGGCCATCGAACGGCTTGCCCATTATAAATGTGTCGGCAACGGCGCAGTACAAACTGTAGAAGCCCACTGTAATCCCGAGGAGGTGGCAGATGAGCGACAGGATCATGGACAGAGACATGGGAGTCAGATATTTCCCGGAATGCACATATATCAACATATAGATTTGCGCCAACATGTCCAGTTCGTCCGCAAAGGTGCAAAATCGCTGCATGCGGTAGTATCTGGTGTATATCTTCAGCTGGTCCTTGCGCTGCAGCAGATTCACCTCCTGCATTTGTAATTCTAGCTTGGTGTTCAGGGCATAGAGCATCACCTTCACCACCACCATAGCTCCAAAGTAGCAGTTGTTTAGCAGATTCGAAATAACCAAGGGAAACAGCCGGTAAACGGTCCAAATCAAACTCATCTCTGGATGCTGCCGCCTCTGCTGCATAATAAAGGCAATCTCGAGGATCAGAGGGAACACAATAGCCTTTACCATAGCCAGGGCGATGGATTTATACAGCGAATAGCTGTCCAGTTGAAGTGCACTCAGTGTTTTGAAGAATGGCACTCGACTCATCATCTTAGCCACATGGTCACTGATAATCATCTGCGACACAAAGTTAATAACAGCCACCGTTATGTTCATATAACTGTACAGAGTAATGGCATCCTTAAGGTTTATCTGGCCCTGACTGTAGTCCTTGTATATTTGACGGCCGTAAACCAAGCTGAATGCAATGGTCCACATCAAAGCGTAAGCCAGATATGCCTTCGAGAACCGAAATCTTTCCCGGCGGCCAGGGCGATACCGATTGGCCAGGAGTCCGAAAGCAGTCATAAAGGCTATCAGAGTGATCGTCAATAATTTCACCATCCGCCGGTGCGCGTAATCGCTGGTCAAGTCCATTTTTCTCGAACAATAGATTTAGACTGTGGCTGCATTTTCCATAGAGTACCTGTTAATGACTGCTTAATTGTTTTTCCTGCCAACCAACTGATGCCATCTAAAGGACCCGTCAAGTTGGCCGACACTATCTGACACATAGCGAAGCGCTTGTTTTACGCAGACTGTTTGGAAACCAACTGAGCATGCGTTGCGTTGGACATTAAAGCTGAAAAGGCCAGCGGCAAGCGACATTCCCCGTGTGACTCAGCATCTGCCTGCAATTTCATAAGAGAGCCGTGACGTCAAGACCGCTCAGGCCTCATTTTTCGTAAGAGAACCGAGAACAACGCATACCTGATTAGCGAGGAACTCTCCTATTTGTCGTCAACAGTTAGCAAAAATTGCAATCGCTTGTGAAAGACCAGAACAAAACAAATTATATCGTCAGTTCATTTGTTTTTGAGCGCGCAGCGACATGAAGCTCTATCAGCTCTATGAGCGCAAAGTTTGTAAAGCCTCTACTGGTTCCGGGTTATGTTACCATTAAACCGATGTCCTGTTTTTCATTTTAGCAATCCGTGCTACGCGAGATGATGCTGCAGGACCTTCCGGGCCAAGTTAATACACTGCCCAAGCTGGAGAACCACAACATTGGCGGCTACAATTTTAGCATGGTATTGGATGAGCCGCCCAAGTCACATTGGATGTTCTCGGTGCCGCTTAATAAGTTGTACATCCGGATGAACAAGATCTTCAACGTGGACGTTCAGTTCAAGGCAAAAATGCCCATCCAGCCGCTAAATCTTCGGGTCTTTCTTTGCTTTAGCAAAGATGTCAGTGGTCCGGTGCTGCGCTGCCAGAATCACCTAAGCTTGGAGCCATGTAAGAGGATCTCTTATTGGGAATCTAACAAAAATAATTATTACATTTTTTTTTCACATTTAAGTGACCAATCCGAAGATACGTGAGAGTTTGCTTCGCTGCGAGAATCCCAACAGTGTGTATTGTGGATCAGCCCAGGGCAAGGGCATTTCGGAGCGCTATTCCGTGCTGGTTCCCCTGAACATGTGTCGATCTGGCAACCGAAGCGGTGGTCACGTCCGCCAGACCCTGGCCTTTAAGTTTGTGTGCCAAAATTCATGCTTTGGCCGGAAGGAAACCAATTTGGTTTTTTGTCTGGAGAACGCGAGGTAAGCTTTAAAAGAACAATCTCACAAACTTTCCCTAACTCGTTTTCGTCTTGCAGTGGTGATATCGTAGGTCAGCAAGTTATTGAAGTCAAAATTTGCACTTGCCCGAAACGTGACCGTAACCAAGAGGAACGCCAAATAAATGGCAAGAAGCGCAAGTCCCTAGCGGATGGCACGGATGAAGATGAGCTGGACGTTAAGCCATCGAAAATGCGTCGGCGTAAAGGATCGTTTAAGTCAGATATCAAGAAGGAGGAGACGGAGAGCAACGACAGCCACGACATCGAATCCGCCGCAGATTGGAAGGTGTCGCGCACCGAGGATGGAGAGTACCATCTGGCCATAACATGCCCCAAAAAGGAATGGCTGCTGCAGGGCATTGAGGGCATGATCAGGGAGGCGGCGACTGGAGTGCTGCGAAATCCAAACCAAGAGAATCTGCGCCGCCATGCCAACAATTTGTTGAGCCTAAAGAGTAAGCCAGCGAACCGGTAGCTCATCAGTTGCAATGGTTCTCACCCGACTTTCTTTTTACAGAACGTGCCTGTGAACTGCCATGACTTCGGAGCTGTTCTACTTTTTGAGTACTTATTCTTAAGGAACATAGCACACCGTTGAAATATCTTTGCATCTGTTAGGCATAGATTTAGTCGTTTCATATTTTTATCATTATCTGTTTGTTAGGAGAGTAACAGTGATATTTCTATACGAAAAGAAAATGCTTTTATATTTTTGATAATGTTGTACTGCTATTAAATACAAAGCTTTAAATATAAGTATCTTATGTGTAACACAATGAGTGAATTCTCCGTACTCTGTACAAATAAGCCAACCAGTGAGTAAATAAAAGATTTGCCATGTTTAGAAACCCGATCCTTTTGGAGTACGCCAATGCCCAGATCCTACTGTACTCCTGCTGCGGAGCGCATGCTATGTGACATGTGTGGCTTGCGTGCGGTCAATGCTCTCGGGATCCATCTCAGCTAGTCTGCTAATATGTCAAAATCGCTGGGCTGCATTTACATATTTTATTTATACCCCGTATCTCTGCGCGTCTTTGGTTTTAGTTCTATGCTTAAAAAAAACAACCTCAAGCAGGGCGCATGCGTTCGCCAACGTTGCACATGTGCGAGGATGCAAAAAGAGATGGCAAAATATATAAAAAAACACCAGATGTTGACACTGCGCCGCAGCTGCAGGCGACTTTAGCTTTTGCCACATGCGGCAGCTAAATGTTTACTCTAGCACACCGATCGCTGTTCGTTGACCTAGGGCAGGGCATTAAGTATGCTTTAATTGTAACGGAATGGGAGCCACTAAAATGTGGCCATAATGCAGGCAAGGCGGATGTATCGGCTTCCATTTGGGGCCTTTCCTTTTTCGACTTCCACTTTGGCCAGCAGCCTACCAGTTTGGCACCCCGAAAATGGGTCGTCGAAAAAGCTCAAAAGTCTGACTAACTCACTCAATTCTCGTTGGGCGAGTGCCAAGAGAAGCGGTTTTGGATTGAGTTAACATGAGGCGACTGTCTCTACTGCACAGCGAGCAAACACGAGCTTAAGTCACAAATAAATTTGGTGCTTGTACAATTCATAAAATATCAGGAAAATAATGAATAAGAAGAAGAATAAAGGACTCACTTTTCTACTTTATTAAGATGTAAATCATTTTTATAATATTAAAACATTATTAAAATTATTTATCAATGAGATTTACCGACTAAAGTCTGTGTTTTCTAAAGTTTTTTCCCATGTGTAGTTTTCTCCAGCTTTCCCCTCACCTAAAAAGTCCAATTAAATATTTGAGCTATTGTTTGATTGTCTGGTGGCAAAAGGTTGACAACTCAAAAGTTGCGTACCGTGGGTGGCAGTGATTATTCATTTGCGTTGTTATTCTTTAAATGAGAATGGTAGTGGGAGATATTCAGTGTTTATCATTATAAACACCTAGATAACCCCATCTTTCCGGGTCAGATAAAGGGAAAGTAAATACGGGAGAGCGCTTATCGGCGATCATCTTCATCCGCCGCAGTGCCCACTGTGCGCGTGGGTAAAACAATAAAGCCGAAGCCTTTGAAAACAGAAAGCCAAGACGTCAGGTGAAACCGAGTAACTCCACTCGCGGCACTTTCCGCTCAAAGGTGCTGCGACGGTGCCCACTCAAACCTGCAGTCGTAGATACGAAAACCAGATAACGCCGAGTGCCCGGCGATCTTCACTCAATGGGGAAATACTGCTGTAGAGTCGAAAGCTTGTACACGTAGTTTGGCACTCGCATTCGGCTGTTGGCTGTTGGCGTTGGCGTTTTTAGTCTGCTGCCTGATCTTCGACGCGTTGCATCGCGTGTGCCATATTTTCTTTGACCGCGAAAATTTCTGGGCTAAAAACAAAATATATATTTATATCTCCTCGACTGTGTATTAGCCACTTGTGAGTGCAACAAACTGTGAGTGATGGTGGAAACATCAACTACGACCACTGTGACGCGCACCACCACTGCGGTTCCGGCTGGTGCAGTAACGGTAACTGGACCCACCGTCTCGGCCACGCCCACCGCGGCTCAGGTGGCCGCGCAGGCGCATCGCAATGACGAGACCACCCGGGCGATCTTCAATCTGAAAGTCATCCTCTTTCTGATTTTCCTGCCACTGGTCTTGCTCGCCGTCTTCCTAAAACACCTGTTGGATTACCTATTTGCCTTGGGACTCAAGGAGAAAGATGTCAGCGGGAAAGTGGCGCTGGTAAGATCGATTAAAGAGCGCTCAGGGCTAAGTAATGACAGCCATAAGCGGCTGGCAAATGAGCCATTAATAAGGCTAGTCAGATACACATCTGACATGAGTACACGGAAAGAATTGCAGTTGAGAAATTTTACAGATATGCGCAATTTGAAAGTCGGAAACAAAGAAGTGAAAACAGTATTACAGAACAATGTTATTGCTTTTGCAATGTCACAATAAAAGGTTTTTTATATATTCAAAGATAAAGTTCTTAAATACCAGTGCATCCCTTAGATACTTATTTATTGTTCAGCTGAGTAAATAACACTTACAAAAAATAGAAAACTTTTTTTTTTGCAACAATAACCCATTTAAAAATGTATTGGAATTAATTGTCACATTACTTACATGCAAAATCATCAAGTTCTCGAGTTCGGTTGGAATAAATTTCTGTGACTCCCCGGAACATATGAAGCTTTTGCTGTGTATCTCTCAAATAGCAGATCTTCTATCTAATGCAGCCAGGCAGAAAGAAGTCGCAACGTCACGCACTTTCCTTTTCCAGTGGCTGCCTCCGGTTTCCACGCCCACCTTTGGCTCACCCACCTTTTCCCCTTTCCCGCTTTTCATTTCTTTTCTTTTTTTTTTATTACTTCTCTCGTTTTGATGTCACTGCCATAGGGCGCGGCCGACGGCGATCGCTTAGGATTGTGTTATTAAAGTAAATATTTATGCGTTTGGTACCAGCTCGGTTAGTTGGCCAACTGTTTAGTTGAGTTCGCAGAGTGCCATTTGGTGCCACGGTCAGTTAATGTGACATCATTTCCCTATAAGCGCTGCAATCAATGAAAATCTTCGACTGAGAGTCATGCTCATGGCAACCATATCGCGCTCCATTAATCACATATGCATCTCGGGGCGTCGAAATATGGAAGAGTCAATTGTTACTGGACAAGGTCAAGTGTGTAGGTGATTTCAGATACGAGACTGTATCGGCAAGAACCTGATCGAATTCGGAACCTAATTAACATGCTTTTCAGGCTTAAACGTGGGCGTGTGCCGGCCAAAAGCGTCTCACGTACCAAATAAATGAATCATTTCGTCTCGATTTTTGTTTTAGTCTCAGCTTTTCGATCGTTCCCTCAGATATCGTTTTCTCAGATACAGATACAAGTACATATAACTTTTTTGCGGTTGCACACAGATGAATTGCGGGAGGGGGGAGAAGTAATAGTTTCAGACCAGCTGTGAGAAGCAATTTAATTAGAAGATAGACTTTTGTTGATAAATTCTATTGACATCATGGCGGGGGAATTCGTGGTATGCCAACACCAAAAGACCCCATTTTAGGGACGCCCCTGCCCGGCTGCAAACTGGTTTTGTGAGACGCTATATTTATACCAAGATGAACAGAAAAGAGCGCAAAAATGCAAACCTCAGGGAACTTCACTTTTGTTTTCAGCTTGCGGACGATCGCTTACGTTTGTAAACAACAGAGAGTAGAACTTTCGGAGGGCTATCTCTCAGATGCGTAGATAAAGCCCCAACTCGTGTTGCCGCAGCTAATTTGCATATGATATTGAAATTCTTCAGCTGTGCCATAACCACAACAACTGCGCATTTGTTATTGTTTTCTCCATTGCTGGGTAGTAACGTGCCAAACTTTGAATTGAACTCATTCCGGGTTTCGTTTCGTGTCACCCCCAGCGGGTACTGGGTACTGAGGTCACCCAGTTCGCTTTAATTACGGTCAAAAGTCACTCAATTGTGCCCCGGAGAGGGTCGGCCCACCGAGCGTATGAGTAATGCCATTCATAAGTCGCCGCCACTTCTCACATACTCGTACTCGTAATTGTCCGTAAATGAGGTTTTGTTCAATGCATTAGCTCGAGTTGATTGTTTGTAAATTAAGCTAATTAATTTCTTTTGAGTACGATGTGAATAACCTGCGATTTAAACCCAGGTGACCGGAGGAGGCAGTGGCCTGGGTCGCGAGATCTGTTTGGAGCTGGCCCGTCGTGGCTGCAAGCTGGCCGTCGTGGATGTCAACTCGAAGGGATGTTACGAAACCGTGGAGCTGCTCTCCAAGATTCCGAGGTGTGTGGCCAAGGCTTATAAGGTGAGATATCTCTTTAATCTGGTGTGATTTGTGGTTAGCTAATGGGAGTGTTTATTTCAGAACGATGTCTCCTCGCCGCGCGAATTGCAGCTCATGGCTGCCAAGGTGGAGAAGGAACTGGGCCCAGTGGATATTTTGGTCAACAATGCCTCCCTAATGCCAATGACCTCTACGCCCAGCCTGAAGAGCGATGAAATCGACACGATTCTGCAGCTGAATTTGGGTTCCTACATTATGGTAAGGCTTTAAAATTATTGCAAAGCCAATTTGAATAAGAAAAATTAATTGAAATCCAAACAATAATTTCGCTTTGCAGACCACCAAGGAGTTCCTGCCCAAGATGATAAACCGCAAGTCTGGTCATTTGGTGGCAGTTAATGCGTTGGCGGGTAAGCTGTTTAATAATAAAGCACATCTCCATAATAAATAATTAATTTCTACTTTCAGGCATAGTTCCTCTGCCAGGAGCTGGAATCTACACTGCCACAAAATACGGAATCGAGGGCTTCATGGAGTCGCTACGCGCAGAGTTGCGTCTTTCCGATTGCGACTACGTTCGCACTACAGTTGCCAATGCCTATTTGATGAGAACCAGTGGAGATCTTCCCCTGCTCAGCGATGCGGGGTGAGTAACAGATATACATCGATTTATCCTGATCACATAACCTGATCCCCTTCTTTAGCATTGCGAAAAGCTACCCTGGATTGCCCACTCCCTACGTGGCGGAAAAGATTGTCAAGGGAGTGCTGCTAAATGAGCGCATGGTGTACGTGCCAAAAATATTCGCACTCAGTGTTTGGCTGCTCAGGTGAGAATTGAATTAGCCCAGGTATCCGACGATTATTTGTAACGATTATTATTATCGTTGATTTTGTGCAGGTTGTTGCCCACCAAGTGGCAGGATTACATGCTCTTGCGCTTTTACCACTTCGATGTGCGCAGTTCCCACCTGTTTTACTGGAAGTAGAAAAATCCGGAGTCGAGTGAGGAGCATCCCACCCCAGAAGCATTTACGCGGAGAGCTCTTGTTTGTTTCCCATTTGCAGTTCTTAATTCAAATGTTGCTTACGCTAGGTGTACATGTTTAGCTATTTATACGAATCTTTAACTTAAATTAAATCTATATCCTAACATTAGAGATATGGCTTCCACCACTCCTTTATGATTAGACCACGTGTTTCGGAGTAGCACTTCTTTTCGGATTGTTCCACACAGGACTTCAGCTCGTAGTTCCAGGTGTAGTTCAAAGGACACTGGTGGATGAACTTGGTTCCACTGGAGCAGTAGTAAAAGAAAGCACACTTTCGTGGGTGTGGCATAAATCCATAAACTCCAGTCCGACATTGTGTAATGTTTTCCCGCGATTCTGGTCGGTTGCATGATAACAGATGAGCTGGTGTACAGGATTTCGTTAGTCCTGCTCCTTCATAGCACACCATATAAGGATAACAGGGTCCCGCATTCGGTAAAGTTCGCAGAGTGATGGAAAGTGGTTCCGTTTTTTGAGTGGCAATAGGTTTCTTGATTACCGGAGGAGATTTTGTGGTGGTGGTGGTTGTTATAGGCGAATCCTGACATCTCTTTACTAACTTCTGATCCACACAGCGATCCAGCTCCTCATCGTAATAATAACCGGCAAAACATTCGGCTTCAAAAGATCCAGGGCCGGCGCAGTAAATATATTTTGAGCAATCACTCAAGCTCGCCACATAAACTCCCATTTGTGGGTCATTGGCACACTCTGGAAAGTCCACGGCCGAAGTTCGGTGACCCAGTAAGGTCACCAAAATAATAGTGAAACATTTAAGAGCTCCCATTTCTACACGCCCGAAATGATGGAAAGAATTTTTAAGACTGACTTCATCGTTTATCTGCGATTCTCGGTTATGAATATTTTTGCATGGGCGCCACCTGATAAAGAAGACAAGTTACAGCTTTGATTATTGAGAACTTATCTTGTAGTAGATACCGCTAATGAGTGCGGGGGAGTTCTGCCACGCCCACAATAGCGAATCTGTTTGTTGGAGAGGCAGCTTGCGAATCCGTAGCATACTTCCCAGCAGTGGCAGGGAATTTAATGACCTCACCACACCGCAACAAAATGTTCGAATGGCCGGCGCAGATCGATAAAAATTGAAAATGCACTCAATACGCAATTAAGTGTCGCCACTTCCGGCGGTACAAACGGACGGCCATCGATAGTGGGCCGACCGACCGTTCATCGCCCTCATCCATATCCATATCCATACCCACATTCACATCCACATCCACATCAACCTCATTATTGCCATCGTCATCGTGGTCGTGGCCTGTCGGAGTTAAACGCCGGCCATCGATTTAATATCTGATGAGATATTCATAACTTGCAATTAGGTTTGGTGGCTCGGCGCTTTTCCATCGCTCGTGCTTTACGTAAATGATTGCGCTGCTGATTAATGAAGAATTACCAGGGCAAATGGCCGGGATCTGTGGGCATTATCCAATTCCCCATCTGCCCCACTTGCGTTGCCACTGCCATTAACGTGAAATTCAGCGCTGTCAACGGCGGAGTTCAGTGCCAATTGTGCGCAAATTAAAAGTTTTATTAATTGGAAATTAAACGCAGTCGAGTGCCAGCTTTGTGGCATAATTTTCGGCTCAGCTCCCCGTAACAGGTTATACCGATCTGTCCATATGCAATGCACCAGATGCCATTCGGCGCTCACAAAAAAAAAAAGAAAAGGACCCCATATGGTGCCAACGACTCAAGTGATTAAGTGCACGACGAGTTCTTCAAATGCATCGCAACATGTGCACAAACAACAACACACACTCATACTCACTCCGTTCGAATGTGAATTCTAATTACGATTGGGGCAGAAGACCCCCAGCACCTGATTCTCCATCACTCGGTGCTCAGTGCTCAGTTTTGAATGCGCAGGCGCAGCTCCGCCGACGATCATCCATAAAAATAGCTCACTAATTATTTGTGTGCGCTAGGGTTACAACTCTCATAAAAAACAAACAAACTGACGGGCGTTTTATGGGGATCTTCTGCCGGCTTTAATGCCCCCGCGAAGTTTTCAGATCTCAATTCGATTCGACACAGTTGAACTGATCGCTTTTCATTTCGTATTAAACATTACATGATCATTTGGTGTGGGGACGCTTCTGAAATAATATTGGTTTTTATTTTTATTTTATAGAACACGATATCAAATTATGTTATTTTTGGAAGTTTTTATAATAAGCTACAAATTCTTAGTTGGTTTTCCTGCTAGGCCCTGGCATCTGGATCTCCACATCCATCATGTGGATTCTGCAATTGCCTGCCCGATCGGATTAGCATTTGAATCTGCACGAGGGCTTGGTCCGTTCGCTCCTCCAATCTGTCGAGTGCGGCATTTAGTGCGTCCAGACTGGAGTTCACCCTCTCCATCATTCGCTCCGAGTTGTTGGTCAGGGTCATAAGCTCATCGAAGCTGCGGATCTGAGGACCTAATGTCACAATCCTGTCCAGCTCCAGCTGCATTTGCTCCTCGCCACTCTCCATTTGGGCGCCAAAGGCAGGAAAACTACTCTCAATTCGACTTTAATTTTGTAGACCCAAAATAATGACACACATATTTTGGGAACCTATTTCCAAAGTGTAAAGCAAATTTAACTTTGTTTTGGTTTGCTATCAACTTAATTAAAGTTTGCTAAGCAAAAACCGATTTAATTTAATTGAAATTGCAGCTAACTGGCTTTGGGCACTTTTGCTTTTAACAAACAGAAAATGTGAAATATTAAGTGTATTTAATAACACGGATTTTATGCGTATTTTTTGCGTGGCAGAGTACATTCCCGTGTTGATTTAAGTAATAAAACAGTTTACCAGGTTATGCGCTTTTTAATTTAAGTTTTCACAGCCGTTTTTATAGATTTTTGTAAGCTCCTCTTTTTATGCAGAAGAAAAAAATGAACAACATATTATTTATTTACCTTAATTATCCTCTTATAAAGCTAGAGTACCCAAAAGTCCACTTCCCGCTTGAGTAACCTTGTTTGTTTTGCTTTGTTTATAATAGCCGACCTATTACAAAAACTACACACGTTCATTTCATTAAACCCATTTACAAAATGGCTTTGTCCATTATTTATACATATCAATTATAAATTGTGCGCTACGCCTGCAATATTCATATTCACTTGTCAAAATGTCAACTTAAAATAGAATATTTATGCATTTTTATGTGTGCGTATCGGTCCATGATTTGTTTGTTTTATGCTCTCTTTTCGAGAACTCTTTGTTGGGTTTTGTGAAGCAGTATAAAGCCAGAAAAGAGGAAAATGACAATTCAGCCTATAAATACGCGACGGCAACCGAAGTTGAAATCAATTTTTTTGGCCCCATACAGCGGTGGTCGCGTTCCCCGTTTTCCGAAAGGAAAAGCGGGGGGAATCCGAGTGCGGAGCGACTATTTAGTTAGCCACAGAACAAGGTGCCTCAGTTTATTTTTAATTGAAGGCAAATTGAGCCAATCGCCCGGCTGGCTGATGAAAGTGGGGAAGTGCCCGGCTGCGGTTGTCCAACGATGTGGTCTCTTTCGGCTATTAAGAGGATAAAGCCACTGCTGCCACAGTTCCTGTTTCTTCCGCCGGCTTACGCATTTTCACATAATGAATTTCCATTCAAAGTGACTGCAACTGCATGTGCAACAAGGATGTGTCGACACTCGAAAACACATATGGCCAGCAGTCCGGAGATGAAGTCGACTTCCTGCCACACTCAATGGCCATTAACCAGGTTCTGGCCAGGTCTTGGTTGGAAAAAGGACGCCTCTGACGTAGTCTTCTTTGCGGTGGGCTAAAATCTGTTATTATTGTCATTAAGCGGGCTTTTGTTGTCACCACACGGCCTACGTATGCACATGCAATTTCCTTGACGATATCCTTCACTTGCTAGTTTTGTTTGCCCGATTTCCCAACGACCCGCTTGAATCTGTTCTTGAAGAGCTCTTATCGGTGTTGGCTATTGAATTTTACGCACACCCTGAGAGCCCTAAATCCATGGCTTTAACTTGTTGCCGCCCATTTTCTATACATTTTGGTTTCTGGTTTTGGTCGGTCGTCATTAGTTGAAAGCGCTTAGTTTGCTTCGTTTGTTTGCTGAAAGTTTCATTCTCTTGCTGGGTTCTCTGTTCTCTGTTTTCTGTTTTCTGTTTCTGTTGTTGCATTAACCCCGCCTGTTGTTGTCGTCATCAAGTTGCATTTTGTTTTTACATTGTTTCGCCTAAATAAAGGCATATAATTTATGTGTGTGCGGCCGGGCTTGCTGGGCCACGTTGTGCATACGCCACGTTGAACGGCCAGCCCAGCCAACTGGCAGCCCGGAGAATCCTGAGTGAGCTGGCCCATTGTGGTTCATAAACTTTGTCACGGTGCGGCGAGTGCTTCCTCCGCTTCGGAGGCGATTGCTCAGGCAGGACATGTGTGCCCCGCCCCGTTGCCTGTTATTGTTTTTCAACTTTTCACTTTGGTTATGAGATGTCCGAGCGGCGCAGTCAGTTGCACGCTCGCTTCCATCAGCGGCGTCTCCATTCCGCTGACCGCAGTGGACAACGTGGACTTTTTGGCCAAGCTGGTCGTGTTCGTGTCCCTGAGTGAGGCACACTTTAAGAAAAACTTAAAAAAAAAAAAGGGAATAAATATCAAGAAATTAAAGAGGAGAGACAGATGCACTTATAATGTAATAATACTTACCTTTTACTTAAACCCATTTATATATAACACATCAATACTCGAGAACTCCTATTCTAAGTTGTTAGAACTCAACAATCATTTTCAGGATCTCAGCAATCAGAAACTTTATTTATGTTTCCTAATCCTGCTTTTTCCGCAGTGGAAGGACGTGTGTGCTTGTGAGTGCGTTTATGCTTATATCCTGCGGCTTAAGCATTTGTTGTTTTACAACGTTTCAGTCTGTTTGCCAAGTAAATAAAAGCTGTTAACTAGTTTTCACACACCGAGCTGAAAAGGTGGATGGGGTTTTGGTTCGGTTCGGTTTGGTTTAGTTTTGGTTTTGCTTTTGCTTGCCTCGGCTGCAAAGCTGCAACACGTGCTCGACAATTTTTTGCTCGGCTGGTCCGGTTCCTGTACTAACTGCTTTTGTGCGTAGCACTCGTGTATGAGCAATTATTTAATGCCGTCCGCTTGTCATTGTTGTCTTTCGGCCAGAGTGTCGCCTTTGTCTTGGCCCCAGTCGGCCAAGTCAGCTGCAGTCGTCGCCTTGTCTGCCCCTTTTGTGTCGCTCATTTATTTGTGTTTATCCTTTCGCTTTTAATTGCGGCTCCATCCTGTTCTGCCTCTGCCTCTGCTCTGCTCCCCCCTCCCCCCTCCTCCCACCTCCCACCTTTCCGCCTTTCCGCCCACTCGCCGCCCTTTGTTTAATTACAAGTGTTTGTTGTGTAAATAATAGCGTTAGCTGCCTGGGCCGAGGACCATCGTTGACGCATCGTTTGCATGCTCAGTTAATGCCGTGCATCAGGACATCCTCCATTGTCCTTTCCCTCTCCCGTTGCCGTCTGTGTGTTTATCCGTGTGTAGGTGTGTGTGCGAGAGAGTGTGCGTCTGTCTGTGGCAGGGAAAATTAATTACAAGAATTAAGCAGCGCAACGCCCGATCTGCCGCATTGACACAGGTGTTGGCCGCCCGCTGTAACGTATTTTCCTTAGATAATTCCCACAGAACTCGACAGCCATGTGCTGCACCTTGAACTCGAATTTAGACTTAAGCTGGCGCTGCACAGAGAAAAATTAAAGTCAGTTTAATGTCTATTTAAATTATTCGTAATATACAAAAAGTGAATGAACCTGAAAATACATTTTCGATGTCTTACCATAAACATTTTTATATGCAAATAAAAGCCAATCACATCAGCTGCAACCTATCCCGTCATTATAAGCTCATTTTTATTTGGCAAAATATTTTTGGTAAGTAAAGTAAAGTGTTTGGTAGCATTTAAAAATTTGGAATTAATTCCTAATAAAAACGATCTATTCTTTCTGTGTAAACCTAGCGAGATCCCTGAAGGCGGGACATTAATTCATTCACCTAGAGACACTTACATGTGGTGCCCATTAGCCCGGTGCCACGCCCCCGTGAAAGGCAAATGCCAGCGAGCCATGCGACGCCAAAAATTTCCATTTCGTTGCTTGAACCGTGCATAAATATGTCAATAAGGATTATCCCATCCCGCGCGGCAATAAAATCTTCGGGAGCTATAAAAAAAAAAAATGAAAATGAAACGAAAATGGGGAACGAGCGGCTGGCTGAAAAGGGAAAACCTCAGTTAAACAAACAGCAACGGGAGCGGGAGCTGCAACTTGATTATCCTGGCAACCTGCCGCGTATTTTCCGACCGTTGAATTATGACATGCAACTGTCAGTGCGGGTTCAAGTGGATGTTTGGTAGTACCCGTAGAATGCGGATGCTCCTGGCAGGCGTGAGAATCGGTTATCCTTGCACCTAAACAAACACATTGGGTTCGTTGATTTGGAGCAGTAGCTGTTGGAGAGTCCTGGCCGGGTGTCATGTTGCAGAATGTTTTCGATCCTACGGATTCTTACGCATTACACGACCAGCTAATTTATTTACTCTACGCGCTGCGTACTTGTTGCGTTTGCCTAAACTGAAACACATGTTCAAGGATCTTAATCGAAATGGCCTGTTAACCGTGGCTGTCTTTTTAGGTCCTGTGTTTGCTGCTGTTTCTGCTGTTGCAGTAGCACTTCAGATTGGTGTTGACAGTAGCGCTGAGAAATTGCCTCGCCCTTCCCCCTTTCCCTTTGTTTTCTTTGACTCTTCTCCTTTACAAGATTCCTAAGCTCGGAGTACTCGACATGCTAATGTGAAATATTACAAAACTAATGGAAAAGATAGAGGAGAAGCCATCGAGATTAACGCGTTTGAGCACTCAAACTCAGCTCCACACTTTTCACTCTCGCCCGCCATCTGCGGCCCGGTAATTCCAACCCAGTTCCCCTTTCCACGAGGTTATCCTTTGCCGTGGGAAACTTCGGTGCACAGGTTTAACCACCACTAATCCTTTACCTTAAGCACTTTTCTACATTTTTCTGGCGCTGCCGGATAAGAGACTTTAGCAGTGCGGTCACTTATGGAGTACTTTCAATTTAGCTATTTTTTATTGAGACTATAAATACAATCTATTAAGTTTGAAAACGTATTATTTTAAACATTATTAAATAAATTAGTTTAAGAGGTCATAAAATAATAGCTCATGGAATATATAACCTGCATACATTTTTTTATAATAGTTATATAACTTTAGAATGAAAATGTTAAGAAGACTGTTTCAGCATTACTAGCATAATTTCCCAGATTTAATTTTTTTTTCCACTTCTTCTTAAGTTGTATTTGAATTATTTCCAGAAACAAACTTGGCTATATTGTTTGCTAGTTTTTAGAGTCGACAACTCTATTCTGCATTCTTCACTTAACCGCCGGTGTTCTTTGAGTGCCCTTTGAGCTGCACTGAAGTGTTGTTGTCGGGCCAGCGTTGAGTGGCACGGAGTTTTGACAATTAAGGGGGTCACCGCGGGACGCTCGAGTATCTGTATCTGCGTAGCTTGCGACCGCGGATAAGGACGGAATACTTTCGAGAGGAGGCAGCCGGTGCCATGTGCTCCTCCGAGTACGCAGACGCCGAGCCCATAAATCATCGGAACCCAATAGCCGCAAAAAAGTCGCATGCAAAGCGCGGTGGCACCACGTGCACAAAGTGTGACCCGATTTTGGCAACATCCAAAAGCGACTGCTCGCTTAAATAAATACAAAATTGCATCACGTGCAGCGGAGCAAAATAAATAAAAAAATATATAGAACGCGATTCCCCAGCCAAGAAGTAGGATTCGTAATTGCGCCAAAATGCATGAAAAAGAACCCGAATAAGAATTCCAGGCCGCATATGTGTGGCTAAAAGGATGGGGTTTCGGTTTTGGGGTCGATTTCGTTTTCAGTGAACCAGAGCTATTCCTCCACCGATCGACACATGCCCTCGAGTGCGCCAAGTGCAATAAATTGATACAAAAACAAAAGTGTCGCGAGTGGTGGGCCAGCTGAGGGAGGGATGTAAAGCCCCCTCCGAATGCCGTATTACCTTGGCCCGGCTAAAACTCTATTAAAATGCCATTGCCAGAGCGGGAGAAGAAAGAGCTGCGATGGTTAATGTGTGGTTTTAGTTAAAAAAACGACTTCATAATACCCTCTAAAGAGCTTAATTCAAAGCTGCTTATTTATTTGGCTACGAATAAAATTAGTAACCTTTATAAAGAAATACATTATAATTAAATATAAACAACTATAAATCACGGTAAAACTTCTTTTGCTACAAAAGTGTTTAATAAAATTTATTCATAAGTGACTTTATCACATTAGCATTGCAATAAATACGAAGAATATTTTTTTGGACACATCTCGATTATTATTATATATTTTCATTGGGGTACAAATTAATGGCAAGCTTTATCGAGCAGCTTAAGAACCCAGTAAAAAACGGAATATGAAATATACATATTTCACAAATCTCGTTTTTGTCGCTTGCTCTTTGTTATTTTTAACTAAAACCACAGCCGCCAATCGTTTCGTCTCGCTCTATCCTCCACGCTGCCCCCCCTTTCCCCTTTTCCCTGCAATATAAAATTATCCTTTTGGATGTCTCTATTTTTTTTCCCTTTCTATATGTGCGCTGGTGCTCCGATTTTTTGCCTCTGCTCGTTTTCGTTTATGGATATCCACTTTATTGTCAGAAAATCATTTTTTCGTTGGCATCTCTAGATGTTTTTTCGTTCTGTTATATTTTTTTATTGAGCTGGAGCACAGAGTGTTTGTTTGTGTGTAAGTATGTATGTTTGGATGCTCATATGCATGTGTAGCTCTTGTACACTTGTAGTTCACAAAAAATGGCTTTTATTTATTACTAATGGGCTGGCTCGCATTGTGATTGTTGTTGTTTTTGCTGTTCTTGTTGCTTTTGTTGTTGTTGTTGTTTTTGTTGTTGTTGTTGTGTACCGGGTGCCCGTATTGAACATTACTTACCGCGGTCGCGAGTGTCTCATCTGTGCAGGAGGTGACTTTTCTATTTATTTGCTGACAATGCCAGCAGCTCCCCTTTCCCTTTCCTCTTTTCCTGGGGAGTTGGGGCTGTTTTTTTTCGGTTGGTAAATGGGTTGTCATTTCGCTGCTTGCCACACGATCGTATTTAATGAACGCGCTCGAAGTTGTGGCTAATTGCCGAACTCTGCTAACCGGGTCAGTGTGGAATCACTCGAATGCAATCTCGACGGCAAGCCAGTTTTGCCGATCGATTCGCGACTGGCGATTCAAAGCGTTTTCGCCACTCTCGCGATTCGGTCGGTGCTCCAATCCAAGCGGAAAATGTCGGAAGTATTGCGTACCGCTCTGGTCAAACTGCAGGCCCTCGTCGGACTGATCGGCCTCGTGGCCATAACTCCACTACTCGTTTTCGCCGCAATTCTCAGCCGGCTTATTGCCAAACTCTGCAACTGTCCAAAGCCAAAAAGCATCGAGGGAGATGTGGCCGTGGTGAGTTTTTTTGGATAACAACAAACAAAACGTTGGACTTGATTATACTTGGACTGTTGAACTAGAAGAATATTAAATGAATGGCTTAAAATTATTATAATAATATAATCTTTTTAAATGAATAATGGAGTAAAGAATTGTAAAGATCAAAGGTTGTTATACTGCACTTGTTTTTCAGATAAATTATTCAACGAATTAACTGAACGTTTAACTCGAACTCGTGTGCATTATTATTCGTAATGAAAAACAAAAATGTTAATATCATTAAAAATTTTTTATTAAAAAAAAATAGAACAAATAAATTTTTCATAATGTTTACGAAACGGATTTTTTGATATTTGTTTTTTAAAATTACTTTTATAAAAAGTAAATCAAGTTTCGGCAACAATCATTAATTATTCTTAATTTATTCTGTTTAAAACAAATATATACTGTAATTCAAAAATAAATGAGGTGTTTTTAACAAACACGTGTTTTTACAAGCAAGCAAATATATTTTTTATGACTGGAAAAATTAATTTCATGGAGTGCAATTCATGACTCATGACCCCAGATAAATAAGTATTAGACTTCTCCATTTTCACCTAGGTTACTGGAGCTGGACATGGTCTAGGTCGTGCACTTGCCCTTGAGTTGGCCAAAAAGGGCTGTCACGTTGCCGTGGTCGATATAAATATTTCTGGAGCCGAGGAAACCGTTAAGCAAATCGGGGAAACGTATAAAGTTCGCGCCAAGGCGTACAAGGTATGTAAATTTGTTCGGTATAGAAAAAACTGGTTCTAAAACAATTATTTCTGGTTGGCTAATACTCAATTAATTTATTAATTCGTAGACCAACGTTGCTAGTCATGGAGAAATTGCCGAGCTTAACGCTAAAGTGGTTAAAGATCTTGGCCCGGTTACTGTCCTTGTTAATAATGCAGGTGTAATGTTGCACCGCAACCCTTTGGACCCAGAACCGGCTGATATTCAGCTCATGATCGATGTCAATTTAACTTCGCACTTCTGGGTGAGCTATAATTATTTTTATTTAATTGGAATTTATAAAAATGTAAATTGATTTTATTTAAAAGATTATTTCATTTACATATCAATTTGAACTTTTTCTGAGGCTTATTCGTTGTGTTCTATATTTATTTTCCTTTTTTATCTTGCAGACCAAGTTAGTTTTCCTGCCGAAAATGAAAGAGTTGCGCAGAGGTTTCATAATGACAATCAGTTCTTTGGCCGGTAATAAATCTTATATAAAAATTGAAGCTAGTAATGGTTTATATTGACCATTTATAATTTCGTTTCAGGCATTTTTCCCCTGCCCTACAGCTCAGCTTACACAACGAGTAAAGCTGGCACCTCGGCTCATATGAGGGCCTTGCGAACGGAGCTCGCTCTGGAGAATCAGAAAGACATCCATGTGTCCACTGTCATGCCCACTTTTCTGCGCACCAACGACGAGGTAACGCAGCTGTCCAACGATATCGGAATCTGCGATCTGTATCCCCTAATCCCCGGCGAGGAGGTGGCACGGCGAACCGTGGACGGAATGTTGAGGGGTGAACATGAGATCACGCTGCCAGGACTCGCGTCGGTCTTTTATCGACTGATTTATCTCCTGCCAGCCGAATGGCAAATTAAAATCAGTTTGCTGACCGCCGCCAGTCGCTTCGAGCAGTTCCGCAAGTCGCGATCCTGAGGAATACAAATATATATAGTCTGGTTTCGGATGCAAACAAAAAATACGTGTTCTCCTTTTTATCCCCGGGGACTCTCAGGTGGCGTCACTGCTTAAATGCGTTTCATTAAAATCCGATTAAAGATACTTTTTGCGGCCGGCTGGTCACGGACAACTGGCCACAGGCCACGGGCTCCAGTCATGTGTTTTTCATTTAATTTCAGCCAACCGGCGTTGCTTTAATTTCGCCGTTCTGTCTGGAACTGAATCTGAACCCGAATCGGGAACCTCCTCGTCTGCATTTGTCAGTTGGAGGCAGGCGAAAACGGGGATGCAATCAACTTGTCAGCGGACACATCCCGTCCGACTTTCCATCCCCGTGCTGGATCTCATTATGCAACTTTTTTGGGGTCATTGAGGCAGCCGGATTTATATATTTTGCAAAATTAAAAAAGCTTAACAAAGGTTTACACAAAAAACCCCTTCAAATTTTGTTCTGCATACTGCCGTGTGCAATAGAAATCTGGAAGCCTTTGGGCCCTTCTATACATTTTTTCTGGAATTTAGATTTTCAAGCGCGAGGTGAAAGTACATATGCATACTTTTTCTTGCCACTTCAAACGAAATTGTTGTCTAATAGGGTCGAGTGAGGACCATTAAAAGAGAGTGGCTTGACAGAAAGTATTTTGGTTAAAGTGATTCCCTGCAAAAGCGGAAGAAAAAAGCTCGTCTTTTTGTTCGCCTGACAGTTTTTCTTTGTTCCTTTATCTTTATGCTGGTGAAATTAATGCAACACATTAAGAGAAATATTGCAGCAGCGGCGGCAGCAGCCGAGGACTTTTCCATTTTTCTTATTTTTGCTCAGCGCGAGCTTTACACAGACATTCACTATACTATATATGTGTATGTAGTTGTATAGCTGGAATTTCTTGCATATTTCCACGTTCTGCTCTGTACGCGCTTTTCCCTCATCTTCGGCTTCGTCCTGGTGCTTTTATTTTATTTATGCTATCACTGCAACCTGAAATGCTTTAGCCGCACACACTGACACACACATCCTCACTTTGCTGGATACTGCATTTATGTGAAATTTCTTTCCTGCTGCATCTGCCTTTTCTTTGGGAGCCCAGGACATGTGCATGGAAACTTTAGTAAAATTAAGAAAAATATAAAAAAGACATTCCAGCAGTAGCAGTAGCAGTAGCAGTTGCAGGAATGGAAAGAAACGCTTTAGGAAAATGAAAAAATAATGCTGCCAAATGCAAAAATAACATCAGGAAATGAGTCAAAGTCCTGCCTCTTCGCCAGTTGGCTTTTTCTGGGAAAAGGAAATATTATGTCAGCAAATCAATTCGATTGTGTGGGAAAGCATTAGCCCTGCGGAGGGGGAATCGCTGCGTACTCTCCCCGAGTAATTCCCAATTAAAAAGCCGTTAATGATGCGTGGCCCAAAGCGAGACCATCGCAACCCCAGAGGCCCAGACGTGTCGCATGTAACGCCTCAATGGCAGCCTGATTGAAAACTCAGATGTGGAGCTCCGGATCCGAATCCGAATCCGCCCCCAATGCCCGACTTTATTGTTTGCCTTCGCCACTGACGAACACTTTTTAATTTCGATGGGTTGTCGGCGGACAAACGAGGCATTTCCGCGTCTGATTATCGGGATCCATTGGGATGCGGGATCTGGGATCTGGGAACTCGACTGCCGACTGCCGACTTGGGTTTAATTATGAGCTGTGAGTGAAGTGCGTGGGAAATCGAATGGAGTCCCCGAAGGGGTCACCTGTGCACCCCATCTCATTTCCATTTTCCCGTAATCCCACAAACATTTCTGACTTGCGTAATCGGGCAGACATATCATCATGTTTGGAGGCATTTCCATCAACTGCTCGTTCCCGAAATGAATTTAATGAAGAGTTGTAACCCCGTGTCAGGCTATTCGCAACATTTCATGTGCATTTGCATTCGCATTTCCATTTTCCGCTGACCATTTTCCGTTTTCGGTAACCTTCACCTGCCGCCAAATGACGACTGTTGACTGCTGGCTGTCTAAAACTAATTAAAAAGCTGACCAGCCACGTTCCACGGCCATTGCCATGGCTAATGTGAGCCAAACTAATTTTGATGGCCCATTGATTTGGTATTCGGAACCCAAACTGACACCGGAGTTGCCGGGAAATTCACAGTCCTGTGTCTTTCGTCCTTCGTCCTGCCGTGAAATGCGATACGTTGTCGGCCGGGTGCATAAATCACATGTTTAACTAATTAAACGAAACAGTAAATAACGATCAACGGCCGGTCAGCGTTTTAATGAGTAGACAAAATGCCACCGTAAATGCGGACTTGCAACGCCTACGTTGGCATCGATCATAAAAACGTCCCCAATCCTGCACAGATGCCTCTCCTCTGGCGCAATAATCATAAAAATTGCATATTAAAATTCATTCGGGGGGCGTGAACTGCTTCAGTTTTCCTTCTCCACGGTCTCCTTTTTTTTTATTGTGCGACGCCTTAAAATGTTTATAAATACAGTCAATTTGCTGTCAACTTTTGAACTTGCCACATGTGTTCGGCTTCGGCTTTCGAGCTGCAAAATGTCAAGGGGTCAGCGGCAACGGCTCATTATAATGCCACCGACAACCAACAAGCGACTAGGCCGAAAAGAGTGAGCGACACTCCATCCAGAATTTGAATTCGAATTATGCTAAAACATATTTTGCTCCATAGCCGGGGAGTAGTCGCTATCGCACTACTCCGACATGCATGTCAACGCAATCATTTGACATTTTGACAGGACATCTAGGGAAACGGAGGGGGATTTTGGGGTTCAGGATAGTTCAAGTTGAATGTCGCGCCTGCGCGGCTCAAATTACAAATTAAACAGCGACAATGTCAGGGTTTGCCTTTTTCCCTCGGCTAAACAAAATCGAATTACCGCCTGACAAATTTACGTGTTGAATGCTACGAATGGAAACGAGTAAAATATTGTGTTTAAGCACCTAGGCACAAGAAACTGCCGGTTTTTTTCGTTTTTCTTGGGCAAAGATCTTTTGACTTTTTGCCAAGCAAAAATTACATTTTCAATGGCTAGCCAAAATGTCCACTTGTTCTCCTTTCAGTCAATTGGTTTGTGTTTTTTGCTCATCATTATTTTGTTGATATATTTATATACTCTAAGGTTAAACACCGAAATTCTCAGAAAAGATATTAATCCTATTTTGACAGATAATCAACCCTTTCGAACTTTGCTTTATTTATTTATTTAAAGCCAGTTCCAAATCACATACACATGATGCTTGAAATGAAATAAACAAAGGCAATAACCATTTCCTAGTTTCCACAACAAGAATTACCCCAGATAGAAAATCCCGAAAAGCGATTGCCACATCAGCAGCTCACTTGATGGAAAATGTGGAGTAAATAAACGCGACCGTTTGCAGCATTGTCAAGTGGAAAATCATTGACAAATTTATGAACCCGAGCGACACACACTCAACAAGAACAAATACACAAGAGTATATGTTTACGAATATATATTCTCGAACCAGAGAGCGGAAAGCATAAAGTTAAAAATTTCATTAACAAATCGACACCGCACCGTCTCATTACTTGGCAACAAATAAATTTTATTAAGTACGCATTTGCAGTGTGCGCTTTTATTTACGATTTTTCATTAAAGTCATTTGGCCAGCCGCATAATTACCACCCGCCGAAGTTGACCAAACATCGGCTTTCGAGTTTATCCATTAATGTGGCGGCGTATTTGTTGCAGTGCGCTAAAAAAATATTACAGTTTCATCGACAAAATGTTTACACTCGCTGCAGTGCAAGGGTCATTCAGTTCGCTGTTGCACGCTCATGCTGCTAATTAATTGGATGGCTTTTAAATGTGTGCTTGCGAGGAGCGTGAATCACTGGGGGGTTTAATTGAAATTCAATCTTGCCCCAGACAGATCATAAATTGGACGACAGAGGCGCTGCTGCCCACGCACAAGAAAAATTACCTTAAATCTTGGGAGAATTGATAATCACCAGCGGAAATGGTCGAGTGTTTTCCCAAGAAACGTCGCCGCACGTCATCGCCACTCATAAAAACATCAACATCAGGTCTGTAGGAATTGTTCTGACCCGCGACTAAGGTACACTTAGAAAAATGTTATAAAATAAATTATAATCCCATGAGCTTCTTAAAATGAACAGGAGTAACGAATTAGTTACTTAAATAGTTTACAAGTGATAGCCTTCCTTATTATTATCGAAATAACAATACATTTTAAATTTTAAAATAATCCATAAAAGTTTTTATAATTTCGTGCATTACTTTTTCGTCCAGTGATTTCGAAAAGAATGGCCAAAATCGACTAATTTTAAGAATGATGTAGTTGTCGCAATCTAGCGACAACAAAGACAGTGCCCACAAAGTGTTGGCCACGAGCCCAATTTTTTGGCCAGCCCTCCGAACGATTCGCAAGCGACGAGCGCGCAAGTGGCAGGAATTGTGTGTTAAACGTTTCTGAATTGACTTGACGCGTTCGGCCCGAGAGCAGAGCCCCCTGACCAGGGGCAGCTGCCAACCTATGCCAACCCAGACCATCCAACCCCATCCCCATTTCCATCCCGAAGCCATCGTCATCCCAAAGACCATCCGCAAAAAACCATACCATCCGGGTGAACGTGCGCCAAAGCGCGATGCTTGCCAAAAATCATAAAAAATATATGGCGATTATAGGGGAGATGGCATCATTTAATGATGAAGTGCCGTGATGGGCCGCAAAGGGAAATGTAAATGGAGGGAAAATGTGGAGGGGCGGATGAAAGGAAACTGACTCATGCTCCGGAAACGTCACTATCGCCGCAATTACAACCACAATGGGCAATGCACTTGAGGACCTAGGACAATACGCCATACGCAAAGGAAAGGGGAGCAAATAGTTTGCGATTGCATTTTTGTAGCGTAAATTAAAAACATATTGTCAGGCATTAGCGGACGGGCTAAATGTGCTAAAAATAGCGGGATCTCGATATGCATTTCAAGATGCACTGGAGCCGAAGTGTGTATGTGCTATTTGTCGCACTGGCAAATGAGTTGCCTTAATAAATTTAGCCCATGCACATAGTACAGTACTTACGCCCGCCTCGAGATTCAGTGCAGCAAAAAAAAAAAAAAAAAAAAAAAACTAAGAAAAAAACAACGGAGAGAAATATAAAAGGAACGAAACGAGGAAAATGATGTGGCAATAAAAAATAGTGCTAAAACATTCGACAGGCTAGCTGCAACAACAACCACAAGGGCATCGGCAGCATCGCACACTTGCACACCATGTGTGCAACACCAAGATCGCACAGTGCAGCCGCGCTGGAAATGGAAAGTGGGCGGGGAAATGGTCGGGGAAATGGGCTGACGATCCAGCGGATCACAACGGAGCACAGAGACACTGCCACGGTCAAGTGCACTGTGGAAAATGTGCTCGATAAGGGGTTTTGAGTTCTAACGAGTTGATGAAGTGAAATGTAAGGCATTTAAGTAACTCTTCGTGTTAGCCATTTATTTTCATTAAATAAAACTTCCAATATATGTATTATAGTAAAACAATAAAGAGTGAGACTTTTTATTTAAATAGGCAAACCAAGTCCACATTATTTAACTAATGTTAGTCTAACTTAACTCCAAAAATGCATATAAAGTGGCGTATTTTCTTATATAAATTATTTAAATTTATCAACTTGTACTAGTTGTAATGCTCATGGGCCTTCCCATTTTCCACAGGGCACTCGGTGCGACTCACGCATAATTTCTATACACAAACATAAGCCTAAAATAACAGTATTAACAAGAACAACAACCACGTCGTCAGCACTGCGACTAAAACACGAGAAGAAAAACTACACCGAAGATCGGGAAAATCTAGGGGTTGGGGTTGGCGGAGGGCAAGGTGCAGGGGCACCATCTCGCAGTCGACGTCGACTGAGGCAGCGGCAGCGGCGGTAGCGGTGGCACATGTGCGTGCCAAAGGGAGGAAAAGCGGGCGATCTCGACTGCGACGCCGACTGCGGCAGAGGCAGGATCCAATGCTCCACGCTCCCTAGCCCGCTCCCTACTTTACCGTAAGACATCCCGTTCCGGGCATTTAAATATCGCGCCGCAGCAGCTCTCCGGTTTATTGTCAGCCAGATCGCGGTGGCGTGAACATCGCAAGATTGTTGAACTAGAAACTAGAAAACTCTCGGAAATACGTGTGTGTGCTGGTGTGTGATTTTCCTGGGATTTCCCGCGTTCGGTGGCCGTAAAAAAAGAAAAAAAGCCACAAATTGGCAACCTTCCCAGACAACTGCCGGAAATGCGAAAGTGAAAGCGGCCGGCCAAGAAGAGCGGACAGCAAATCACAAGAGACCCACAAAAAAAAAAAAACAAAAACAACCTGAAGAAGAAAATATATAGTATGTCATCCACGCTGAAGACGACCAGCCAAAGTGGCGGCATGTACGTCAAAACGGCGGAGATTTCAGGCAAGGAGACGAGCAGTTGCTACGGCGGATTCATGTCGCCCCCGCTGAGTGCCAATATCACGGCGAATGGCGGGGAGCGGGACATTTTCCGGGTGCCGGCGAAGGTGGAAGGCGGCGGAAACTTCAGCTCCGCTGAAATGCAATTTCCGGACTTTTCACACCTCTGCTTCGCAGCAGAAACACCGAATTCGGTATTCAGCGATTGCCACACATACGCTGGACAGGATCAGTTGCAGGACTCGGATCAGGATGATATAGTCTGTGCAGCGTCGGGAAATACAGGAATGCCTTATCAGCAGGGACAGTACACCCAACTCAACCGCGAGGACATTTTCCGCTTCGAGCCGGAGGATATTGCTCGACTGACTGGAGAGACCGAATTGCCGGGGTTACTGCAACCTCCGCAGACTCCCTACACCCCGTACACACCCTACACCCCGTACACACCCTGCAGCGGGCAAAGTAACCAGCTTCCGGTGCAACCGTCGAACGACTCCATTAATCTGGATATTGATTACTTTAATTATGACGAGATTAATTGCCAATCGAAAAACCAATCGCCGTGCTCATCACCGCACCTTGATGCCTGGCTGAACTTCAATCTCGGCGAGATGTCAGCGGGGGCATCCTCCAGTGGCGCCTCGCCGAAGTTGTGCAACGTGTTCGAGGAGCAGGTCAAAGGGGAAGCCATCACCACCTCATCGCCCACGAAACTGCCCTCTATGAACTCGACCTTCGGCACTCCAAAATGCATTCCCATGTGCGCCAGCAACTACGAGGATTACGCGAATCTCTATCAGGGATCGGCTTACGCCGCGGAGAACTACCAGAACAACATGGCGCAGGTTGTGGAGAAGCCGAACAGGGAGCACAAGGCCATCTGGACCATCGATGAACTGGATGAACTGATGTTGGGCGAACAGCAGCAGTTCTATCAGCAACAATTGCAGCAGCAGCAGCAGCAACAGTTGCAGCAACATCAGGAGTTGCTGCAACGCCAGCAAAATCTGAGTTGCAAGTCCGACTTGGTTAGCTATTTGGCGGATGAGTTCATCAAGTCCGAGGAGTTCCGTAACCTGGACAGCGATGATGATGAGAACTACAACGAGGAGGAGGATGAACTGGACAACGAGGTGTTTGCCCCGCCGGCGGAGAGTGATCCCAAGCCGGATTCAACCTGTTGCGAACCGGAGGCGGAAGCCGAGACTGAGGCCATCCCACTCATCTGCCGCTGGACGGGATGCGACGAGGAGTTCCCCCACCAGCAGGCCTTTGTGGAGCATATCGAGAAGTGCCACGTGGACGTGCGGAAGGGCGAGGACTTCTCCTGCTTTTGGTTGGATTGCCCCAGGCGCTACAAACCCTTCAACGCCCGCTACAAACTGCTCATCCACATGCGAGTCCACAGCGGTGAAAAACCCAACAAATGTCCGGTAAGGAATTGCTATATCTTAATAGTTAAACATGTAAAATTAAGAGTTGGTTTTAAAATAGGAAACTTAATTGTTGGGTAAATTCAGCGTTTGATGTTCAAGTTAAAAGCAGCATTTTCTTAAAATCGCACACTTTTGAGGTTGATGATAAATTTATAGAAGAACGGAATAATAATGATTTCTATTCCATTTCAATTCTATTCCATTTCTGACTTCAAATATTAACTTAGGTTAGTCATTCCTCGATGAGGACATTTTTTCTTTCTGTTTAGAATAGAATATCATTTTTCAAAATCAAACAATGGATTTGGATCTCTCGGTTTTCCCGGCCCAGCTGGTACATTTGTTTATGCGTCCAATAGAAAACTTTCCCCGTGCAGAACCCATTTGGAGCGTTTCGGTTTCCTTTTTGTTTGTATGGCATGGTATGGAATGGTATGGTGCACGTGTTGACATTTGATGCGCCATCGCTGGGATGATGAATTGTGCGGCGCAGGGCAATCACAGGAATTGACAGCAGAGAGCTGCGAGTCAGTCGAAAGTCCACTTGAAATAGAGTTGCTGGTAATGTTATTAGGGCGAACACTCGCTACATCTTCTATACCCGTGGCGCGTTGGCATGCTCTTTCATTTTGATTTTTGAGTAATTGATGGATTCCTCACTGTATGCTTTTTTCGATCAAAAAGGCTCGGACCGGACATCATCAACTTGGCCCACTGCTGCCTTTTGCCATTACACATGTTTCTGTTTCTGTTTCTGTTGCAAAAACGTAATTTGTCCTTTCAGGTGGACAGGATGATGGGATTGGGTCAGGTTGGTATGGTATGGGTCAGAATGGGTTGGGTTGGGTTGGTTGTGACACCTGCGGGCTGAAACAGTAACAGCATCTGCTGCGAGGTCACATTTTTATGCGTCCTTCTGACACTTCTTTCTTTACCTTTTCGCCATTCCTTTCTCCCCCCAAGAACCCCTCCCCCTTCCCTCAACGCCCCATGGTAATTGCAATTTTCGATGACACCACTCTCTTTTTTTTTTGTGTTTCCATTACAGTTCCCCGGCTGCAATAAAGCATTCTCGCGTTTGGAAAATTTGAAAATTCATCAGCGCTCGCACACGGGCGAGCGGCCTTATGGCTGCCAGTATAAAGGTTGCCTCAAAGCGTTCAGCAATAGCTCGGATCGGGCGAAACATCAAAGGACCCACTACGATACGGTGAGTATCCCTATATGCATATATGTGTAAGTGTGTGCAGGTGTATGTGTGTGTGTGGCTCGCCAGGCAATTTGCAGTGCGTGTCAAAAGGAAATTGAAGAGCTCGCGGCTGCCAAAGATGCAGCTGGGATCGCCGAAGAGCGGCTTTAAGATTTAATGGACGTCAAGGCGCTTAGCGGCCTGGCTAGCAGCCACTCTAAAATCGAAGGAGGGGAGAAGGAGCGGGGAGGGGGAAGGGGGAGGGTAGGTAAAAAAAGGAAAGACAACAAAAATGGGGAGCTACTGTTGCTGCTGCCAGCATGACATGTGCACATTTCGCATTTCGCTGCCTGAGTGATTTATAGTTTTGCGTGTGTGCATGTGTATCTGTGTTGTGAGAGAGAGAGCGGGCCCGTTGGCAAAAGTAACAGCAGCTGGAATAGGAATAGGAATCAGAATCAGAATAGGGATGTGGATGTGGATGTGGAACGAAAGCAACAGCAAGCCGCGTCAGCGCGTACGACAACCGGAAAAAAGGTCAAAACCAGCTGAAAAGGCCAGCGATTCAGCCAGCAGCAATGGCTGAAACGCCAGCAGCAACAATAACAACAACAGCAGAAGCAGCAGCAGCAGAAGCAGCAGGAGCAGGCAAATCGAATAAACTAAACGAGTTACTTTCGTTGCCTAGCTGAAGGGGCAGGGCAGCCAATCAGGATCACAAAAGGATACAATGTGTGCTGGCCTGGCGCGGTTGCCAATGCCAGAGGCACACTCTAAAAAATCTATTCCCAGAACGGCACAATTGTCACCTAAGTTTGCTGAAATATTCTGAAAAAAATTCTCAAGATGCCACAAGAAAATGACATCATTATTTTGGTATAGGTAAAGCGAACATTTGGGAAAATTCTGGAAAAGATTTTATGAGAAATATTAGTCACCATATTTTACTGCCAAGTTTTTTTTTTATTTTTTACTGTTGACGCATTTTATAGAAATTAGAGAAGGAAAGAAATAAAATGCTTTGGATGGAATTTATGAAAATTGGTTCTAACAAAATTGAATTTTATAAATTTTATGAACATTGTTTTCGAAGTGCAATGTTGCACTGTTGTCGCTTTCGGCCCGCGGCTGCTGCCTGGGCAAAATAAACAAAATGCAGCATGACATTTCAAAACGATTTGACTTGGCAAATACGCCGGCCCATCTGTTAGTTGGTGCATAAGTGTGTGTGTGTGAATGAGGGTGTGGGTGTGTTGTTTTGGCGATGTGTGAGTGAGTTAGAAGCGCCCGGCGGGCAAATGGGGGAAATCAATTGCATAGTTTTAGGCGGCGGCACTCAGCCACCGTGGTCTGAATCGAATCCCCGATTCTGATTCCGATTCTGATTCAGGTTCCTCATTCGAAATACGAATACTCCTATTTGTACTAACGCAACGCTCCTTCTTTTTCGCTCTATTGGAACAGAAACCGTATGCCTGCCAGCTGCCCGGCTGCACGAAGCGTTACACGGATCCCTCGAGCCTCCGCAAACATGTCAAGAACCACGCGCTGCGCAACGCCAATGGACAGCTGCGCCGCAAATCTGCCGGCGGCGCCTCATCCACCTCCACCGCCTCCTCCTCCTCCTCCTCCATTCCCCCATCTTCCAGTGCGAGGAAGGCGGCCAAAAGCCGCCGTCACTCTGAATCGGCCCTGTTGCAGGGGGGCGTGGCAGGTGCGGGGGGCAGGGGGAGGTGCAGGTGCAGGGACCGGAGGCGATCAGCGACAGCAGAGGAGCAATAGTTGCAGCGAGGCGTTGTTGCAGCCCGAAAGCGACAGGAGGGCAGACCGCAACAATTGCGGCAACGGTGTTGCAGCTAATAACAATTCAATGAACTTTAATGAGTTGTCAAATTGCATTGTCATCATTGAGCACAATCAGAGTGGAGGTCCTGCAGGAGTAACCGCAACTGCAACGAGAGCAACAACAACTGAAACTTCAGGAACATATGGCGGCAATATGGCGTCCGCACCGGAAGCGGATGCGCTGAGCGTTTGCAGCGGCAGCAGCAACAACCATTACAATGCGAATATTAATCAATTAGGCGAACTCGAGCAATTGCTGACGACGGCGAAGCCTTCGGCTGCTCCGCCAGCTGCTAATGGAATTAGCCTGGCCAACAACAGCAACAACAACAGCAACAACAACATCAACAACAACAATAACCGGGTAGCCAATGGTGACAGCAAGTGCCACTTGAGCGAGTTTGTGTCGTTCGAGTACGTGACAAAATATCTCGCGGATGTCTACGAGCCACCCTCCAAAAGTCCTCCTCCGGCTAATTTCCATTTGCAGTCCGAGTTCGACAATAACTTCGACATGCTGGACTTTGCCCAGTTCATTTGATTTAAGCTAGCTTAAGCTGTAGATTTAAGATGAGCCCACCTGGAAAAGTCAGCAATTCAATGTCCAAAGATCTCAGTGCCTGAGCCCTTATAAGAATGCCTACCACTAGTAAGACACCACCTCTGTAAATACTTAGCATTAGCAGTAGTCTAAGTTTAGAACACGCCAAAAGAAACGTTCCTGAATTTCACTACAGTCCAGTGATTAGCCGCGTCTTCCCAATCTTACATTTAAACTAGAATATCCTTGGTTAAGTACTATTTGTAATTGCATTGTTAAAGTTTGTCAACAAGCGCATTGACCATAATAAATAATTTAATTTGCATACTTTTTTCTTACAAAACTCATTTGAATATTTAATTCCATTTGAATATTAATTTTAATTACTTGACGAAACATGTAAATATATGAAGTAGAAAAAATGACATAAAAAGATTGTGGACAAAGTTAATAAATTGGATAAAAAAAGATTTAATAGTGCATAATAAAAGGGGAGGATTTCTAAAGTTTCGCAGCTTTATTTGGAAACACAAGTTGGCTGACAATTTTATTTAACAATTCTATAGCAAGACAATTTAAAAAAATCTGATAACTTGTAACAACATTTTCTATCCAATCCCATGCACAGCTAAAAAAATTTTTTTAAATTTTTTTCTAAAAAATTATGAGGGTACGTACCCCTAACAAAATATCGGAAAATGAGTAAAAAATTATTTTTTTTTTAAATCCGCCAAAAAGTGTTATGGATCATTAGCTTAGGTAGTCCGCTGCAATAACCAGTCCGGTTGGAATCTGTGAGGAACTTTTTAGCTGAGTAACGCCGAAAAACTCTGAGAAGAACTCATATTTTTACTAAAAAGTACTCATACTTATTTCCCGACCAATAAATCGGTGTTTTGTAAAAAGTGAACTTGACAGGTAATGTTTTTATCCATCTAAAACCGTATTTTATCCTCCTGGCTTTTTGAAAATCGATCATAGCCAATTAAAAATCTCCTGCTGAATACATAATTCCTGTTAACGCCCCGTGATTACGCATATCCATTCGTTTTCGATTATATATATCTCACACCTGGTCCTGTATGCGGGATATCGGACTGGCAGACATGCACAACATGTTGGGATTTCCGTTTCATGTTTCGCCGTCTGACTTTACTTAATTGCTGTGCATTCAAAAAATAATTTACAACGCCAGAGAGCCAAATGTATTTATATAGTTAATTTATTATTCGCTTTTAACACATTCTCAGTTTTTCATTTATTTGTTTACATATATCGAATTAATTTGCGTTGCGCATAAAATTCATAAAAATCGGCTTAAGTCTTAAATTAATTTGGGTTCAGGTCGCGCACTGATTGCAGTTGGTCGGGGTCACTGAATCGTTAAGTTGGGCGAATGGGCGAGGGGTTGAATCAACGCGAAACGTTGCCTAATTTGATTTAATATCCAACGCAGCTTCCTGTAATGGACATTTACGAAGGGCGGGAATCCGTATCTCATTAAAATGGATCAAATTAAGCCTTAAACCTTTATGTACCTCACTCGCCGCCCACAATGTTGCACTGCCAATGCATTTTTAGCGACTTAATAAGGCTCGAATGGCCTCTTTCGTTAACTGGTTGGAAATTGCTATGGTCATGGCACACAGCGGGCTGTTAATGTGTAAACAACTGCCAACATATCAATGAGCTGGTGGGCGGATGCCGCTCCGAGTGGGCGTGGCCCTGGCCCGGCGGGCAGTGAGGCAAAAATAAAGTGGCCAGAAGCATGGCCCCGTTAAATGAGCAGTTAACATTGCCCGTTATGAACTTTAATATTAATAACCATTTATGCTTATGACAGACAATGAAAGCCGTGCGCAAATTTACTTGCCACAGCCGCAATGCCCCCAAAGCCCCTCATCCCCCTCATCCCCCCGACATTCTCGTTTCTGTTTTTGCTGTTCAACTACAGCCCTAAAATGCTTAGGGTTGGTGGATTTGTGGGCGGTGGGCTGCATGTTGCTGCACTATGCATTTAAAAATGCTGCAAGTGGGCCAGTTAATATGCAGACCGACACGGGTCTTCATTACAGCCCGCAAACACAGACAGGGACAATCGCACAGACACAGATACAGACACAGACACAGACACACTGGCAAACACGGAACTGCTGGGACAGCGTCAACAAAATAAACAAAAATGTAAAGCAATTAAAAGCAGCCCGGCAGTACACAACGGAATACGCCACATAAAACATGAGCCACGGCTTGATTTTTGCTTTTTTGTTTTTTGCTTGCTTACTTGGCTTCTATTCAGGGATGTAGACTCTCGAAAATTTGAAATCTCTACCCCGCTCAGAAAGAAATCATGAATTTTGTAGATCATTTTTATAGAGAGCCAGACAAAATGTTGGGGATAATTTCCAAATCAACTTTTCAGAAATATAATCAACATAAAACTTAGTAGTTTTCTCAATTCAATTTTTAGGTTGTTAAAAACATTCTTGCACCTTGTGAAAGCCAATAAATTAATTAGAAAATTGTTACCAAACGTTTGACAGAAACCAATACACCCGCTTTTTGGTCCTTCAGTTCCTGGGCACAAAATTGTCTGTTGGACTGCCTGCTGAGGGCTACAAGTGGTCATTGGCTGGCTTCTGGCGCACTTTCAGACCCGATTTTAGCTGGGTCCAAAATTCAGTTTTCATTTTTTTGCCTTTGAGGTTAAAGGGCAAAAATTGTGCAGCTCGGCGTTGGCGTACGAACACGCGGACGGCAGCTAAATATTTACAAGCTCAACGAAAACATCCGCAAACAAAAAGAGCAGATACACAGAATGCAGGAAGTTTTATGAAAATGGCCATCGTACAAACCCACATGTGGCGGAGTAATTGTTATGCCAAAGTCTCGCTCACAATTTATTTTTGTTAATCAGCAAACGCCCATTTGGACGGCCACGCCCACCGCCCCATGGCACCCATGGAACCACGCGTGGCAAGTGGCAACAATTCGACAATTATGTGGCATTTCCATTGCTGCCCCTTGCTGTTCGTTTTTATTTTAATTAAAAAGTCCCCTGCCAGGATGCAAAAAGCGAGCGGATTCGCGGGTTCCCACACCTGCGAATTTTCCCTTTTCCCCTTTCTCGTTCCCCGTTCATGTGTTAGAATTTTTGATATTTATGGGCAGTGGCCACCGGTTGGTGCAAAGTTACAGCCCGATAAGCATCTGCACCACCTGAAAACCCAACCAACCAACCACCCAACCACCTAACTGCCCATTGCAGCTGTTGTGGCTCAGATTTTCGGTGCGTTGCGACGGTTTGGTTCGCAATTATGCAAATCGAAAGATCGCCACACAGCGATATCCTGAAATTCCATGCATTTACAATTTTCTAATCAATGGAATTTTAATTTTAATATCCAGGACTGCCCCTTTTCGGGCTTCTGTGCGATGTATCTTGCGGTCTGTGTATTATTCGCTACGAAAATTGTTTAATTTGCTGTTCTGCGAACGGAAACTCGAGTTCTAGGGTAATCGCAGCCATAGTCGGGATTTCGATTAAAACACCCGGCGATGTTTCAATTAATTCAATCCCAGTGTGAAATGTGTCAGTCACACGTCGCCAGTCGAATGGCTTTGTTGCCTATTTACAGGCGCCGTGAATGCGATTTCGAATCTGAATCTGAATCTGAATCCGAGTGCAAATGCGAACGCGAATGCAATTCATATTCATTTTAATTTAATCAGGCGCTTGCGACGTCGCTCAACCGTAATTAAGTTTCTTTGGGGAGGCCAGAAGCTCGGCGAGCGTGCGACAATAAAAACAAAATAAAACACCCACTATAATGGACGAAAAAAAATTGAATAAATCAGATAGATATGCGCACCATATTTTACAGAGCCACCCAAGCGGTGCCGAGCTCATGGCGACTAATGCAATAAAAGATGGCCACAGCACGTTTTTTAATATTAAATTAAATAAATAATTTCCATTTGCGCGGTCAGCTTCAAATATTCGAACGCACGAATTTAAATACACCAATGAAAATACTCTGCACGCAGCGGCTGCATATGGCAAACGGCATTTTTCGCCCCGCTTTCCCGCTTTTCCGGCGACGACTCATCAAAGTTTTCACAGAGAGCACCGCTGAGATGCCCACATGAATCATGACTGCGAACGGAGGTTTTCGCCAAAAGTTTTCCCTCGGAGTAATTAGAAGACTTAGTCCCCTGCCGGGGGGTCTTTGGCTGACTGCTTAAAATGCTCTTTTGGCGTTAAATTTATGACAACCGCACATGTTGTTTGCCAGCAAGAAACAATAACAATAACAGCCCGCCAGGCGGCAGCCAGCGGCATGCAACAACAAAGACGCGCCGAAGGGGCGGCAGATCGCAGGGGGGCGTAAGGGGAGGGGGGAGGGGGGAGGCAGCGGCAGGGGCATTGAAAAATGCTCGTTAGAAAGTTTCTAAGGTTGCGGCCGCACACGAAACAGCTGCGCCGCCGAAAAGGGAAGGATTCTCCAAATTGTTGCACACTTTCCTTCGCTTTGGGGCGGTCACATTGTTGCTAAGCTATACATACACTATGCAGACTGTTTCTGTTGCTGGCTGATAAGCTACACAGAGAGAAAAGTTCTATCAAAACACCTTAAAAGGTTAAGGAAGGAATTTAAATTTAAGGTCCCAATAATTAAAACAAAATGTACCTTTATGTTGCTCAAATTGCATGGTAAAGTGCTCAGCTCCTAAAACTTTTAAAAATGTTCAGCAAATTTAAATAGTAAAATAGTACATTTAATATATTGGTATTATTTATTAACGAAAATATTGCACTCCATGTTAGCAACTTAATTCCAATATTATACCACATTTTTTGACAAGTGCATTACGCATACCCATACTCATACGCCGTGTGGTGCACTGACGTGACCTCCACTTGTGCGGCAAGTGCTCGGGTGGGCGTGGCAGCGAAATTTCGCTCCAAAGTGAATTTATTGTTTTGGCCATTACCACTTAGCCGGGCCCCAAAAACTTGCCCCAAAGAGCCGTTTATTTCGATGCAAGACGAGAACTTAAACAACCCGACCAAGGATGCAAATCGAAAGGCGATAGAGGAGCGATGCTTTAAGGACCCATCCAAGCAGCGAGCACCATGTTTACCCAAGGTAAATTGCACTCGATAATGAGTGCTTCACATTAATTAAACAACCAATAGATCGGTCTCGGGTTTTCCCCTGCAAATTATGCGGGGCGCCGCGGGGGAGCGAAAAAAGAAGCACACTTGTCGCGGTTCTCGCAGCGATTTCTTTTACTTGCAACAGCGACAGCGAAATTAATTGCGTTGCACGTGGAGGAGCTCTTGTTACGGTTGCCATTAGCGGTGCCATCATCGACCCTCGAAATCGCTGTAATTTCCAATAGATAATGAAATGCAATTAGAAAGTGTGTGGCTGGCTGAGCCTGTGTGCGGCGAAAGACCTTGTGCAAAGTGCAACAATAACAGCAATTTAAACTGGCTTCCCCCTCACTCTCTCTCCCCCAGAAAAGCCGACGAGGAGCAGAATGCATAATGCCGCATAGAAGTTTGTAATTAAAGTTTGCCGACTCTGCCAGGTGACGAAGCCACGGGATACGGCCTTTTATTCCGGCCATTCTGGCCATTTCTGCCTCACAATTGCAACCGAGCAGCAGCAAAAGCAGCAGAAGCGGCAGCAGCAGCAGCAGCAAATCAATTTCCGCATCGCACTCGCAACCGGACGCGAATCCGGACTCTTGCTCGGACTTGGTCTTCGCCGGGGCTTTGTCCGGGGCATCAACAAAGCAGAAAATAAAATTCAATTAACGCGCTTAAATTAAACTGCCACTTCCTGTTTTGATGACACTTTCATAGCAGCTCCGGCTTCGTCCTGAAGCAGCGGGAGGCTATTCTGCTGCGATGAGAGTGCGGTTTCCAACAGCAAACCGGAGCAGCCGGGACAACCGGAGCCTGTTGCTGGCGTTCTCCGCTCCCGGATGACGCGGTGCCTCCTCGGCCGCCGGAGCCTTGCATCAATATTAAACGGCAAACGACCGGCATAATGGCTGTCCGACTGCGGCTGTCATTACGGTCGCTGACGGGACAGGTCCACGGTCCACGGTCCACTCTCCAAGCTCCACGCCCCATGAACCAAGCCTGCTCCCGATGACAAATAAAGCTCATTACGCGGCTGTCCGACATCCTTCACTTCGCTCCTGATTGACCTGCATCTGCCGCTGGCGGCACAGGATGCAGCCATAACTTGCCTGCACTGTCAAAAACTTTCAGCTTGAAAAAGTATTCAATTATTTTTTTAAAAATTGGTAATTATTTTCGGATTTAATCAACCAATGTAAAAAGTAACTATGCATTGTAAAAAATAAACATATTTTTTTAATAAGAAAATAAAATAGATCGATTTAAAAAAATTTATATTTATTTCCCGTGTATATCTAAAACATGCATCTGTCAAATAAACCCCCCAATGCAGACTGCCGGAGGTTCATTATCGGGCAGCGCAACTTTGACGCCAAATGACACAAAGTCATTGGAGCGTTCAGGAGTGATTAAATTAGAACTCAACTTGGCCAACTTGCCGGACGGCTGGATGGCTGGATGGCTGGCTGCCTGTCCGGACGAACTTCTTTGCATCTCCTTCGTGGCTCTTTGTCCGACTCGAACACCCATTCAATTCCTTTGCCGGGCGCTCCTTTCTTTGCGCGATAAGCAACTTTGGCCGAGCAACTGGCGTTTAATTTAATTAGTAAGGAAAACAGGAGGCGGAGTGGCGGCACTGATAAGGCGATGCAGTTGATTGAGAGATGACCGAGCAAGCGAGCCGGTCTCAAAGCAAACGGAAAGCGGATTTGTAGCAGCAGTTCTGGTGGAGGAGGTCCTTTGACGGATTCGCAGCCTGTGGATCCTGCAGCTCGCAGGGACAGCGATACAAGAGCGAGGCCGGCTTAGTTTGGACAACCTGCTCGGGCAAATCTTGGCTCGGAGTGACAGGGGGAATTGGAGGGGGTTGAGTCTCCACCGAAGATTCATTGACGGCTCGTGTGCCGCAGGACGGCGAAGGATGCTGCGATGCGGCAGAGTTGTGGCCACTGTCCGATGCGGTCTCCTCGTCAACGCCCTCGGCACTCGGCTCAAATCCCTCCTGCTGTAAATCATTCAGCGGGAATGAAGGATGCTCCACTTGGCCGTCGTGCGTGGGATGCATTGTTGTCCTTCCAGGGGGCGTGGCTGTCACTGGTGATGTTCTGGCCGAGATTTCGTTGGAGTCGCCGAAGCCATCGGTGGAACTAGTTCGCAGCAGGGTGGCGGCATTCGAGGGGGAGAGGTTCTCCATCGAGTAGGCGCTTCCCTCGAGCAACTTTGTTAGGAACTTGTTCGTTGGCAGCACCGGTCTGCGTTTTCGCCAGGTGTCCTGACCGCTTATCCTGTTCGGCTGTCCGACTGGTCGTGTTATCCCGGCGAAGAGCTTCTGCCGCAGCTTATTCTCCGTGTTGCACATCTCAAAGGCGTTGGCGATGGTCAGGAAAATCTGCTCCGCCAACAGAGCCCGGCGGGGAGTGTAAAAGTCCCGGCAGACAGGACATCGTTCCGAGCGGATGCGACAGTCCACGCAGAGAATGTGTCCATTCTGGCACTGCATCGCCGGAGGAGAGATGGTCACTCCGCAGACAGGACACTCCACCAGGCGCAGGATGCTCTCCAGGATGAGGGACAGGCGTCGCAGACTTGTTGGCATGGGCGCACAGCAGATGCTCTGTGGGTTTCCAAAACATTTTGTTATATTTTATAATTTCAATAATGATTAAAGATTAATTAATTAATGATTAAACGTTTTATATTAAACACTAACGTTCTTATCACAGTCCTTTTCACACTCACTGTTCCAGCAGAGAAGTGTGACGCATTCTTTTTGGCTTTTTACCATTCTGGCGATTTCAGCAACTCGCAGGCCCAAAACATCTTGACCATTTACCTAGAAATAAGGCATTATTACATTCTCAGGCAAACATCTGGCGTTTGAGTACTTCATCTTAACGATTTACGTTAAAACAATTAATTTTGTTGTTCTTATAAAGACCTGCAATAGCGAAAACATATCAGGTTTCTAAATATTTGCTAGCTAAGGCGAAAACAAATAATTAAGACAAATATGGCAAGCACATTTTCGAATTCCGAGCACTGCTTGCTTCTTGCTTGGCACGCACTGCTTACGGATGTTAACCCACGCTGTTAACCGAAGAATCTGTTATCTGATAACTGCAAGTCGCTCGCTTTCGTTTGCTTTAAATATTTGCACTGCGTTAATTAATCTTTGCCGTCAGTTAGCCGCATTAATAACTACGCTCGCGTTGTGTCATTAGTGCTAGGCTTGTATAGGGCAGGTTTTCCATATACCAGCTGTTTCAAGTGCCTCATCACCGATAAAAACACTGAATAATGCCGATGCCAAGCAATTAAGTTTTACTGCGTTGCCATTTTAAGCAAACAATATCCACGAAGAACAACAAAGACAGCTACAATAGCAACTGCAAAGTCCAGGCTTAGATCTACAATCAAACTTGTGTGGATCGAACCCAAAATTTCCAGTTCCTTAAGTTTTAAATATTTACAAAATAACAATATAACTTATTGGAACTTATTTAGAATTTAAAACAAATTATGTGACTTTGGATTTTCAACTAAATGTACCTCATTGTTGTCATAAGAAAAGATTTTCACATTTGAGATAATTGGTTTTGTAAAACAAATTTGTTAAAATTTTTTCTCACTACGAGGAGTTATTACATCTCAAGGGAACAATGTGTGTTACATGTTTAAACAAAATACCTATATTAAAATTATATGCATCTATATAATTTGTAGAAACTGTGCCTCCCTAAAAGTGTTCTAAGTTTCACACAATTGGTTCTTCGAAAGCAGGAGAACCCAGAAAAGTATTGCCTTACAAAATACTCATAATAAACATGTGCAACTGCAATTCGATTTCTTGTGGTAGATAGAGTTACAGCACTTGAACTGTAATGGCATATAATCCCAAAGCCTCTATCTGCAGTTGCAAGAACTGCAAAACGACGGTGGCAACTAACTAGATACTGGGCTACTCACCTCCAGAACGCAATCGCCGGGTTTCAGGCCGCAGAGTGCTGCAGGTGTGCCGGTGGCCACTTCGCATACCTGTAAGTTTGAAGGGAGGGGGATAGGGGATTGGCATTAGCGGAGGGCGGGACCTACAAAGGTTCGCTTCTTTGTTACCCAGGGATAGGGGTCCCACTTGCTGCGGGTCAGCTGGAATCCGAAGTTCTCCATCGAGGGAGCGGCCCGAGGGATCTTCACCAACCGAACGGAGGAGCTGACTGCACCTTCTCCATTCTCAGAGAGTGGGGTCTGAAATCCTCCCCACGATTTCCTCATCTTCGGCGGGAAAACTCGCGCTGGCACTTAAAACGAAGTAGACCAAAATCAAGTGCGACTGGCGAGCGACGTGTTCAACGGGCGCTCTCGCTTGGCAAACTGTTTTTCGTGTGTGTTTTTGTTTTCGAGCCAACTGGCGATATGTGGGCTGCCTGAAAAGTTTCCGAGCAGTTCGAGCACACTGAGCGCTTTGGGCCGACGCAATCGGCTACGACAAACATTTTGGCCTCAGCTTTTAGCCGAGCTCGCAGCTCCCAGCATCACCCATTTGACCCCCACTTGCCCCTCGACCGCTTTGGGCCAACGGACGCCGAGTGTTGTAAGTTGTCGGCGCCTAAATTGTGACTGCGACCAGGGCCAGAAACTCGAGATTCAAGATCCGAGATCGGAGATCCGATGCTGACAGCCAGTTGAGCTCATGAAAATTAGTCTTGGGACGCTAAGTAAATATTTAAACTTTCGGCTGGCAGCGGTTTTTGGGTGCGCTATAAAGCCGTTGTGACACATTGATAGCAAATGAATAAACAAACGACATAAAAATACTTTGGGCATTGTGTCATATACATTTCACACAAATATTCAAATGCTTGGAGTAATTTACACACATGTTAAAAAAGATCTCCCTTATCAAACAAGTTATTTCTATTTAATAATTTATTTAAAAATTTAATTACCATCAGATTAATAATAATAGAAATCCACTATAAATAATAGAACTAATACTTACACCGCACACATATTAATTTGTATTTTTAAACAGCTTGGATGCGACCAACACAAATTGTAATCAGATAAAATCGCTATTAGCCGTAATGTACACGGAACTTAATCAGTTTAATTCCATTTTGTTTACCTTAAAAGTTTTGCGACTTTGTAATTAAATTTTGAAAATAAACAACACTATTTTTCAGCTTAATTGCGTGTTGGCCAGTCCCAAATGGCAGCGCATTGTCAATTGACCGGCGAGCAAGTGGACCAAAATATTGTTATTTAAAATACCGAAGAAATTAAACCAACAAACGAGACACTACATAAAGGTGTCAGGGCGCGATAAACATAAACAATGGGGCCCTAAATAAATAAACGGGCCTAAACCAGCTCGTCCATTAACCCTAACAATGATAACTGATGGAAATTGGCAGCTGACAAATGGATTTGGATTTGGCATGGCATGGCCAACAAACCATCGCAATCCATTTGACTTTCGCTTTTTGTTGTTATCGCCAGTTTAACTGCCATTGAGGCGGTAATTTCAGTTTGGCTGTTTCGGTTGAAACATTGCCCAAATAGCATTGAAATTGGTAATTTCATTAAATTTTGCGCCCAGCAATACTGACCCTGGCAGCATTGTGGTGTGTGATTTCGTTTTTGGCTTTTCAATTTGCCAGTTCAATTAGATTTGGCTGAATTTATGTGGCATCGAGTGGCCCACAGAAGCCGTCCGGCAGCGAAAAGCCGTCAGCAATGTCAAAATTACCAAATACTTGGCCAGGCAATAACATCAAAATTCATGTTTCTCGAACGCCCACCCGAAGGTAATTGACTTTTATTAATCGGCCAGCAATTAGGCCTGGCCCAAAGGCAAATGGCCAGATTCAAGTGCAATTCCGTCTCTCAAGTTATTAACTTTTCGTATGTCTGCGGTAAGAAGATTTTGAAAAACCGTTCAAAAGCTCGCTGCCAGCTAGTGCAAAGCTCTGACGGCAGGTGGCGCTGGTGTTTAAGCCAAGTTTATAGGTCTGCTGGTCAGCTGTGCAGAAGCCGAGCATCAGTTTCTTCGCAGCTCGGAGTCAGTGAAGTGCGCATGCGCCGCAAGTTCCGCCAGCAAACGCGAAGTGCGAAGCGCCGGCGCCAAAAAGTTAACAACCAACGCATCGAAATAAACCAACCAGCGTGCCCGAGAGTTGTGAAAATCGATTAAACAGCAGGTCCCAACGAAGAAGAAAACCGGTGTGTAATTGTTAACAGACCATGCGAGCCCTAATGGCCCAACTGACCTTACGCTCACCCCAAATCTCCAACTCAAGTTGGTTAACGTTGTCTCAGGTCAAGGTCCCCACGGAACCAAATCTAATCTAAGCCAAAAGCGAATAAACGCGGAAGTGTAACGGACAATTATAAACGCATTTGCTGGATACTCGCATAATTAAAAGCGGCAAACAAGTTTGCTTCTATTTCCTACTGCCAAAGCAAACAAACGGGTCTAAATTGAATTAGAAACGCGGCAAGAGCAGCGCATAAATCATACGTATACGCAATGCTTGCGCAAATTTTTACCCACACACACTGTGCGAAATCAAAGCAGAAAGCGAATCACGTTCAATTGCGAATTTACACGGCAATCTCAGCGTTGGAGTTTTATTCGGATCCCAGGCGGCTAATTGTAGAGCGCAGCGTCAATGGCGCATGCGCAACTTTTTAGCCCGCTTTGGGGTTTCTGGGTCTCTGTCTCAGGCGCTTTTTTTTTTTTTTTTTGCCTTATTGCCCGCTTGCGGTTTCTTTCGTGTAACTGTGACGCAATTTTCGTGTGAGTTTGTTTTAGTCTCGCTTCGCCAGTTTTGCCACTGACTCAATACACTGAAAACGAAAGCGGCAAGCGGCGGCCAAGATGTGAGCCACTTGGCCAAGTCGGTTCGCAATTTGTGTGCAATGTGCATTACCTTCGGGCGACTGCGTGCTGCAGTCAGTTGCAATTCACACGCGTCTAAGCTCGGTTCGCTTCCTCTAAAGCAAAATCTTATATATAGCGTTAACTTTACGGTATAAATATTGCGGTTGATAATTAAGTTTGGGCTCTAATTGGAGCGTTACCAGGGGCAGCCATCCTGACATTGCGTAATTGTTCGCCAAGTGATGCGCTTCATTGGCCTGGGCCAAAAAACAATTGCTGCTGCTGCGGTTGGTGGCTTTTCTCTTGTGGGTGCAGCCCTCATTAGTTCATAAAAATAATTAAATGGATTTCTCGATTGCCCTTACAAGGGATAAGGGATAAGGCATAATTGAATGAGGGCCAGTCGAGCATTGAGCTTGCTGCTCAATAACTTATTTACTTCTCGCTGTGCCCACTTCAAACAACCGACGTCATAGCGATTTCATGGCCAATGTCAGTAGAAGTGAAGTGAAGTGATTTGAACAAGTTTGCCGTACTCGCACTCACATCGGTGTATCTGTATCCGCGTATACGAGTATCTGTATCCGCGTGCGTAGACAACTGGGTAGGAAGCTATAAATTCTCAATCCACTCCGCGATTGGAGTGCAGAAAACATAATCAATTTCTCTGCGAGAATCTTCTAAACTGACAGTCGCGTGAATCTGACGCAATTCATGGCTTCCACTTCGATTTCGACGGCTAATGGCTAATGACAATGCCTGTGACTAAGCGAAAGAATCCAGTTGGCAGAACAGCTGGGTTCTGGCTCTTACAATATACTATATATACATTGAATGAGTTCCGGCTGCACGGTGGCTTAATTGATTTTCGTTGGGGCCTAAAGTTTTCAAGAAACCCTTTCTATTTTTTGAGGTTTCTTTTTTCCGGCTTGCCCGGAAAACTTTTGATTTATGTGAGCAAATTTTACGCCTGGCGAACGTGGCGTATGCGTAATTACGGCCACTTGGCACCAAACTTTCTGGCTAATTAATTGGTCTTCGAGGCAGCTGCCGAAAGGTGAATGAATCGCCGGCCGAAAAGGTGCAAATGAGCCAAGTGCTGGAAATCAGAGGACTCCGCTCGCCCCAATCACACACACTCAAACACACTTCGAAGCACACACACACACACTCACATTTAAGTGGTGGCATAATAAATGCGAATTCGTACGTGATGGGCATGTCAACTAGGTTGGGGCATCTTGGCTGCTCTGACAAACGAAGTAAAACAGTTTGGCAACATTTTTCAAAGCCCCTCGGTGTGTTTATAGGTGTGTGATAGCCCCGGTAATTAGATGAGGGAGGGTGTGTGCGTTTCTTGCTGCTGAAGTGTTGAAAATTGTCCGAATTTATGTTGGCCAAGGCAGTTGGCTTCTGCTTGTGACCTTGTAAATTAATTCTGTGATTTGAACTCTCCCTCTTCCAGCCAAGATGCTCCAGTTGTGCACGATATATGCGTGTGCCAATGGCACCCTGGGCCTCAACTTGAGTCGTGCCCCCTGGGATCCGTATCCATGGGTCAGCGGGGTGCAGGCGAAGTCGAGTGCGGAGCGGGGTGGCGTTCGGCTGGGCGACACGCTCCTCGAACTGAATGGCGCCGATGTCCTCGGGCTGAGGATAAGTGAGCTGGCCAGCCGATTGCAGGATCACTGGCAGAGCGGAGCGGAGGTCGTCACCCTGATGATGTGGCGCCAACAGGCGAATGTTGCCCCGAACGAGGATCCTGCGGAGGCATCGCACGCTGTGGTGAGTAAACGATTGCGCAACCTGTTTTCTTGGCCTAATTGGCCCGGAATTATTCGAGTGCCGCTTAAATGGGCCATTGTCTTACATGCTCGTCTGCCATTGAGCGTTACGTAATACTGATTGGCTTAATCACTGCTGCTGCTGTTGCTGTTGTTGGTTTGGTTTCAAGTAATTAGTAATTAGACGCTGCAAGTTGGTCCGCATTGTGGGCTTAAGGCTGCCAATTGCAGTTTGACGGCCCAAGAGTGAAGCCGCGATTCAAGGTAGCCACTCGTAAGAAAAAAAATGCAAAACCACTCTTTACCTACTAACTCAACCATAACCACACATAATTGTAGTTGACTGGCCATCGAATACTACTCACTTAAAGTTAATTGCGTAAATTGAAGTTTATTGGGATGAACCTGCTCATAAGGTTAAATTAATGTATGCTAATAAATATGAGATTACATTTGTAGTTTTTCGTAGCACATGAATAAGTTATTTTGCTCCGATTTTCTTCAAGTTTTAAGTTTACTTTAACGAGCTTTGAAATTATTATTTCCCATTAGCAAGCCAACGAACAACCTTGAACATTAGTCAGAGCTCTGGTCCACTTCAATGTGCAGGTAAATTGAGATCCTGAGGTTTGCCCCGAGGCGTTCAACCATACTAATGTCCAGTCGGCGTCCATGCGACAGTGTCGTTGTAAATTGTTTATCTGCCGACCAAGATGCTGTTTACTTTATTAAATGCAATTGAATCGAAATAACGCAATTTCGTTCTTGACACATTATGTGTACTTTATTACAATTCAATTGACCTAAATGTCCTCGCTGTGGACAGTCGAAATTTAAGGCCAGCCAGTCGGTCAACCAGCCAGGATGATTTGCACATACAGGTGGTTGGCAGGGAAAGTCCATTTCAATCAGTTGAGGGAGCCATGATTGACACACTGTGTGCCAGTTTGACCCGTTAAACAGATTAAACTTGCAACCGCATTCGGCCATGGAACGTAATGCGTCTTTCGAATGCAGGCGGCCCTTTCGATGGGAATTTGAGCACCAGTCGTTTTGATAATCGAATGCAAATTGAATGAAAATCGGCTTTAATCGAAGCCTTTCATAGCCAAAGTCGCGTGAATTATTAACATAATACTATCGAAAACTTGGGCCATGGCGAGAATTTAAACTAAATTAAATGCAGGTGTTGATTTAATTTCCTTAGAGTGTCGTTTAACCTTGAAGCGGAATCCTTATATTAATCAGTTCTATTTCTCTTTATTTTTGCAGCAGCATGGAATTAATCAGCAATCGCTGCAAAAGTTTGCAACATGCCTGCAACATATTTCCCAATTACTGGAGTGTCCTGTATGCCTCGAGGTAAGTGGAATATGGGGCAATCGGGGGATGGGGGATGAGAAATGAGGGTGGGATGCTGGACCATAAGGACATCCAACCGCCTGCATGTGCATTGCATATCGATGAGGCTGACTGGCTTTAGTTTTAGTTCGTCATTATCTAACTCAGCTGGGCTCGAACTCTCGACCCAACTCGCTCAAAACTTAGTTGGGCCAGTTGGCCTCCTGTTTGCCTTTGTGAGCCGCTGCTGTCAAGCGCACTTTGAGAAAAATAATAGACTATAAGAAATATAAAGATGATTGGAGTTTGTTTATAGAAAATAGCTGATATACAAGGTATATAAACAATGTTGTTTGTTTTTTAAGCAAATGCAAACCATTTTAAGTATTGGTTTATCTTTGGAAAGAAATTATAATTTGAAACTATTTTTAGATAGGTTCGGAGTTTGAGTTGTGAATTGAATAAGGTTGTAAAGTGCTGATTATTTTCTCTCAGTGCAGTTCCTGTTTCATTGGCAATCCCAGTGCCATCCTCTCTTCCGGGCCTGCGTTGATTTTGCTGCGCAAGTTTGTTGCTAATCACTTGACTGTATATAAAGTTTGCAACGTCGGGCTGCCGGTGATTGCGTGCCCCTAGTTCCACGTCCATGTGCCCCCACCCCTCCCCTCCTGTAAGCCCCCCACTCCCTTCGCCCAGGTACGGGAGTATTGTTGACTCAATTACTCAAACGACGCACATGGCCCGATCCGGCTCTCCAATGTTGGCACTTAATAGCCGTCGGTTATGTTGCCAGGCCAAGTTTTTTATTCGAGCGGCTGCTTGCCTATTTTATTTTGTCCTATATCCGAGTAGGTTTTTGATAAATGTTTGCCCGGGCATGTGATTTGATTAGTTTTGCAAAATATATACATCCACAGCGGAGCCTGTGATTGATTATGTCGTTTAAAAATCAAATATTGACGATTAGTGTGTGTCGAGTGTGTGGGTCGGCGGCAGCGGAAGTCAGTGTGAATAATCGTGTCAATCGGCTGCGGGCCAGCTTCTGATTTTGCTGTTTTTGAAGCTTCAACGCTGAGACTCGAGAGCCCAGAGCTCGATGTCGATGTGCATTTAAATTAAAGCTGCTGCTGGCGAGGGCCGGGCTTTAAATTTATTTATGCCCAGCTTGTCAGCAAAAACATAAATTTAATTAATTAGACAAGATAAAGAGTGTGCAGACCGGTGAGCAGAGCAAACGCTCCCCCTTTTGCTCCCTTTCTCATTTCTGGCCATTAAAAATGCAGAGTTATTTTCAAACGAAATTCTCGCCTGCAGCAGATCTCGTTGGCTCAGTGCTGGAGTGTCAGTGTGTAACCATAAATTAAGCATGTGCAGGGAGCAGGAGGAGCAACGGGGAATAGAGGAGTGGAGGGGTGGAGGGTGTGGCAAGGACATATCCCAGAGATATCCTGGGATATCCTGGACACGGCCACGCTGCAACGCCTTCGGAGCGAGTTGGCCACACACACAGAGCAGCTTGAACTCCACTTGCAGCTGCACTGAATAATTTGTTTATTAACCCGAAATCAGTTTATGCTGCTCCGTCCTGCGGCTGAGTTGCCAGGAAGCAAGTGGGAGGAGGAGGAGGAGGGGAGGGGAGGCCATCGGATTTGGCCATTATTACTCCGGCACGGAGCAGGCATTATATTGTATTATGAGCACCAGTATGTGTGCCGTCCATCTCCTTTACGTATTTTACGTATTTATGTATGCAAACACGCACACAAGTCCATTAAGTTATTAAGGGATTTTGTTTTGCTAGGTTTTCAATAGTTGTGCAGCTCCGATTCCCTTCAATGCTAATCGCCTGCATTAGTTTGCATCCAGTTGGATAAGGATTTGCTTCTGCCTCTCCGTGTTTGACATTAAATCGGGCATAAAATTGTTTTTGTTCCATTTAAATATGCATAAATTTGCTGGCCATTTAATTTTCATAAATTTTGCAAGCAAACAGCTCAGCTTGAACTCTCGATGGCAAAATGATTAATTCATTTTCGATCGGTCCTGCGGCCACTTTGTTAATCCAAACTGGCAAACAAGTTCCCGAAATCGAATCAATAGTGTACTGTTGAAGCCATCTTAAACATGCCTAAAAGCGTGCTTCGAAAATTTCGATTACTCGACGACAGATGCCGAAAAGTGGGCTAAAACCACTCGGCCTTGTCCATTTCCGCCGCCATTGCCACTGCCACTTCCACTTCCCCAGTTTTGTTTTCGCTCAGCTGCATTTAATTGATTTCTATCACTAATTGGAGTCTTTGTTTATGCATGCGGGGGTATTAAAATTAAAAGCATTTTCTCATGCCATTTAAGCCAATTAAAAACAATAAGAGACGAGTAACATTTAAAATATCTGGCACACGTGCACGTTCTTTAAATCCCTACGGATTTTGTTGGCCAGACATGTTAGAATGTTAGGGCATTGAAATGCATTCAGCCATTAAAGCGAATATCAGATATTGCTCGCAGTTTACATGAAAGGGTAGTTGGAATATCAAATCTCCATTAATATAAAAAGCGTGTTTATTTGACATAAGTAAATATCTACATGTTATTTTTGGTAGGGAGCGGTTTAAAAGCTTTAGTTTCCATTGAAAATGTACTGATTATATTAGATTTTTATACGCTAATGGGGATGCAATCATAACTTTTTCTTGCCGTACCGTGTTCTTTATCTTGGTGTTTTTATCTGGTCAGATTGCAATCGAATCGCTTTACATTTGTAATACGTAGTAAAAAGTACAAAAGCTGCTGTGCAAAAATTGTTTCTTTATTCAGCTCGTAGCAAATTTATGTTCGCCTGCATATTTACAACAGTTTTTGGCTGAGTACACGTACATACAGAGAGGCAGAGACAAAAAGCGATGGCCGAATATCGATACAATTTCCCCAGTCCTTTAGTCTATTTCCCGTGTTCGCATTTATGTATTTCACTTTTTTCGCATTGCATTTTCCCATTGCATTTTTGTTTTTGTGCATTTATGAGGGACCGACTTCAAATGCGCAATACTATTTGGGTGCGCATCAAACACAGTTGTATTATTTTAAATCCGCTTGCAATATTTTCAATTTGATTTTCAATTTAAATGGAAAGCTTGCTGCGCACAGCGCTGCGAATATAATACATTTTTCATGTCGATTTGAGAACGGCAATCGGAGCTGCATGTTAAACTTAAGGAGACCAAGTTCCTGGGGCAAAGACAAGGGCCAAATGTGGGCAATAATCAAATTTAGTTTCCGTTTGTGTATTACGAAGTACGTAGACTAGAATTGGTTTTTGTTTAAATGCAATTGGGAAAATAATAGTGCAGCAATCAGGCAGCTCAGCTGCAGTTGCAGTTGCCTGGGGTCCTGAGGGTTCGATGGCCATGATATTTATAATTAATTGAAATAATTCCCCTCCTGAATAATTACACACACTCACCGAACTCGTCTCTCGTTTCTTTTTTCCTTTATTCCCCCGCTCGGAAATCAGGTCATCAAACCACCTGGCTGGCAGTGCTGCAATGGACACGTGCTCTGCAATAATTGCCGCAGTCGCTCCGTGAAGTGTCCTGTGTGCCGAGTTCCTTTGGGGCCACGAGGACGCTGCCTGCTGTCGGACAAATTGTTCACGTTGCTCGCGGAGAGCTTTCCCTGCGACGGCGGTAAGTGCTGGCCGGCTTTTAAGGACGTGTATTCGCGACTTTTATCTATTTAATCTGCGTAAAACGATACCCGAATTAGCCTTGTCATTAGGCAACAGCTGTTCGTTTCAGTCCGTTTCTGAGAATTCTAGGGAGTCTCCTTAAGTGGCAAGGACAGAGGTATGGGATTCGGTTTTTGCCAATTATTAAGGCTCATTCTTTACAGATTTCTTCGAGCTTGAAATATTGATAGGAAACAGCTTGACAATTTAGTTCATGAAATTCGTTTTGCTTTTGAATAAATTAAGAGCTTGTTAAGTAAGGAAGTCCTTAAAAGTCAGAATTAGATGTTTGCGAATCATGTTATTTTTGGTTATTTATTGCTTAGCCCTTTAGTAAATTTAAAGGAAGTTTAGCTTGTCCCTTTAATACTCATCTCTTCTAATTAATTTTTTACAGATTTAATTTTTGTATTAGGATTATATTTCCGATATGATTATCGGAATATGAGAACCCCAAACAATGGTTTTAGCCCACGCCCTGCTTTACTCTATATTATATATCCTATGCCATTGGCAGCATCCTGGTTCCGAGTCCCCATTTTGGTGGGCCGAAAACTTTTCGGCGGCGGCAAGTGTCAATGTTTCACTTAAATCTCAACCGAGAGGCGGCGCAAATGAAAGAAAAATGTGACGAGAAAGCGGAGCGGAGTCAAGAGTGCTTGAAATTGAGCGCAATGGCTCATCTTCGCTTGTTGTTCTTTTTATAGCGTAATTATGTAACATAAATTGCTAAAGTTTTTTGCGCTTTACGCCACTGCCATCTTGCCAGCATTGTGTTACCCATCGTTGTTGTTGTTATTATTATTATTGTTGTTGCAGTTGTTGTTGCTTTCAGCTGGGCGGCTTCGTTTAAAGTTTAGCCGCCCTTGTTGCCATTTTCAATCTGTGTCCGCCAACTTAACTTCGAGTGAAGTTTACAGCGGAGGTAACAAGCAGCAACAGAATTTTCCGCCGTTGTCTGCATTTGTTTTTACTTGTTGGTCTTCATTTTTTGCCACTTTTCCCCACTTCGGGGTCTTGAGCTTTGTTTTTACCCAGCTTATGCTGTGCTTAGTGCGTTTTTATTGCTTCTACATTAAGTGTGCATTCTTTATGTTTTGCCGGGATTTTCCAAGCTCATATTTATATAGATGTACTAGGGACGTGGAGACTTATTTACTTTTTTCTATTTTCATTTGCCACTTGAACTTCTTGGGAGTTTTGCAGTCAAGAGTTGGGTCGAAATCCTAACGAGCGCAAATGGACAATTGCAACTCCGGGAAAACTTGCGAGTTGTGCGTGGAATTCGGAGAGGGATGTCCTCCGAACTAGGACTAGATATCCCGGCTGTATTTATTATATTTACATTTCGTAGTTTACTCCCCGCAGGACTTTCTTTTAATAGTTTTTTTTCGGCTCTTTTTTCAGGGAAGTCCAACCAGGTGACTGCGGCCCAGGGCCATGAAAAACTGAGCAGCGTCAACAAGTGCACAAATGAATATCATAATCAACCGAAAATGGCGCTGGCCAAGTCGAGTTCGGGCAAGAAGTGCGGCAAGCAAATCTCCAGGCAACTGGCAATTTCGGCGCAGCCCCAGATGCCAAAGGAGAGTGCCCAAACTGGCGGTGAAATCAGGAGGAAAAGCCACGACGAGGAGGCGGAGGAGGAGGAGGCTGTCCTGCAGCGTTGCACGCTGATAAAAGTGCAGCACCGGGAGACCGGCGAGGACTTTTCGGTCGGAGGTCACAACAATATGCTCGTTAAACCAAAGTTAAAGTTGAGTAAGAAAAGTTGGCGGACTGCGGGGCGAGATCAAGACGGATTGCGGTGCGATGAAGCTGCGGCCACCACCATAAATAATGGCGACCAGGTGGGCGACGGCTCTGGCTCCGGCGAGTATCAAAATTATCATTGCCCCACTGGGAAATCATGCAGCTACAGCTTCGGCCAGCCGTTGGGCAACAAATTGTCAACGGTCGAGATGAGGGACTGCTCCGCCTCCGCCTCCTCCTCCAGCGACGGAGGCGGTGCATCCTTATCAGCGGGGAGCCATAAACAGGCGCCGGCATCCGGAGTAAATCAGGCTGTGGCACTGGATCCGGGGTCAATGGGTCGCCTGGAGTGGCAGCTGCTGCGGCATCTCAGCGCCGAGCACCGGCTGGCGGTGCTGCAAGTCTGCGGCACGTTCGGCGAGCGGTTGCACGTGCGCCCCCAGTTGCCGCACGAGGGCGTGGCATGCCTGCGGCTGAGCGAGGGCGACTCTTTTGCGTCCACTTTGGGCCACGTCAAAGTGCACACATTTTTCTTGGCTGTCATTGAGATCGGTGGCAGTGGCGGTGGCAGCGGCGACGGAGAGCACGCCGTCTTCCTGTGGCACCAGGACCTGCCACAAGGACCCACTTTCGAGTCAGTCATCGCGACACAATGCCACCAGTTTCGGGGACCGGCTCATTCACTCCGGCGCAGCTGGCCGGAGATTAGGGCATCCGGCCAGTTCCTCACCTGCCGCAATTTGGCTGCCAACTACGAGGTGACCATCGAGAGAAGGTAGACTCCGCTTAACATAGACTGGTCCCAAAGTTTAGTGCATAGTAGTTAAATCTAATTAGCTTTAAGACCCCGAACTGATTTCCCTTTTTGGCTCTCTGCAAAAGTACCGATAGAGCAGCAAACTAAAACGGAACTTAAAAAAATAAAATAGAAATGTATGCTTTGTGAATTATATTTGCGTTTTTTTTTCACTGGGCGCGTGTCTGTGCGAAAAATGCAAAACGCAATTTGGAAATGTGTTTAATTTGCAATATTTTTAATTAATAAAAACATTTAGAAATGTGCTGACCTGGCAGGTTGAAAGTCGAGGCAGGTGAGCAGCGGAGTTGGGCCTTTGGAAACCTTTGGATGCTCTTCAAAAAAGAGGTAAATAAATTAAAGGTATGCATTTGTATGGCTACCTTAATCAAAAGAAAGCCTTCGTTTGAACCATGATTGCGTTTTTTTTTGTATTCTATATGCCATATCAAGTGTATCTCATTTGGTGAATGAAAGGACGGACTGTTTTTCGTTGCGGTGAAAAAATAATTCTGATATTTGCAGCCAAAGCCGACAACAGCAACATCGGTGGTAACTAGCGGCTGTCTGTTTGCTGCCTCTTGATAATTGACTTGCATGCAAATTAATGTTTTTTGCTCCTCTGCTGCTGCGCGTGGGCGTAAATTGCTGCCCTGTCTGACAAACAGTAAACACGGTCAATGCAGCGGCGAGTCATTTTCATCAACGCCGCGCAACACATAAATCTCGGCGCCATCGATGTTTACCATATTTAAGGAAAAAATTCCAATTTGATACAACAAAAATCACAGCGCTATAACAACATGTATGCGGGGCAAATAGAGCAAGCCCGTTTTTATTATCCTCATCTTTTTTTTTTTGAGCTTTTTTGTTTTTGGTTTTTGCATTGCAGCCTTTCCACACTATCGCCTGTTTGTTTTTGATGAGCCATCATCATCATATTCATCGTCATCTTATGCACTGCCACTGCACTCGGCACCGCACACAATCGAAAAAGTGTGCATAGTTAAAATAAATTAAATATTTTCGCCAACGACACTTTTTTCAACGCCGCTGATGAGGAGATGATCTGACTGCCGCACGAATAATGGCGGTGACGTCACGGCGATTGGTTATCTTTGTCGGGGGTCCATCAAGTAAATTAAAAATATTCCGGCGAAGCAATTAAATTACGGCCACGGCGGGGGGGAAAATAAGTTCAATATGATGAGCCAGTCAAAATGCAAATGATCAGAAAACAATTTACAAGACAAACGACTCTTTTTGATGGTAGCCAAGTTTGCAGTTTTCAAAAATCCAACGCATTAACATTTTAATTAAGGACTTTAAAGAAAAAATTATTTTCAATAAATCGTATCACTTTAAGTTTAATTGTTTTTTTTTTTAAATAAAATATCTGCGTTAATTTCTGTTTGTTATATGAAATCATTCTTTCCGCGTCTCGTTAGCATACTCGCATAAATAAAGCTTAATTAGGATAGGTCAGTTGCACATTAATGAAAAGTGAGAGCACTTCAGCATTAAATACTTTTGATTTGCTGATACTACGCCCACATACAATGTCCTATGATTAGTTGTCTATTAATAACGCGCCCATTCAGCTTCTTATCTCATTTAGATAAATTATGATTGCATGTCAATTATTTATCAGCTAATTGGTTTGGCTTAGAAAACTATGGAAATATTGAATCGAAGATAAACGACTTCAACAGCTCCCAGCTACTTCCCCCTTATAAATATTGTTTTCTCTCCGCTCTTTCCACCATAATCACATTTTACTCACTTTTCTCCAGCAGAAGGTTTGCTTTGCGCTGCTTGTTTGTTTGCCAATTAGTTTTAATCGAAGAGCGCTCGCTGGTTCTCCGCTCGCCAATCGCTTGTTTAAATTGCTTTTCTAATTAATGCGCTGGGCAAATATTTGCCAGTGCATGTGTTGTAATAAAAAGAAGCTCCAAGTTCCTGCTTTCTTGGAGGCTACTTTGATTTCGTTTCTTTCCGGCGGTCGTGTCGCGCGTGTTTCTCGCCCTACGAGTATATTGCCTCGATTCTCCGGTCCGGTCGAGTGGTCGATTCAATATACACAGCTCCTCAATCTCTTTGGCCCATTCGCGTTTCTCTTTGGCTGTCACTTCGAGTCAAGAACCCAGTGGATACGTCATCGTTTGATTGCGTCAGCAGTCGCTCTTTGCTCGAAGCTTTTTTCGTTTTTTTGTCTCGCGCTTTTTCAGTCAGTTTTGTTTTGGTTCGGTATTCTGCCACCGGTTGAAATGAGCAGCGATTTGGGTGAGCTAAATTATGGATTTTTTAGCACTTAACACTGGCAGTTTTCGATTTTCGTTAATTTACGAGTTGATGGTTAATCAATTAAATGTTTGATCAATTTTTGCCACAGTGCCAATACATAAATCGTGTGCAAATAAAACTTAATATACAGAAACCGAACCACTAGGCGGTGGATAATTAAGTTCTTAATTTATGGACATTTCTGCTTGCTTAACAGTGGTAGAAAATTATAGTTGTGTGCTTTCGATTCGCCAAATTGCATATGATAGCATAAATATTGTTCTTAAGAATTGGTTCTTTAAAAAATAATTTCTTTAAATGGCCAAATAGATAATTTTCTTATGGAAATTTAATATCCCCAGATGTGCTGGATGTGGTGGCCAGCAACGAGGGGCCTCCCCTGCAGGCCTTCCGTTCCAGCAATCCCTTTGACGAGTCTGATGAGATGTCCTCCTCCCAGCAGGACTTGGAAAAGGAGCGGGATGGCAATCACACGCCGTTGCATATGCTGCGCCGTGCCAGCGAAACGGTGACCGCCAGCATCCTGGAGCCCGAAAAGGAGCACCTGCTGGGCGGTCGGCCCCAGGCTCCTCCCCGCACCCACGGAACCTCCATTCTGAGTGCCCCTGAAGGTGAGTACACGTTTAATTGCGACCTGTCGCCAAGGGAAACTCAAAAAATGCAGAGCTGATGCAATGCGAAAATATTTATGCTGGAACAATCTACCTCCATTCCTCCGATGCACACATTCCATTGGCAGGAGAATGAATGAGGACACCGCAGAGAGACATCCAAGGCTATAGCTCTATGCCAGCGCTTTGTTGGCCAGCCAAGCGAATTGGCTCAGACGGAGAACTGCACAATGCGTGCTTACAGATGCCTTTCAACACATATTCATATTTTGTTTATGCAGAGTTTTGTTTTCCCAGCTTTGAGCTGGCAGAAGCTGATTGAGGCATTTCGATTTTCAGTGAACCTCACAATCACATCATACACAAAGCAGTCGGGGCGTATACGTAATATTTCCGCATATTGACGTCGCAGCGTCTGCGATTGGCAGTTCAGCTGTCCCGGCTCAAGCTGGGTTGTTTCTTTGGTTCGCCTGCCTTCGGCAAAACTGCACCTTTGCTGGCCATGTGGGAAGATCCACTTCTGGGTGAGGGGCTTTGTTTGTTCTGTTTATGCAACTCTGTTTTGGCAGGTGGCTGCTACTGGGTTTTTGGCCTCAACCAAACACACTTATTATTGCTAAAACTCGTGGAGCTGCAATTGTTTTGCATCTGTCCAAATACGGGGTTTTTACGCGAGCTTTCGCCAACTTTTTGGGGGGGCGCCAAAAGGATTTCCCTTTGGGCCATGGCCACAGTGGAATTTTCACACGAATAATGAGCCGTTTTAGTTGCGCCCAAATGCCCACAATCAGACAACTAACACGAGTGGCAAAAGCCCGCGGCTGCCGGCAAAGTATGTTTCCATGAATATGCATTAGCTGGGGCTCATTTCCTGTGCATTCATTTCGCATTTGCTATTCGCATTCGCTTTGCATTCGAGTTGTGCTGATTCCGATTCGCATTCGCATTCGCATTCCCGTTGCCACTTCCATTTCCATGCCCATTTCGGCTGTGATTCGACTCTGGAAGTCATATTTAAATAAGTTTGCGCACCGCTGCAGGCAGCACAAATGCTCGCATGTGCAGGCGCTCGTTTATATTAAATAAATTCCATTTACCATTTACCATTTACCATTTACCATTTAAATGCAGCGTCTCGGGCAATTCCTCAAGCTCAACCTTGAATGGGCGATGGGGTTGATGGGTTGTTCGGAAAACCTGCCCGCTTTTCACATGTCGCTTCTGCTTGTGAGTGAAACGGCGACATTTCTGTTAACTAAAGCCAACATGATATACGCTTGGCACACAAGCATTCTCTCTCTTGGCTATTGATAAATGCAGTGCATTGCGCATTCGCCCCGTGTGCCCGCAAAGCTGTTTTCCCTCTCCGCTTGTATGCTTGTGTGTGTGTGTGTGTTTGGGTGTGTGCAAGTCTGTTCATTACGTATACGCAGTGTGCGACATTTATAAATGCCAGCATGACTGTGACTCGGCATAATGATTGCCAAATGAATGGGAGAATGTTAACCGTCACGAAAGCCCTTTCGACGCCATTTCCATTGACGCTGATGCGTTTTGCCCAACAGCACTTCGCAGCTGTTGGCCCACTTGAAGCTGAAACCACCGGGTCCTTTGACTGTTTTTGAAGGATCAGCCAGTTGCACTTGCAACGCGAAGCTAATTACTAAAACTGCGCTTAACCGCAGCTTTCCATTTCATCTTTGACCACCTGTCAGACTGCGCTTGAGGATTTGTTTGGTCGCCTTTACTGCGGCTTTGCCGTTTTCAATTTGTCGCCTTATTTGCCGAGCGCTGAATGGCGCTTTGTGACCTGGTTTTTCACTATTTCCACTATTTTCACCATTTTTTTTCTATTTACCCGCCGCGAGCCAAGAAAGTGCCAGTTTCCACTGATTTGCGATGTATGAGCACTAAATTAGATGCGAATCGCCGGGGCAAGAGCTCATCTCTCGGCAGGAAGTGCGTGACAACGGAATGCAATGCAATCTCGCCCAGAAAGGAATTATTTTCTGAATGCACCCTGCCACACCAGGCAGCGGGTAGCCGTGGAGTTGCCAGTCTGCATCAGGATTCAGGACGCGCAAAGGATTCCGGCTGGCATAGTTAAAAGGTGGTACGCTTAAGTAAACATAAATAAAATAAATGTGTGCTGCGTACGGGCAAAGTGATTTGATATATGCTGCAGACGTAGATGGAGTTTCAGAGTCAAACGTTAACTCGAACGCAGACAGGAAGAACTTGAAGCTTCTTGGTAAAGAAAAAAAATAAAAAGAAAAGTGGAAAAGCAGTAGCAGAAGTCATCACCGTGTGCAATTTACCGTTTAAACATATTGAAAAAGCACCTGACGTTTGCCAGTAAATAATGAATAGTTGAGTATCTGATATAAATCACTGGGAATATACATACACACCGCTCCTTTTTGCCAAGCGATTTATGACTTTTTTTGCCCTCCTGCCACGCTGTAATAACAATCTAAATGTTAAGTGACAGGAAAAACTTTTGCAACTTCGAGAAGTGCAATAAATTCTCCATCAGACCTTAAAGAACTTTTTCGAATATCTTGCCGGTCTCTCGAAGTTGTTTAGTTTTCGTCTCGGAAAGTGTGTTTGCTTCGCTTCCCAATTAACACCTCAGATTCGCACTCGTACGCAATGGTCCGCACATGACAACCGAATGACAAAAACTTTTGCAACTCCAGCTGCATATCTCTATATCCTCAGCCATTATTTTTTTACCATCAGCACATCGAGGAAGCTGAGAATCCACCCGCTTTTTCTGCCCAGTGCAGCAGTCATAATTTGTGTGAAAACTTCTGCAGCAATTGAAAAGCGAAATGCTGGGCAGCCAGTGCCTTGGCTTAAAAGAACTTTTGCATTATTTTCGTGCCTGGTCACTTGAAAGTTGCAGAAAATATGACAAGATAAAATGCCAAAAAGTGCCAGCGGCAAGTGGGCGGTGTGCACAGCGATAGGGGGCGTGGCCCCGGCAACTGCCAAAGGTAATAATCAATGGGGCGGCCAAAGAAGCCTTAATGACCTGCCCAACTTGCAGTTCAAGTTGGCTCAACGGCTTCTTTTTGCCACTGCAACGAAGCATTGCCGAGTGCAGAGCATGAATATGAAATATGAAATATCACGGCAGCGGCAGCGGCAAGACCTCCGAAAGTGCTGTCTTACAATACCTGAGCACTATCTTTGCTGACACCTTTGCACAATTTATGCACAATTTTTTCTCGCACAGAAGCGGCAGAAGCTGGCAAAAAAAAAAAACTAAAAGTAAGTGCCGCAAAAACTTTTAAATGAGGCACATAATTCAAAAAGATGGAGAAGAAATCTTGCCTCGCTTATCATGCCACCATCCTCTTCAAACCCCCAACCCCCTTTCAGTTTGTTATGGCGGAGATATTTTAAATTAATTAGCAAAACTTAAATATTTGTTGTAGTTCAAACGCGAACTTCGCATTGAACTTGTAAATATTCAATAAGCTCGCAGCCATAATGAATTCAACTCAACTGAACCCCGAGTTTAGCCCCGCTGAAATGGCAAATATTTGCAGCGCGTACATAAGTTGCCTGTTGGTTATGGCTAATTAATTGATAAGCAAATGCTCGTAATCATAATTGCGCCCTGGGCCAAACAAGTGTTTGTGTAGGAGAGCATCGATGGAGTATAAACAATAAACAAGTTCCTAACATTACAGCGCTTCCTAATCAGTTGGAAAACTATATGGTTAACATCTTGATCTTGATCGGTCTGTGGCTGCTCTTCTGATTAGCACCTCCAACTCGGATTTCAGTGTCAATTCCAGCTAATCGTCCCATATGTTCTCATTATCACACTTTTGCTCTCACCGAACTCTCGCATTTCTGCCGCTAATTTTAAGTTATTAAACAAATATTTTGTGTGTTTCGCTCGCGTGCCCACGAGCGTCTCGGGCTCCTAGATATATGTTTTTTATTAGCATAAGATAAAAAATATACACAATAGAAGCTGTCGAGCTTTCCACAGAGCGCCGACATCTCAGTTCTCCGCTGCCATTGGACGCGATTAGTCGGCGATTGAAATTAAATTGGTGCGGTTCGGTTATGAAACGATTTCAATAAAATTGTGCTTTCCATTGAATGGGAAAATGATGAACGTGAATATTTCTAGTTTTATATGTGCAGTGGCTTACACAAACTAATTTATTCATCCGCTGGCCAGGTAAGCACCCTCATTGTCGGGAAAAACCATCATTTCCCAACTCTTGTTGTTGCTGGATTGTTGGAAATGCACTTTTAAAATACTCAAAGCTCGCTACAAATTTTGTAATTATTTGAAAAAGTTTATATATTTAATACCATACACTTAGCCACCCTGTTTCCAAATCAGATTACGTTATTATTGTAATTTAAATTATAATTATTATTATATTTTGTTTTGATGTTATTTTGTGAAGAGAGCAATAGTTCGCTCATCCATTAGTGTTTATTTTGTTTGCCGGTGCTTTTCATTACTCATTTGCGTTATCTCATTCAGACGGGAAATCCCTTATAAACAACCTGAAGTTCAATTTTAGTTTTAAAACTTGTTTTAATATTTAATGGATTTACAGTACTACTATAGAGTGTAAAGACATGACAATTGAACGCCCAGGAACCAAAGCAATCAAACTGAAATTAAGTTACGATTTTATTTCGTTTGCGGCTGTAATAATCCGAGTTTTATTGGCTCCTATTTCGCATTCAGCATATGTGCTCCTTGCATTATGACACCCAATTAGCATTGGCAATCAATTTGGGCCTGTGTGTCAAAGAGTCGCATGACGCGCTGAATCACAATCGACACGTGATCGATGGACCGATACGCAAACAAGGAATCTGTCACCCCGAACAACTGGAACTAGAATTCGCACCGGCGAGAATTGGCGCTAAATATTTGCGCACAATTAACACGTAGCCGAGTGAAGCGTAGTGGTGACAAATGACGAGCAGATTGTCTTCTAAAATCAAATACAAACAGGCGTAAAAAGGGCAAGAAATCTGGCATCAAATCGAATCAAGTGTTGATTGCACAGCACAGCACAGCCTGTGGAAAAAAGCACATGGGCAGAGTCGGCTCTGCATAATAATTGTGCGAAGTGGATTGTAAATTCTGGTTATTAGAACGGCGCTTCATATGCAAATGTCGCTCTCCCCTCCAATTAGAGGGAGGCGTCGATTGCTGGGATCCCACATTAAGTGCGCTAATTATAAATGGAAATATTTATGTATTTCCTAGCACCTTGCGCCTTTCACAACCTGTGAAGTTGTCGCGGCAACAATGAAGCCAATTATGGAGGCTACAGTTGCAGACCGAGCACCTGTCGTCTGGATGGGGTCGTCCTTACCATCATCCTCATCCTCATCCTCGTCCCAATCTCCATTCTCGGTGTGGTCCTTGTGCTCGTCGTGGGCCAGGTGAAGACAGCTTCCTGCCGGCAGCGGTGTCCTCGTCTCGACATCTTTCTCGCCCTCGTTGCGCCTCCTCGGCGCAATCAACGGTTGTCAATCTTTGTTGCAATCTCCATTTCGCCATCGCCTTGAGTGGTAGGGGCTTGTGTGTCTGCTGCACTCTGCAATTTAAACGATCCGACTGCTGTTGGGCTTTCGTTATGCATGAACGGCTGAAATGAATGCCAAATGGGCTAAAAGCAGCTGCTTGCCGCTTATAAGCCAGTCGATGTCCCTGCTCCATTTTGCAAGCCATTCGATGCAGGCAAAAAAATGGAAGGGACAATTATTACAGCCCTTTAAATATAAGCAAAGTTTACAGATATTATTTGAAAAGAGCCCAAAATAGTTATAAAAAGCCATCTTAATTTTTTTTAAATAAATCTAGGCCTTAGTTTATTACATTTTGTTAAAGAGCTTGTGTAACGAAAATGAGGTAGTAAATTATTTAAGAAACTCTTCAATGTTCTTTAAAATGATTACTTACTTCTGCGGAATTCCTTTCAACTTATAAGAACTTTTCGCAGTGAACCTGACGTTGACATATCTATTAAGACATTTAAAACTGTTTGCCACTTACAGCAAAGCGCAGCAGACAGCAGCAAAATCAGTGGCAGCTGCAACAGCAGCAGCAGCATCAGCAGAGGAGCAACAACAACGCGGCAGTGGGGCCAGGTGACAACATGACACAAGGAGCTAAAAACGGCAGTGCAGCGCCGCAGGACTCGCAAGGCGACATCCTGCCCACCCGCCCCCTGCATACCAAATTAGACATACAGAAAATCCCGGAGGACGCGGGTGGTGGTGGTGGTGGAGGAAGTGGAAGGGGGGAAGGAGGAGGAGACGCCGCACAAAACGCTGCAACAATAATTTTAACGCCGACATCATTAAATTTAACAAATACAACACAAAATGTTGCCGGCAACAATGCGGGCAACTCAAACTCCAACTCCGGCTATCCAACTCCGGGCGGAGTCCGTGGCGACGAGTACAAAGGGCCAAAATGGTAAGTGAAAAGCTCATGTGGCCAACACTCCGGGCTCGGGTTTAGGTTTGAGTTTGAGTTTTTGGGGTCCGCCGGGTTGCTGCCATTGTGCGGATTTGTGCTTAACCCTTTGAATGCACTTCCGGCGGGACGGCCGCGCCGCCATTCACACTTGCATTGCACGCGTTTTTCGCATATCCGCTGGCTGCCTTTCGTTTTGTATTTCTGTATTTCTGTATTTTGTGCTCTCTATTTGTGTACGAGTATTTCTGTGTATTTTTTTTGTATTCTTTTGTGCCCCAACAATGTCGTCGTGGAAGTTGCCGCTGCACTAGGCAGCGGCGCGTGCTTCCGCCTAAATCGCAGAGCGAATGAGTTGCAGAAGGAATGGCATGGAGGTCCTGTTTTGGTCCTGCTTCCTGGCTTACATATCTCATTCTAGTCTTGTCGCAAGCGAGCCCACGATTCCTTGTTCCCTTTTTGGCTGCGACACTTAGTTTAATAGCTGGCGAAATGCCTTGTTGGCTGCAGGCGTTTATTCTTCATGTTCACAGCAACGCGGCGTATGAGTTACAGTGTTACGTATCCGACCCGTGGGTGTGTTTCCATTGTGGCACTGCAGTCGGGGGATCCCTACTCCCTTCTCCTCTTCAGTTTACTTGGATATCTTCAGCAGCAGGGCGAAGAAACTGTACGCATTGTTGATGGTCTGCCAAAAGTTATGGGTTAAAGTGGAGGGTTAAACTTAGAGTTTAAATGAAAAGAGCATTTAAAATGGTTGTTGGCTTCCTAGGCTAAAACAACATGGAAAGTTCTCTTGATTAACTTACCTTTACAAAGATAGGCAATCCTATTTCGAAGAAAACCCCAGCTCGAACTTTAACTGGTCTCTTTAGGAACTCCATATAGCAGTTGAGTAACTTTCTTGTGCCCACTGAATATTCCAGCCAATTGGTAGCAAAGACGCTATTAGTCAGATCATTGGCGTGAATGGTCAACTCATTGCCATAATAGCAGGGAAGATAAATCTGAACTATCATGACGGCCACAAACTGCACAGTGGTTAGAAATAGACCAGGTCGCTGTTTGAATCCCATGTGCACCAGTCGATAGGCACTGAAGCAGATGATGAAAGCACTGAGAACCACTTGGGATAAAACATAAGGTGAAACTAGCACTTCACATTCCTTAGTTAATCGTTTGACTTTCGAGTGCAGCTGGAAAATGCTTCGCAACTCCGGCTTGGCTTTCTCCTCGGGAGCATTTTGCAAAGCCTTCAGTCGCATTCCAATTAATCGGAAAAGTGATGCGATCTGGAACATGAAGTAGCATCCTAAAGTATCCAGAAGGATGTTGGATAGACAGCAGAGAGTCATAGCCACGACATTGTAGCCCCAGGCGTAGAAATACCTCTCCCTAGAGCGCCATTCAAAGGGCACATAATATCCAAAAGGCAGTTCGTATTCCTCCTGAAAAAACACGCTGGTATAACCCATGAAAGCCACGACAAGGCTGCCACAAATGTACCAGTAGAAGATCCGCTTGAAACCCTTTTGATTCTTCTCCCAAAATTGTATTTCCTCTGCATTACGGAGATTAAAGGCAGGATTGTGTTGCAGTTCGTTGATGAGGTTAGCTGTTTCATTGCGACGATACCAAATATTCAGGAGCTTGATAATCAATGCCAATTCAGTTATGGACATGTATAGAACTTGGCCAGCTTCCTCGAAATCTGAAGATGTAAAGGCTTCGTACCACATTAAAGCTATATAAGTAAAAGTCAGTGGCAGATGCAACACAAATGGGTGAATGCGTTTTAGACAGGATAAAATGCCAGCTTCCTCATCATTTTTCCATTTTAGAAGTCCAATCCAACGCTGGACCACCAGTAAAAATTGAATGGCACTTAGGCGATCCGTAGACTCCATTATCAAGAGTTAAATTTTGTTTTACGTAATGAATTAACCCTGCGACCTTATCGGCTTTTATACTAGAGGTCCTATTTTTGAATTGAGGCTGAACTAGGGTGGTATTGTCGTCAAATTTTCTCTGGAACTTAGGTTTTACATCCTAGTTCACGTCTAGTTCAAAGTAAATATGTCCTGAAACCTTAAAATAATATATTCTTTTGTCAATGCTTATATTAAGCAGTGAGGAACCGGTTCATTTTGTGAGTTTAGTTCTCAAGCTGATCCATCCCTAAATTGTTTAGGTAATCAGACCAAATATTTGTTGAACTAATGAGCAGGGCAATTACAATAATTAGCTGGCTAACATCAGTATTCTATTAATTGTTCACCGTCACTAAATGGGTAAGTCACGCAATTGAAAGTAAAGATGTATGGGGATATAACCCCATCATACCAAAAATCCGTCTTTAAGTTTTACGAGTTTAAAATCAGTGCTTTGAAGTCAGAGCAGCAGAGCAGAGGTTCGGTTTCGATAGACCTTATTGTATAGGCATAAAGTTTTAATATTTATTCCAGCATAATTTATTTTACATTTATTTTGTATGCATTCATCCCGTATTTGTGAATCTGATCAACAAAATAAATAGTAGTATAAACTTTTAAAGTTCGTAGACCTAATAAAATGTTTTTAATGACAACACCCCTTTTTTTTTAAAAGCAGCAAAACTTCAATGAATGTTATGTAAATTTTATTATATTCAAATTTTTTATAAAATATATTTTACAAATATTTTATTTCGATACATTAAGTAACAGAGCAAAGAAACTGTAGGCGTTGTTGATAGTCTGCAAGATTGGAAGAAAACTTTATATATAACTAGATTATTAGCAATTGATGTTAATGAACCTTAACAAATATGGGCAATCCAACGGCGAAGAAGTTGCCAGCGCGAATGGTCACAGGTTTTTTCAAGTGCTCCATGTAAGCATTGAGTAATTTGCGAATTGGAGGACGACATTGCAGCCAATTTATGTGATACACCTCGTTGGTCAGCTGATTGGCGTAAACTGTAATTTCATTGCCATAGTAACAGGGCAGGAATATCTGCAGAATCATCACGCTCACGAACTGCAACATGGCTATAAACTGGCCGGGATTGTCTCGAATTCCCACGTGTTGAAGGCGGTAACCACTGAAACAGATGATCAGTGCACTTAAAATTATTTGAGATAGGATATAAGGTGATACAATTGCCTCGCAGGATTGGGTTAACCTGTAAAGAGTATATGGCTTTAGAAGAGGAGGATAATATAGTTTTGCTTTCAATATTACCTTCTGACTTTCTGGTGTAAAATAAAAATTCCTCGTAACTCCTGGCCAAAATGGGAATCATCTTCAGTATTCTTAAGACCCCTCAATCGCAATCCAAGCAATCGGTACAAAAGAGAGATGTGGAATAAGAAGTAGCACCCCAATGTATCCAGGGTTATATTCGATATACAAGTCAGCGTCATTCCCGCCATATCGTAGCCATATGCAAACCAGTATCTCCTCTCATTTCGCCAGTCGAAAGGAACGTAATATGCAAATGGCAGTTCGTAGTCCTCCAGGAAAAGCACCCCAGTGCAGCCACTATATACCACACCCAAGCTAATCAGGATGTAGATATAGAAGAACCATTTGAAGAATTGTTGCTCTCGGTGCCAGAAATCCTTTTCCTCCTGATTGCGAAGTTGGTAGTCCGAGGAATGCTCAAGGTCGTGCATCAGTTGCCAGGCTTCAGTTCGATAGTACCAGATGCTCAGGATCTTTACCACCAAAGCCATTTCGGTGATGGACATGTAGAGCACTTGGCCAGCCTGCTCCAGGTTACTGGATATGATGGCCTCCAGCCACATTAGTCCAATGAAGGTAAAGGTGATGGGCAGATGCAGCAGGAAACGATAGTTGTGTTGCAGGAAACTAGAGAAAGTCCAATCCTTTCCTGAGTTTAAGGACCAAGGCCACAGGCCAAATAGTTGCATGACCCGTAGAATCAGGCGCATGGATTCAATGCGATCCTTCTGGTTGTCCATTGGTTTCAGTTTTGGTTGTTTTTTCCCTATCTTGGCTGCTTTTATAGCTTTAAGTGGTCCGGATAATTAGCAGCAATTACTTTTACATAATTAAAGAAAACAAACACGAAACTGCGGTTATGAATACTCGACTTTAGTACCTCTGAAACCTTTCTTGCAAAAGGTTTAACTCCTTATTCAACTCATTCTAGGTGGCTCCATTTCCGTTCGCATTGGGTGAACATTTCCGAACAGGTGGCCCTGTTGGCCATCTTTCTGGGTCTGTGGGCCATGGCCTTCGTCCTGCTGCCAGATTATGCGCAGCCACAGACCGTCATCATGCGGATTGCATTCCTGTTCGTGGGAGCCCAGATCACGGGCATTCTGGTGACCTTCGTTCACCTGCCCGACATGCTTGGCATGCTCTTCTTCGGCGTGCTGTACGCCAATCTCGGCCTGGCCAACTTCCAGGGCTATCAGAAGTTCGAGCTGTTTCTCAGGTGAGTTGTGGCACCTTATTTAACATTTAAATTCGAGCATAATGTGGCTGCTGTCACGCTCTTCCAGGGAAATGGCCCTGATCAACATCATGCTGCTGGCTGGCCTCGGACTGGATGGCGATGCCTTCAAGCGGCTGTGGTTCATGATTCTCCGCCTGACCCTTCTGCCCACGATTGTGGAGGTGGCGGCCATCGCCGGACTGGCCTACCTTACGCTCTCGATGTCCTGGCTGTGGGGCATCGCCTTGGGGTGAGTGGTTGATTGGTTAATGGAATACTTGGATTATCGGCAGCCTTAATGGCAACGGCTTGTCCTGGTTTAATGTTGCAGCCTGGTCATCACCGCCGTCTCCCCGAACGTGGTCGTCACCGTGATGCTGAAGCTCAAGGAGGACCGGCTCGGCCTGAACAGCGGCATCCACACGCTCATCTACGCCATGACCACATGCAACGATGTGGTGGCCATCTTCATGTTCGGCGTGATAATCAGCGTAATATTCTCAACGAGTGCGTTTGCCACCCGCCGTGCCCGGAAAATCGAAATCAGAGCTAAATAAACTCCCTCAACCGCTTACTTGCAGCCTCGCTCACCCAACAAGTTCTGCAGGGTCCCATTGGCATCGGGATTGGACTCGTTTTTGGCTATCTCTACGGCTCGATGCTCCAGTACTTGCCGTCGCGGAACGCGGTAAGCTGCCAGACAAAAGGCGCGGACCCAGACACAGCTCGTCCTTCTCGTCCTTCGCGTCCTTTGCGTCCTTTTCGTCCTGCTGCTCGTTCTCGAGCGGGCTGCACTTAAAATGCACATTCAGTGAACACTTAGACACTCAATCAGCGCATTTAATGATGCAAAACGCGCGCCAGTCGCCAGGGAAAAGGGATTGCGAGGGGGGGCGGCTTTTTTTTTTTTTTTTTTTTTTTTTTTTTTTTTTTTTGGAGGAGGTTAAAATCCAATGCCTGAAGACACCGTCAAAAGTGCCGTCGCACTAATGGTGTGTGGGGCTTGCACCCACTAACCTATAACAATCCTCCTCCCCTGGCTGAATTCCACCCCGGAACCGAGTAAACATTACTACGGGGTGGAGCCGTTTTGTGCTGTTAGCACGCCTGGTACCCGCGTCCGGGTCCCCTGTCCTTGGCGTATGGAGACGATACGCATCGATAGTTCCACATGAGTGGAACGTCGGAAGCGATTTTGCCTGGGATCAAGCGCAATCGATTTGTCTTCTGTCTGGTTCTGTTATGAGCTATGAACTCAGGCGTCTGTTAACGTCGTCAGTTCTGGTGTCCTCCTTTGTTCCCGCTCCAGTTCTTGGAGCCTTGTCATCACAGAGTATGCGAACGCTGTCATTGCCTTCCATTTATCTCTGGAAGAGCACATATCGTGCGTGATAATTTCAGCAGATGGAGAGTGCCCAAGTACTGCCTCCAGTGTTCGTCGTTCTTCTTCGAAGCGATCGCAGTGGAAAGCAACATGTTCTGCGCTTTCGATTTCGTTGGGGCAGTTGGGACAAAATGGACTGTCTGCTAGCCGAAAACGATGAAGGTATCCGCGGAAACAGCCGTGACCGCTGATGATCTGCGTTGTGTAGTAGTCGACATCGCCGTGTCCACCTTTTATCCACTCACTTATTTGTGGTATAAGTTTATAGGTCCAGCGTCCATCATCCGATTGGTCCCACCGTTGCTGCCATTTTCGTATGGACCGCGCTCTTTCGGCCTCTTTTTGTTCGCGTGTTGGCCTCACTCCTTGCTTGCTGTACAGACGAGACAGCTCCTCTGCCAGCAGGTCGACTGGTGGCTTTCCCGCGATGACACAGATTGCATCGTTTGATACCGTTCTGTATGCGCAGCCTATTCGTAGAGCACTTTGTCTGTATATCTGTGTTATCCCTCGCAGATGGGACTTTTTGGCTCCTGCCCAGATCGGTGCTGCGTACATAGTGATGGAGTCTGCAACCGTTGACAATAATGCCCTTCGTTGCCCTTGGGGTCCTCCTACGTTGGGAAGTATTCTTGTCAAGGCTCTCGTGACCGCTGTTGCCTTACCGCTTACTCCCACTAGGTGCTGCTTGAAGCTTAATCTCGTGTCGATCAGAACTCCAAGATATTTAATGGCTTCTTGGGAAACTATTTCATGACCATCAATAGCAATTATCATTTTCTCCTTTTTTCTGCGTGCACTTATCAGTACTGCTTCCGTCTTCTGTGCTGCTAGCTCTAACCCAGCGTTCCTGAGCCATCTTTGTATCCGTGATGCGGCGTCCGTGCATTTCGCCTCTAACAGGTCCAGCCTTTTGTCCACTACTACAAGCGCAATGTCGTCTGCATATCCCACGATGTTCGCCTTGTCCGGGAGTTTCAGCCTCAGTACCCCGTCGTACATAGCATTCCACAACGTTGGTCCGAGGACAGATCCTTGTGGTACACCACCTGTTACTCTATAAGTTTTTGAGCCGGTGTCCGTTTCATATTGTAGTATGCGGTCACGGAAATAGCTTCGTATAATGCGGAGTAGATAGCTCGGTACTCTCAGGTTTCTAAGCGATAGCAGAATCCTGGACCAGTTAGCCGAATTGAACGCATTCTTTACGTCGAGTGTGATAACTGCACAGTAACTCATATGCCGGTGTCCTCCACTTATGGCATTCTGTGCGATGTCTGTCACTGTCCTGATAGCATCCACCGTTGACCTTGCTCGTCGAAAGCCAAACTGGGTATTTGAGAGCCCAGTAGGGCATTCTAAATACTCCTGCAGGCGATCGCAGATCACGCGTTCAAAAACTTTACCAACTGTATCCAACATACACAACGGTCTGTAGGAAGATGGTTGGTCGGGTTGCTTGCCAGGTTTCAGCAACAGCACCAGTCGCTGAAGTTTCCACCGAGATGGGAAAGTTCCTTCTGTAAGGCATGTGCTGTAGATATGCGCGAAGATGTGTGGCGTTTCCATTACCGCTGCTTTGAATACCATGTTTGGGACTCCGTCTGGTCCAGGGGCTTTGTTGTCTTTGATGCGGCGCAGAGTGCTTAGCACCTCTTCCATTGTAACCGGCGGCACATCGCCTGGCTCGATCGTTGGCAAAGCTTCGACACTTGTTTCCTCCTGTGGTGGGAAGAGTGTAAGTACCGCTTTTTCTAGCAGTATTGGACACTTCGGCTGTGGTGCTGAGGGTCCTTTCACCTTTCGCATGACAGTTTGGTATGCCATACCCCAGGGTTCGACGTCAGCTCTGTCCCGCATTTCTCTAAAGCAGCGATTTTTGCTCCGCACAATTGCTTTTTTTAGCTCCCATTTCCGCTCACGGTATACGCCATGTAGTTCTGCAAAGGTCGGTCGAAGTGTTGCGCGTTTTGCTCTCCGTCGCGCCTTGATGCAAGCTTTGCGTAAATCGGCTATCTCGCTTGTCCACCAGTATGCCGGTTTCCGTTTTCCACCGTACCTCCCTCGCGTCATTGATGCGTTGCAGGCTGCTTCCATTTTGTGAGCAATTTCTTCTGCAATAGCTTCCGCTGTGGTACCTTGTAGGTGTGTACCCTGCCACGCTAGCTTGAATGCCTCCAAATTAAAGGAAGATTTTTTCCATTTCGGTCGTGTCGCTCTGCACTCTGCTTGCGGTGCTCCCCTACTTAGCTCCATAATTATAGCTTTGTGATCGCTATGAGTATGGATTGAGTCTTCCACCTTCCAGGTTGCTCGATTTGCGGTCGCTCGATCTGCGAAGGCTAGGTCGATTATCGATCTTCCTCTGGCGCATTCGAAAGTGTGGACTCCTGGCGCATTCAGTAAAACAAGGTCCAACGCTGCAGCAGTTTCCTCTACTAGACGACCTCTTGCATTTGTAAAGTCGCTGCCCCAGGTTCTTGACCAGGCGTTGAAGTCTCCTGTAAGCAAAATCGGCCTCTTTCCTCTTAGCTCCAGCTCCAAAGAAGTCATCATGCTTGTGAATTCTTCTACAGACCACCTTGGGGGCGCGTAACAGCTTACATAGTAGAGGCCGTCTAGTTTGGCCCATACAAATCCGCCGCCGGTTGTCATCTTCTGCTGGAACGTTTTGTTTCCCGTAATCCAGATTGCCGCCTGCTTCACAGTATCTGTAATCCAGCGGTGTGATTCGATATCTTTGTACGGCTCCGTTAGTAAGGCTATGTCGATTTTATGCTCCGCTGTTGTTTGCCATAGTAGATCCTGTGCAGTTCTGCAGTGGTTGGTGTTCAGTTGTAGCACCCTCATATTCTTATTTTACGGACTGCCTCCTGGTATTTTGGACATTTCGCGCTGCCTGCTGCATGTGTCCCTTTACATAACGCGCATTTTTCCTCGTTTGTGCACCTCGCTGCTTGGTGTCCTTCGGTGCCGCAGCGTCTGCAAAGCTTTGTGCGGTCCGGTTCTTTACACGCGTTTGCCACATGGTCGTATGCCCAGCATTTGTAACACCTTTTTGGTGTTTTGACCTCGGTTATCCGGCATCGGATCCATCCAACCATTATGTGGCCGAGGTCTAGGATCTTCTTCGCGACCTCCGCCTGCAGCGATACGTAAACGGATTGCGTGCCGCCGTATGTGTCGCGCCTGCTTTTGATGGACGATATGTCCGGTCGTTTCACTTGAGCCAGTTTCGCAATCGCCTCAAGAAGTTCCTCGTCTGTGCTGAGCTCGGGAATGAGTCCCCTACACTGGACAGTGACCGTGTGAGTCCTGACATTTACCGTTGCCATTTTCTCCAACGCTTTTTCTATTGCCGAGTGGTAAGAGCTCGCTTCGTTGCCCTTGCCCCTCTTTAGCTCGATCAGAAGTCCACCCTTCTGAGTTGGTCGCAATGTCCTGACCTTTTCGCAGAGCTCCTTCAGTTCGGTGTTAGATCTCACCGCACGTAGAATGTCCGCGTAGGTTGTATGCTGCTCCTTCTTTTCAATAAGTATCGCATCAGACCGCGGCCTGACGGATTTGCTCATTTTTTTTGATCTTTTCGTTTCCTTTTTTTCGACTTTTGTCCATTCCCCTTGAGTCCTGGATGCTTTCACTTTTGGTGGGTGCGGGGAGTCGTCGTCCCCCTTCTTTTTCTTTGCCTGCGGCGATTTTGCCATTGCAGGGGCAGCATCCTTGGGGCTTTTGGCTCTTGTTCTTTTCGCCGACTGTGGGGCATTTGCGCTTATACGTGTACTTAGGCTGTTCAGTTTAGGGGTGGGCAACAATTTTGCCTTGCGTTCCTCTGCTTCCAATTGCATAAGAACTTCTGTGTGGGCACTTTTTATGGTGCTGCACAGTTTCCTAATATCGCCATGTACGTTGCGACGAGGTTCAATATATTGCACTAGCGTGTCAATTTCTCTTCCGAGCTTTTCCACTACCTTAGCGAGTGTAAGCGTGGGTGTCGGTGCTGCCTTCTCTGTCGGGCATACAACGAGTGCTTGTGAGCCTTGATTCAATGGTGCTGGTTGGTGCACATTGACATTGTTCACCAACTCCTTGGTGTTTAGGTGAGTCGTCGGTGTAGCGGTCGTTTCAGTACCACTGCTTGTTTGTGGCGCTAGTCTGTTTACACGTCTTTGGCTTGAGACGCCTTCCTTTGTATTGTTTATTGGTGCTGCTGGTAATGGTGGAGATCTTGCGATCACAGAACTCCTCCTAAATACCTCTGCCAGTCCTCCTGTTGCAATGTTTTCATTGCTGTGTGCGACGTTGTTGTTGCTGTTTGGGTTTAGTTCTTTTAAATCCATGCAGTAAGGGCCCCAACTTACAGCCGCTATCTCCACGCGTGCACGAAGTTTCCGTAAGTCCCATGGTTGTCTTTGAATCAGTGAGGTCATGCGAGGGTTGACACTGGCCTTTATGGGGTCCAGTGTTCAGAGCCAGACTTCAAACCGGAATAAATAGGGAGTCATCTCAACCTAACCTTCGTGGTCACTAAAGACTACGCGCTTCGAGCGCTCTGCAAGACCTGCCAGGTTTTATTGGGGCGGAGGAGGCTACGAATCCTTCTGAGAGCCATTTCAGCAAGATGTCACTCCGCGTACTCAGGTAACAGAGACCCGTAACCACAGCCCGATGCTTCGTTTCGACCGAGTCCAGTGTATCATAATCAGGATTTTACTGGTATCCATCCTGATGGTCCGCCGACCGGTTTACGCGTGTTGTTACGGCCGCTCCTAGCATGGAGAACAGACGCCGACCAGGAAGCCGCCCGCTGTGGGATGCCCCTGGGTTTTTGTACCTCCTCATGCTTAAGCGTGATGAGTGGGACACATATTTTCGAAGAGGCGGTGTCTATTCGCCACTGTCACAGGGACATCATCGGATTTGCTAGCTTTTAAACCGCATCCTCCGCTCCTGCCGCTCATTGTCGGGGGTTGCTTATTCGTTTAAACTTATTTCGCAACTAACCTGCTACTACAGGCCGTCCGGCTATCCGCAACCTGCCGTCCCCCCGGTAGCTTAGAGCCTAGCTTTCCATCCGAACCCGGATGGACCGAGGCGAGGGGGCGGCGCTAGCTGCGCCATATGTACGTGGGACTACAGAAGACTCCACTGAGAGAAATTGGTTATAATGCCCATAACATTTCTTAGGCTTAGCCGTTTTCAAAGTGAGCTCAAAACCTGAATTTTCAGGAGCCATGACTCGGACAGCTCTTATCCGATCTCTTATTGGCATACCTCTTTAAGTTTGTGATGGAATTTCTGGACGAACTGCGTTAAGATTTTTTAAATCGGAGATGTCCAATTTTTGACCCCGTTCATGTCAGATTTTCCCTTGTTTACCATGAATCGCAAAAGGAGACCCAAACCTGCACTTTCAAGAGCCATAACTCGGACAATTTTAATCCGATCTCTTAGTGACATATCTTGTTTTGTTTGTGATGGCATTCCTGCTCGAATTGCGTTAAGATTTTTCAAATCGGAGATGGTGCAATTTTTGACCCCTTTTGATGTTAAATTTTGTATGGTTTCCGACGGATGGGTGATTGGTGTTGTTGATTTTGTTACCATTTAAATGAAACGAAATGAAGAACGAATCTTACTTAACCTGACTTAGCTGCCATTTTTTCGCTTAGTGGCATCTTCCGCTCAACCCCCCAAACGCCATTGTTTGTGTGGGTGCATTTTGCATAAAAAGACACTTACATGCATAGCGGCAACGTCGACGACAACGGCAACGGCAACGGCAAAGGCAACGACGGAGCCGGCGACATTTGCGACGACAGTTACTGCCAGCATCTATGTGAAGTTATGCCGGGGACAGCGAGGCAGCCGCAGCCAGAGCCACAAAACTCATTGCCGCAACTTACACCGCTAATGGCGCGCATAATCAAACGCCATGGGTGGTGCGCTGAATGCAGCAGCCGTTGAGCCACCCGAAAACACCCAGCCACCACATACACACACACACACACTCACACTCCCGTGGAGTTCTCATAACTTTTGTTTTCTGCAAGTCGCGCTCGCCTTTGCCATCGTCAAGTGGCATCCACATCCGCATCCACGCAGCGCTGCAGTTTGTACAAAAATTTCACGCTGAGCGCCGTTGAAGTTGCATCCTTGCATATTTTACACACCCACCGAATCACCCAACCACCCAACCAACCAAGCCACCCAATCCACCTTATACCCCCCGTCAAGAACACACACATACACCCACACACACACACAGCCATGGGCTATTCACTGTCATCTCTCGAAGAGGCAAAAAGACGCGGCTGTCATCAGGCCTCGGTTTTTGGTCTCAGCATCTTTTCGCGTGTCATTGCTACCGCCTTTATTTTATTATTATTACGCAGTCCCTTGTAATTTTGCATTCAACGTCACCTTTTGCCACTTATTTCTCCCGCGCCCGTTGACAGTATTTTTCAATAAGATATTCGCGCAAAAAGTTTTGTAATTCAACGAGGTGGTGGCGAACTCAAGTTGGAAAATTAAACGTAAAAGAGGGCTTCGCATTTTCCTAACGAACTGCCATCGAAGGCAATTTCATGCAATTTTACGAGAACGAGCAGCTTAAACAAAAATACAAATCCCCTGACAAAGGTGAAAGCGTAAATTGAATTGCAGCAATTTGCGGTACTTGAATGGTGTAGTAAGGAAATCACCGGTTAAATTAAAAGATCCCAATCAGTCTCAACACCAGTCAGGAAAACTGACAAGTTGACACACTGGAGATATCAGGAAATATCCCAAAATTCCCGGCTGAGAAAACATTGTTGCAGGCGAGATTTATCAGATCTAAATCGTTGTAGAAGTCATTTTAGTACAACTTTTGAGCTCGACCAAAAAACGTCATATGCAAACAAAAACATAGGAAGAGGATACCTAGGATTTTTTTTCTGGGCTGCAGCACACATTGCGTATACGCACCTGACCGCACACACAACACAAACAATGCAGGAGTCGGACGGATAAAAAAGCAGTTTCCATCAGAGTTTTGTAAAGTGATTTCTTTTTTTTCTCTCTCTCTCTTTACGAGCGAAGCCCCACTTACCTGTTTTGCCATTCAGCCTCTTCATATCTGTCCTTTCCGAATCCGTTTCAGACGTACGCAAATGGGCTCCGCTTCGTCTTGACCGTCTTGGGCGGCACCATTGCCGTGATGGGCAGCCGCGTCATCGGTTATACGTCGGCCGGGGCTCTGGGATGTGTGACGACCGCCTTCATTGCGAGGATTGGCTGGCGGCGGGAGGAGGCCAGACTGACGCCCCAACAGCTGCAGGCCCAGCAGATTGTGAGTATTGCACACTGAAAGAAATGGCGGGTTAATATTTCGGTATTTAATATTAGTTTAAATTTATTCTTTCTTTCGTCAAACGAAAAATAAATGTTTTTTAAGCATTTTAGTTTATTTTCCATATATTTCCGATCACTAAACGGATTAAACAATGCAAATTACAAGAATTACTATTTCATTTCAAAATCCAAATAGTTTTAAAAATAATATTTTGTTTTTATTAGACCCATAGTTTATTCACAGTGTTTGTTTTTCAGTGTTTGGGATCTAGACCTGGTCCAGTCAGTTAGCTCTCTGAGCCCGAGACTTTGGCTTTGCCTCTAACTTTGGGTTTCAGAGTGCTTTCGGAGTATTGGGACCTCCCGCTTTTTTCGAAGTTTGTTTGGTTTTGGGTCAAGAAAAATGTTCCCTGGCAGCAGTGCCATTTTTTATGTCTGCTTCGCTGCAGCCGTAAAAAGCGCCTGTATGTGCGGGATTTTTGCTAGGTAATTTGTGACATCACGTCCTTGTCCCATGTCAGACTTGACTGCCGGTGCTCGATTTGTTTCGAGGATGTGTGTTTTTTTTTTGCGTTACCTTCGGTTTATTTCCATTTACCACTGCCTTCAACTTTTAACCCAGATGCTGGGTTTTTGCACTCCGACTGCATTTTAGTTCCAAGGCAACGCTGCGTAAGCCGATTGGCCTGCCACTGACTGCCGCTGGTTGGAACGATTTAAATGGGGCACATAATGAAGCAGCCAGCGATCTAATAACATCTTATTGATTTCACTTGCAGGCGAGTGTGCCGAAGCGTCTGGACCTCATGTGGAAGTTCCTCAAGCCCGTCTCGTTTGCGCTCATCGGCAAGGAAATTAATTTCAACGTGCTGCAGGGCCATGTAATCGGTTATGGCGCCTTGTTGGTGCTCGTCGGAAGTTTGGTAATTAAAATGGTCGCCGGTGGTGCAACAAATGTTCGCCCCGGCGGCTTATTTAATTTCTTTCGGTTCTCGACCAGTTTGTGCTGCGGGAACTCAGCTAGGCGATTTACCCATAGTTTTCCCCACGGTTTTGAGGTCCAGTAAAAAACAGAAAACCCAAGTGGAGATTCCTGCCGTGGGTGGTTGGGGTGAACCGAAATGAAAATGTTCCAGCACCGCAATGCAAATGTTACCTGCACACACACATATGTACACCCGAACACACACAGAGGGGCACAACAGCAGTGAAAACCGAGGGAGGCTAAAAAAAAAACCATCTAGAGATGACCACTTTCTTGTTCTTGTTTTCAGTTTCGCCTGGCTTTTGCATATTTATCCACATATGGCGGAAATCTGTCGAGAAAGGAACGTGCCTACATTACAATTTCCGGTTTTCCCAAAGCAACTGTCCAAGTAAGTTTCCCGTTCCGCGTGTCATGTTGCTGCGGTTCCCCCTTTTCCCCTTCTTCCCTTTTTCCCACCTTTTGCCATTCGTACTCCATACTCTGCACTCCATTTTCCATTTCCCATTTCCCTTCCGTTGTCTCTTGGCCTGGTGGCGCTTTTTATTTCTTTGCCGGCCATTTCACTCGCTTGCCACGAGCAGACTGCCCGTCGTCCTGATCGTCCTGACTGTCCCGCTTGTCCTGGTCGTCCTTGTCGTCCGGGTCGTCCTGGTGGCCTGGTGTTTTCCCCATGCTTAAGTTATACACGTATTTGCAGGTCATGTTCTCTCGGCCGGAGTCATCGCAGGTCCTGCTGCCTTGGCTGCCATTGCTGCTCCTGCGGCTGCAGTTGGCATGCCAGCCTTTTGTTTGCAGTTTAACCGCAAGCGGACATTTTGTTTATGTCGCCAGTGCGAGCGAGTGTGCGTCGTCTGTGGCTGCCAGAAATTTAAATGTTCCGCTGGCTTACTTACTTCCCCAAAAAAACCAGCAGCAACAACAGAAGCGCACATGTGCCCTGCGCTGCCTGTCTAACTTTTGCCTAATATGCGGTGCATATTTCACTGTCCAACCTTTCTCGTACTGATTTAATTAAAATTGCACAGCAAACTGCATTTAATCTGGCCTTGCTGCATATCACTCATCCGCAGCGGTGGCCGCTGCTTAATTTGCGTCCCACTAACTCTTTCCCTCTTTTTTGTTGATTTTTTTTCTGCTTTAGGCCGCCTTGGGTCCAGTGGCTTTGGACTTGGCACGTGCTGCCAGGGTGGCGAATGAAGAACAGCTGGCTTTGGCCAGCAATGTGCTGATCATCTCTGTCCTGGCGATTATATTCACCGCACCGTTGGGCGCCATTCTAATGCTGCGACTGGCGCCATATTGGCTCAAACACGGCGATGCAGTGGAGGCGGTGGACTCACCCACAACGCCCACTGCCACGCCCCCGGCGAACAACGATTCCGTTAAAAGGACCTAGCGGCAGCTTGACCCACGCATCCGGAGTTAATCCCGGCCAAAAGTTTTAATCCACGCCGTACTTACCTAGCCATTCTAGCCGTACTTATACTTACGTGTACTTAGTCGCTTTCGGCAATGCGCAGTTCAAATAAAAGTAAATGCGAAAAGTTACCAACGCACATATTTTCCTCAAAGGTTGGCTTTTCAATTTCTTTTCAATCCGAATGTACCTTTTTTTATTATTTCGGTGTCCCAATATCCTTATTTGCCACTTATTTGCTTACTGGTCCTTAAATTTCAGCGAATTAGCAAAGTTTTGACTTAATCCCGGAGGACTAACGCCCCAAATGGGCAACTTGGTCAGCTGGGATTTTATTGTTTTTTTGTTTGTTTCCTCCCCCAGGAGAAGAAAAGCTTTTCGGCACCTAATTATGAGTGGATCTGTGTTAATCCCGGGCTCGAGCCCTTGCTAATTGATTTTATAATTAATTTTGGGGGGATTTAAGGGGGTCTTCCTATGTGATGGGTTGAAAAAATCGATTTTTTTTTTTTTCATAAATTGCTCCCTTAACATGTCTAGAATACGGTAGTAAAGCGATTTTAGAAAATTCGAAGTCGTTTTAAAGATACAGCAGGTAAAAGAAAGAGCGGTTCGGAGCGCTGAGTTGGCAGTTAGAAACTTTAAACGCGTTTTTCTCAAAACTGTGTTTTTCAAACTTTCCTCCATTGTATCTCAGAAACGGCTGGACCGAATTACTTGAAATTTACAGGGCACACTCAATATATGTAAACGCGTGGAATGAACTACTATCAATCGAAAATTTTCAAAACTTCGATTTTTTTATAGCAAAAAAAAAAAAAAAAAAACGCCAAATTTGCAACTTTTTTTCAAATGTCTATCAAAAATCCAATTTTTTTTATATTCATTTGATTGTAGTTCATTCCGTGCATTTAAGCCTACAAATTAAAACGCCGTTTATTTTTTTTTTTTCTGATAAGCCGATCAGCCGGAATCGTGGAGGAAGTGGGAGCTCTTTTTTTCGAGGCGGGGGTGTTCAGAGCGCTGTAACTCTAGTTTGACTGAATATTTTTAGCTGAAATTTTTTATTTATACTGTCCGAATATGTGTTAATAAATGATAAAAAACTCGAAGCTCTAAATATTTACTGGTCGTAGAAAAAAAATCCTAAAATATCCCTAAAAAACAGGCCGTCACATAGGAAGACCCCCTTAAGCGACTGTGCGTCGTGCCAATCAGGCGCGAGTTTTTGTGTCATGTCGAATCAATCCGTATTAATGATTGACAATTGAACAAGCTGTTATTGCGAGCAAAGGCTTTCATCCTCGACTCGTCGAGCTGGTCAAGTAAATAAATGAACCCGAAATGATTTGTTATTTTCAAAGAACAGTTGTCGTCCACTCCCTCGATTTTCTCTTTAACGTATTTTTACGCCTGCTGCTCTTGTGGCAGAATAATTTGGCTCCGAGCTACGGAAAAGCTAGAGCCATGGCAAAAAAAAACACAAAATAATGGCAAAGAGGCAAGAATGCCATTTAATTGAAAAGTGATTGTCGGAGCAACCAGCATTGAGTTTTTTCCCCTGTCGCCGGGCGATGCAGAATTTGCAATGCAAACGGCTTAGAATGAACTTGATGTTCTGGCCGCCTTTGATGCTTTCGATTTTTTTTTGCTTTTTGTTGCTGCTGCGGTCGCATGAGGACCGATGGTACCGGAAAAAAGTAGAACATTTTTTCCTAAATTGTGACCAATTTGGGTACGAAACACTCAGAGAACTCATAAGCTTTGATCGGAAGGTAAGTAAATATAGGTGACCACTTGAAAATCATATTACAAATTGTATTTCTACCTTTTACTCTTTTAAAATGCAATCAAAGGATATACTTTTACATTGTGGTTTTATGTCTATAAGTCTTTATTGAATTCGATGACTTTGGAATGCATTTGTAAACGGTTAGTATTTGGTTCAGTGTAATAGCTGAGCTTCAGCTGTGGGCCGCTTGAGTGAATGCTGAAAGGAATGAAATTAAAAGACGGCAAAAACGTGAAGAGCGATAGAACTGAGAGAAAAACTTATCATTTTTATTATCCTGCAGCTGCGCATATTTATAACTGCTCATCCCTGTCTCTTTCGCACTAGCATGGACCATTTAAGGCTGCCATCTCTTTCTTGCCGGCATCATCGGTGGCCTTTGTGTGGCTCGAAAAAGAGTTGGGAATTGAAGGTAAATTAGTGTTATTAAAATGGCTGCACAAAAATAATTGCGCAACTAAATGAAAATTTTAATGAAAATTCTTTGGTTTCTTCGCAGCGTTGTACCTGTGCTTTTCCACTTTTCCGCTGCGATTCCATTTGCCCCTGCTTTCAGTTATTAGTTGCATTGTTTTCGCAGTTGATGTCCGTGCAATTAGCATAATGAAACCATCTGCAAGGCCGGGATATTTAAGCAAGAGAGGAAAAACCCTAGAAGAAAGCATCGCATTTCCCGGCTAAGGCCGGTAATGAAGTGCGTGAGAGGCGGAAAAGCCAGATTGGAGCGAAGCAATAACGCCACAATTGAGTTATGTTCGCATCACATCAATTATGCTGCCACCGGCATAATCCTTCAAAACTCATTGCTCTTATCGCGGCCATTGAAATGCCACCGGCCATAGATCAACCTTATCAGCGCAGCCAAAGCATTTTCCTGCGCCAAATAAATTCCAGCAGTTTATTATTCTAATTCGCATGCCGAATTCCGGCAGAAAAAGAACGCCAGGCACGTCACCACCTTGTGCACACAGTCAGCCACCCAAAGCCACCTGGAGCCACCCAGCAAGCTACCCGATAAAATGCTCCAACCACCAGTGCCACCCGATCCAGCCAAACCACCCAAACCACCCACTGTCAGCCAACCGATACGGGGAAAAAGGAGTTGTGCGAGTGCCAAACGAAATCAAATCAAAAAGTTCACAAAAATGCCAGACCAAACAGAAATTAAGTTATAAAATTTTAAGGACTATGCGCAGTTTAATTTCCAAATGCCATGCCACCACCCACCGCAGAAACCACCCGTCTCGCCCACCGCCCATCGGCCCCAAAGACACACAGGTGGGCGGGGCAAGAGCTCGAGGGCAGGAGCGTATTGTGGTTTTTGTTATGCGCCGATTACCATAAAAACAAGCCAAAGAAAGTTGCGTCCTCCTGCCAGAGCGACGTGGTCGGAAACGGAAATCAAGAAAACAAAAAGAATGAGCCCAAATGAAGTCAAACCTGTGAGCCCGCTCCTTGAGTTAATAAAGTTAGTTGCGTTTGGCTTGACGGCGAAAGTTTTGAGTTATAAGCGCGCAAATTATGGCTTACAACAAAGCCAAAGGCAGCCAGCCAGTCAGCCAGCCAGCCAGCCAAGAAGCAAGGCAGCAAAACAGCGGCAGCGGCTGCAAAAAACATCCCCACAATGCCGAACAAAGGAAAACAATTAACATGACGAAGACACATAAAATTTCCACTTCCACTTCCAGCCAGCGAGCTTTCCCTCTAGTTGGGTGCGTCGAATTAGCAGTTGTATTTGCTGGCTCGAAATGTGCGTCAATCACGTGATGGGAGTCGCCCCTCCAAGCCCCCAATCCTTCAAGCCCACGGAAAATCCACTTACACTACCCCCCGAAAATTCGTCTCTTGTCTGCGTCTTGTTGTTTTGTTAATTTTAATACATGTACTTTTTATCGCTCGGCATTCCGCGGCAAGCTGCTGGCTGAAATTAAGCCATTTGTTAGCTGTATCTGTGGCTTAGCTTTTCGGCAATTCCGCCCAGTCCTTTCCCAGGACCCACCCCACTAATCCTGGCAAACGGAGGCTATCAATGCCACGGGCTACAGGTCACAGCACATCACAGTTATTTTCGTGCAAATGGCATATTTTTTATGGCTTGTCGCTGGCTTCTTGTTTCTCGTGTTGTAATTAGACAAAATTGTTGACTGCCACGACTCCGCCCAGTGCCCCGCCCCCTCGAAAAGGTAACCCCCTTTCCCCCCTTCTACCACAAACTCGTGGTTGTTCATTCAGTCCTTAATTCCGGCACTCATGTCTGAGTATCGCGCCACTGTTGTCCTGCTGCTGGAGGTGTGTTCGACACTTGGCGTGTCGGGGTAGCGAAAATATTATTCCCAAACAGTGACCACTCATCGGGGATGGCACTGAGAAAAAAAGTCTAACACCCTAAACACTTTTTAAAGTCAAAAGTGGAGCTTTGAAAACAATATTTTTGTATTGCTAAAGAATGCAATGCGATTTCTATTAATATTTTTATAATAACGAAATTTTCACAAAGCACAAAAGTCTAATTAGATTGTTTATAAAACAAGCATCAAATTATTTACTGTGCTTGGAACACAGGGATGATCTTTGGGCAAAATAAGTTTATTGGTGTTTTATTGTGATTATTCAGAGCATGCATGTTTATAAAAAAGCATTCCAAAAGGTATAATTATGCAGCAAGCACGTATCACGAATCGCGGCCGAACTACCAGATTTCGGGAGGATAGCCTGGATGACCACCTTAAAAACGGGTTAGTAGGTGAAATCAAAATATCTTTAATCGCCAACTTGTTCGTTCTAAACTTTAAAAGGTGTCGCTAAAGAATACTGTGTAATTTCCCACAGTTAATAAGCTGATAACGAAATTCAACACTCATCACAAAACCAATAATCTGGTTGTTTTTGTCTAACACTTATCAAATTATTCACATGGGCTTGATCTTTGGTTAAGAGTTCATTTTGGTTTTATTGTGAGTACTCAGAGTATGTTTGTTTACAAGAATTTGAAAATGTATTAGAATGTAGTAAGCACTAGTAACAAGACACGGCCAAACAACTACCAGATTTCCCGGCAGCGACCGCGGTGGTCGGGCAGATAACCCGGCTGGCAGGGAAAGTCGATCATGGCCACCTCCATGATTTTCTCGGTGACGGGCTGCCCGGCGATTGGCTGAACTGTCGAGGATTCGTAGGCCTCCAGCACCTGCTGCTCATCCAGCTCGACGCACTGGTTGGGCTTTCCCATGGTTTTCACGTTGTTGGGGCAGTCGATCCGCTTGAGGCAGTACTTGAGGCAGGGTCGTGGAACGGGCACCTGGGTGAGTTTCTTTTTGCAGATGAAGTGCGCCTCGCAGCCCTCGTCGACGGCGGGTATGTTGTTGTTGATGAAGAACGGACGACGCGGTTCCTCCGTTGTTGTTGTAGTTGTTGTTGTAGTGGTGGAATCGCGGTGGAAAATCCTGCCGAGAAGTCCGCCCCGCACAGCGGTGACCAGCAGAGCGGCCAGTAAGGCCACCAGGAACGCTTTCATCGCAACTTGTTTGCTCTGCGACTGTCGTTTGTTGACTACGAAGCGTCGCAAGTTTTCAAGAGCGGCAATCGTCCACTCGATAACCTCTGACCCCTGAAACGCGGCGGGGAGATAAACAGACTGCCCGCATACATGTGTGCACGCCTATAAATCCAGACTGTTTTTCTTCCATTTCTGGTTGGCTTTAAATTGGTTTATCGCCAAATTGAATTGCATTCGAGGTGAGCGCGGCGGGCGGCACACGCACATTTTGGCAAATTTGACACAGGAATTGAATTATCTGCATTCTGTGAACCGCAAAATTGTATAAATAAACATTAGTCAATTCGGTATTTCGTACATGCGCTCGCATAATTTCGACCTGCCATGGGAAAGCCGAGGGCGAGCCAAAAACTGCCAGTTTAATCTAATAGAAAATAACCAGGGCAGGAAACACGCTCCAAAATCGACACGAATGTCCAACGATAATGTCGATGAGCTGCTGATTTGTAAATTGCGCTTTAAACGGATTTAGTTCATAACAATTATTTAGAAGAGACTCGCTCGGAACGCGTTCTCTTCCGACAAGGTCGATAATTGTTTTAGATTGCACTGCAATTTTTAAACAACATGTAATGAAAAATAAAAGTAGCATTTGGATTTCTGTTAGGGACGGTGCATATATTTCATCGATTTTCGTCTTGTTATTACATTTATATTGTAGGCGCAAAGTGTGAACATTATACCATGCACTAAATAAATGTTAAATAACAATTTGAAAGTTAATACGTTATCTTAGATGATCTTAACTCCACGACAACATACTTATGGTTATTTAAGAAAATGACCACACAATATCTTAAATTATTTTGTTGTCATGGCGAAGCATTTCAATTTATGACCACTATTGTTTCGAAACGTGCTTATTTGCTTGCTTAAACATTTGACAAGCTCAATCATCACGTTAAGCACTTGTTTATTTACTAATTAAGCTTACCGAAATTCAAGCTTAAGCTGCATTCCCTGACAAAGGATAACTAATGCATCCAAAAACAGGAGTATAGCCGCCTTTCACCAGTTGAACAATGGCGGTTGTTTGTTATTCAGCACGGCTTTGCCAAGAGCCTCCAATCGAGGTGCAGCCACTGCCGACATATTACGGCCTGTCACAGGAACATGGACGACACGTCGAGCACATCAGATACCGCTGGTCATTGGAAACACGGCATCCGCTTTCCCCTCGATAGGCAACAAAAGCTGGTTGAGCTCCTGGCATTCCAAGGACCAAGGACTCCGCAAATGGAGCGTAATGAAGCAGCTCATTGGCATCGTGGGCGGCGGTCCTTTGAAGTCCTGCAGCTGGCTGCAAACTATTTGAATAATTGATATTAATCGCTGCCAAGAGCTGTCAAAATTAATTTGTGATGTGTTTCCAAAGCCAGATTATTGATGATGATTATGGCCGGGCGGCCTAATGAAGGCATCGGCTAATGGAAGTGCTTGGTCCGACAATTGAGCCATTTGACAGACGCGCTGAGTAGTTGTGTCTAGTTTTCTCCGATTGTCCTTCCGCAGCGGCATTAATTACCACAAGAATCGAGAAACTGATTCTCTTGGGATGCGGCAAACTTCGACTGTCCAAAGTCCTTCGGCTGATGCTGAATGGGAAATCGCTTAATATGTATTAACATTTATTGCCGGGCAAACTTTCGGAGCGAGAGAGAAAAAGACTGCTAAGACAACAGCCGGCCGGAAATTGCCAAATACTGATACTTCCGCCGGAAATAGGTTCAATTCTTGTTGCCGGAGGTGACTGCCTGCCCTCCTTCCATTCGAGTAAATTAAGTTAAGGTCGCTGGCTGGTGGTCGGTGGCCCAATCGGTCGATCGAACATGAAGGACAACGCCTTCCCGGCGCCTCGCACTCGTTTATCACTGGAAACACATTTCACATTCGTCGTAAAGGCGGCTTAATTGCCGCCCACTCCCCGGCTCACAGCACTCTGCACAATAAACAGATTATAATCTGGCTAAAACTATCAATTTCAAGCCAAACAGAGTCGAATATCTCAATCGTTCAAGTCCCGGCAACGAGAAAAAAAAAGGAGAAAGGCGACAAAAAACAAATGAAAATGCTTTACAACATAAAAACAAACTGGAGGACGGGACGAAATCTGGGGGCTGCTGGGGCGACAGAAACGATGTGTTAACACTTGGGAGGACGAACGAGCAGTGCCACCGAATGAACAGAGAGACGGAGCCGAAATCCTTCGATAGGTTCTCGGGGTCCTGCGACGACTGTGCGTCCTCCTAGATTTACGCACACTTAAGCAGCGTTTACCCAGTCCTCCAACTTCAAATAGTCGTATAAATTGTTCGGCAGGCGCAACTGTAGCCCGGTCTTTTTGTTTTCAGCTCCTCTTTGTCTTTGGCTTTTGGTTCAACTGTTCTGTCCGGACGGAGTTTCGTGGAGGGGGTAAAGGGATTGGGGGAGGGGCACTTCCGGGGCGTGAATGAAGTGCCATGTTCTCACGCTCACGCATTTGCCAAGTGCCTGGCGGCCCACATGTCGTATGAGTTTTATGTCCCTCTGTTTATATGACTGTCTCTGTGCGCTCAATCGTTTCTAAGACACATTTATTTGCCGAGCTGCTGCTGCTGCTGCTGCTCTTCTTCTTTGCCTTTTCGTTGCTCTTGCTTTTGTTGGTTTAACAAATAAAATTAGTGCTATAAACATTCGTTTTCCAATGCCTTTCTACGTGGCCTCACAGTAATGCTGTTGCCAAAAGGGAACTAAATTAAAGCTTTTCCCAAAAACATGCTAGTTAACATATGTTTTACCAGAATCTTTTTGGGTTATAACTTTCCTCTCACTTTAATGACTTGAAACCCTTCTAGCTGCGCCACTGATGTCTTCCTCATATTTGTTTACACAATCGCAACTCTTTGCCACTTCATAAGGTCTTTTTCTGTGCTTCTGAACCACCCACTTCCTTTGGGGATTTATTGCCACAGCGAATCTGTTGGTATCGCCAGGGGTCAGGGGTCAGAGGAGCAGAATCACAGAATCGCAGAGGAGAAGAATCGCTGAGGAGCAGAATCGTGGAGGGAATGCCAGACGAGGACCGAGCTTGTATCCCATTTCCGGCTGATGACTCGGATGTTTGTTTTAGCGGCGGCATTCCACTGCGCTGCAGCTTCATCCGAGCCACTGCCACATGGCGGCAATATTTGCACTGCCGATTCGGTTCAAGCTGGAAGAAATATCTATTAAATTTATTTTATATGTGCGGCATATCGAAACAAATGCATTTTGCGCACAAATAGCCAGGGGGCGACATAAAACACAACAAAAGATGCTCAAAAGGTAAACACAAAGATAAACAGACAAAACATTGGAGGAGGAAAATTCGGGTGTGGACTAAGCGATATCGTACGAAAAGTTTGTCTTTATGTCTTCATTTTATGACATGATTATTGTAATTATGAAATGCATGCAAGTTTATGGAATTTCGAATGCTGAGTTGTCAGATAATGAGTTTCATTGCTATATGTTTATTATTATAGCATACTAAAAATATGTTTGAAATTTTGAAGTGTGGTTTGAAGTATGTCCTAATTTGTTTAAATTGAGCTGTGTTCAGCTGTTTAAATATTTTAAAAAGTGTATGTTGACCCAAAACCAAACGTTTAATTTGAGCTTAGTAAAAGCTCAAGGAAACCATTAAATTTTTATCTTCACCTTTTGTTTGAAATTAAAGTTGTGGGGGTATATGCCCAAATCAAACCGTATTCCCTTCAGATACCTGACAGTTTGTCTTCTTGATGACAATAAGTGGGCCCATTTCTCGGTTCACTTTCCTCGAAAAATAAGAACACGTGTCGCAGGACCCATCCACGGTGCCTTTAATGGGATATTTTTTTTTGGGGTGCTATTGGCTTTTGGCCCGAAGGCTAGACTTTTTCTGTCTATAGCCATGACAAAGAGGCTCTTTGTTGGCCATTAAAATGGCCAACTCCCGGGCAGCGATATTTATGATAGGATCAGTACATGTAGGACCAGTGGTGTGTGTGATTATATAATTTCAATTTCAACTACCAGGGAATAGGGCAGTCAGGCACATAATTATAATTCGATGTCGGACAGCCACTAAATTGCAGAATTCTCGCTTAGCAAACACAGAAACAAATTGCTGCGAATAAATTTTATTATTATCGCAATTGAATTGAATTTGCGATAAACGTAGGAATAATTCGCATGTTGCACATGACCGCAGGAGCGGTGGGGAATCGATACGGATTTGGATGGCCAGTCGGCTCTCGAAATCTCAGCCAGCAGGTCGTTTTGGCCAGCAGGTTGGAAGGTTTGGGCAACGGAATGGAATCGAAGTGGATGTGGGAGCGGGAGCGGGGGAATCGGGATCCGTAGCATGTTCCTGTGTGTTGTAATCCTTGCCAAAGCGATTATAGTTTTTGTTTGAATTTTGAATGTGCACACGGGAGCGAACGGAGCAGGCCGATCTGCAGTATTTACACTGATGCACTTTAGCCGCATTTTAATTGGACGCTAACTGCCACTCCTGCCCACATTTGGCCGATTAGCGCGGAAAATGGAGTCCGCAGTTACTCTATTTCCAATTCGAATGCAAATTTTGCTGGTCGGCGGGAGAGCGATAACAATGGTTTTTGGTTTATGCCCGCGCCCGCTAATTTCGCTGCCATGCGGTAAATGGTAATAAGCGCATTTTCGCAGTTTGCCGGAATGGCCGTGAACTAAGCGAGCTGATTGTTATTTATTTTAGTTTTTGCCACGGTCATTTGCTCTATAATTTGTCACTGCAGGCGGGCAATAAAGTCCGCTTTAGATTTATAGGGCCGAGAGCAAACAAATTGGTGTGTTATTCATGGACCTTGGACTGAGTTGTTTTCGCTGGCTTAAAAGCTAATTACATTTTATTTGTGCAAATATTTGAGCCCCGCTCATTAGGCAAGGAGCTTCACACCAGCTAACTTTAGCAAACCTCCTCCCCTCCCACTTTCTACTTTCTGCTTTCCTTTCCGCTTTT